CCACGGGTGTGTGTTTTTTGGGGTTGTGTGTGTGTAAGATAAAAACTTTAAAAGGGACAGGGAGTTGGTGGGCCAGGAAGCCCATTGGGTAGTACGTACTTGTGTTGGTCCTTGAAACTACAATACGGACCCAACAAACCTTTCCCTTTCCTCAAATTAAATTCTATTGTTGTTATTGTTGTTTCATTGACAATTAGTATTCTCCTTTATTCGGAGCTTTCTTTTTAGGTGAATCAAAAGGAAAAAAAAACCAACTCCCAACCTATCTCATCACCTCTTCTCTTAGCCTTCTTTTTGTGTGTGTGTGTGTGTGTGTGTGTGTGTGTTTATTTGTTGTCATTTTATTATTTATTAATTTTGTTATATAATTTATAAAAGGAGAATTGGCTTTTAGGTAGAATTGATATATGTAGTATTTATGGTTAAAGTAGCTTTCACTGTTGGAAGTTGGTATCAAGTTTCAACATCACTTCACTTGCACAGTTGCACCCTTTTGTTCTATCTCCAACGCTCTTGTCTCGTCTATACTCTCTATAATGCTCTTGCAAATACAGTACCTACCGAATTTGATTTTCATTTCCAAAATATCAGCTCCAAAAGGAAAAAAAAAAAGGAAGGTGAAAAATATAGTAATTACTGAAAAAAACTCCTTAAGCTTTTCTAGATCACACTGCTCATAATTATTTTATTTGTCGCTTTTAATGTTCTTCAAGAATAAGATCTTCAATATTAGCTACCCGAGGTCTTTAATTCGTAGTAATACAATGGGAAATGTTAAATGCTCTTTTCTCTCATAGTTTATGGAGTATATAAAACGCAATTCCAGTTAATTAACCAGTGTATATTGTCATATAGAGTTTAAAGTATGGGACGAAACAAGAAAATATTTAAATTCAAACAATATATGCGATCATGCGTATGTTCTAATTTTTGTTCTATTTTAAATATCTAGTGATTAATGTTTAGGGGGAATTTGAAAAATATAAATGTTTAGTGAGATTAAAAGTAATCTTCTTGTGGATAAGTAACATAACAAATAATTTTTACTTTTTTTTTTTTGGTTATAACAAAGTTGGCAAAATGACATAAGAAATAACATTTTGTGGATAAAAAACACAGACAACGTGAGTCCTCTAGAACTAGACATTTCGATTGATGCTAAGTTATCAGTCGAAGAGGGTCATTTTGCAATTAACATTTAAATAAAATGAGAATCCTCCACCCCCCCACCCACTCTGCCGCTCTCAGTCCATCGTGTGGCTAGAATGAAAAAGCCTAATAAAACCAATATTGAATATCTTCGATTGATATAAATTGTATATTCATATATCAAGTTCAATGTAATTTGGGAAGAATAAAAAGGCATTATGTAAGAAAAAGTACATAGGTTTATAGGGCGGTAGTTTGAGTATAGGGAGGATGTAGGTCGACAGAAATCACGGACTGGATTCTACTAGTATAATGGAGTATCTCTCTAGTAACTAGTGTAAGATGAAAGAAACTGTACTGAAAGGAGGGGTACGAAGTACGAACAAACGGCTTTGGTTTTTTTCGGTTGCCTCTGTTGGGCTTGTGACTCTTTTAAGGATCTGTCAGCTTAAATTAAATTTGGAGAGAGAATGAATGAATGAATGGCTGTGTCAACGCAATAACATCTTTTCCTTTCTGCAGAAATTCATGTGCGAATCGACTCCTGATTTTCTTGCTGCTTGCTTGCTTCTTTTTTTTGACTACCATGCATCTTTTCTCAATGCATTTTCCTTTCTTTCTTCTTTTTGGAACTTCAACGTACTAGAACGTAAACCCTACAGAATCCTGTCTTCCCCATGTGTGTGTACCTACATATGCTGCATCTTTGAAAAATTGAGATAATCAGACGCATTGATCCACTTTCAACCGTTTGATTTTTATTTATTTATTTTATATTGTTCTTCTCCGAGTCCTAAATTATTATTCTGTTTAGATTTTGACTTTGAGTACAGTTTGAATTAAAAATTAAAATTTAAATTGGACAATAATTTCGAGACTAATAGAGTTTCTCTCTTTTATATTGCAGTAGAGTTGATTCATTTGAACGCACACAACCCCAAGTCATTCATACCGTTACTAAACATGGCATATTGGCATGTGAGCTAATGTTCTGGGAACCATATTACTAGGTCGTTTGCCATCTTCTCTTAACTGAAATTTGTTAGTTAATGAACCATCGTCATTCACGATGCATTCATGGGCAGAAGGAGTACGTGGGAATTTGGGAAAGGAAGCCATGATTCACGAAATCAACCCAAACCCAATAACAAGTGCTTGACTTTAATGTCAGTCTCTGCTAGTACTATAAATAAAGAAAAAGGAAATGGTGAAAAGTGCAGTACTGCGAACAACAATAAACAGGGTAGAGGGAGTAGAGGACGAGGCGTACCTAAACCATTAACAATGTTGCATGTGGGTGTAGGCCATAATCTGGTCATTATTCCTTTTCAGTTTTTTCAGTATCTATAAAAAGTCAAGAAAAACGGACAGCACAGGTCCAGGTTAAATTTACAATGCAAGTAATTTATTCAACGAATTCAAACTCATTCATTGATTTCTCTCTGCAGAATCCATGAATGGTGGTCTAGATTATTCTTCTAGTTTGTGTTTAACACACTAGACTAGATACACATACAATTTGAGACCTAATTTCAGCATATAACTATCTGATCTGTGTTAAGTAATTAATGGTTTTTCCGCACAACTCATTTACAACCTGAAATTTGTTGGGTCTAATTTAAGTGAGCTGTCCGTACGACAAATCTCGTCCCGGACCCGGACACAACAACAACAACAACAAAAAATGGGGTATGTATGATTTATGATATTGATGAACAGATAGTTAAATGTGTGTCTGTGAGAAAAAACGGGGCATATGATCACAGATGAGATAATGGAGATCAAATCAGATGAAATTCTCCCCCCCCCCATATCCCATGTGGTGGTGGTCCTGTGGGATTTAAATTAGAAGCAGCACCACCAAAGTAGCAAATACCACCGCCACCACCACCACCACCAAAACAAAAAAACAGAAAAAAAAAAAAAAAAACAGAGCAGTAATAATCAGAAGAAAGCGATATGCTATGATAGCTCCCATTCCGGAAAAGTTGCATCTGCATGTTCTGAGGCTCTCAAAAACTTGATATCTCAAGAGCCAACTTATGCCAAATTGCTTCCAATTTTGTTTTTCAATTCAGAAGAAAGAACCCACAAAAGAATAAACAAATGCTTCCAATACAGTTCCAGACAAGATGATACTATGTACTGTATGTATTGTATGTATATATGTATGCACAGTATATTGCTTATTATTCAGTGTGTATCTTCAACCCCACCAGATTTGATATCACACCTTAAACTAACTATACCCGGACATCAAGGAACTTGGTGATTTTAAACTGTTTTGCTGACATTGGATCCCTACCAGTAGTATCCAACTATCCACATAAAAATGTCACAATATCCAATAGGGAAATCATAATCTAAATTCATTTCTCACCTCTCATTGACTGCCATTTTCTTTTCCCTTCTCGGGCAATGATTGATTGATTATGTAAAAAAGGAAAAACACTGGGGGGCAGGATGTAGAATTAGTCAACAAAACACATTCTAATCTATCTTAATCATGAATGGACATTTTCCTTATCCTTCCCACTAGGGAAATTGACTCTCAACACATGCCTTCCTGTGTTAATCTATTTGATGATTCCTGCCAAAAGAGTTAACCTATCTTAATCAAGTTCTGCGAGTCCCAACAGCATTTCCATATTTCATGACTGGACATCGCATTAAGAGATTGGTTTCAGAAGCTTTTCCAACAACCGCACCATCCTACTTACACCAAAAGTAGAGTAAACAGGGGATACACATACATGCAAAGACCCATAAAACTTACACATCAGCCCAGTTGGCGAATTCTAGGATCACCGAGACCATCCTAGAATTGCACATGAGAGTCACCCTCAGAGATTAAGGGTACATGAATGTTAAAAATTCTCATTTATGGTTCACAAAGTCAGCCGACAAAGCTAATAGTGTCTTAACACATTCGGGGTAGCAAATAAAAAATGGCTTCATTCAAGCAGATTCTTGGGGCATTCCTTTGAATGCCATTGGTTTTCCACAAGTCATATGTCTTCATTCTGTAAAATACGTTCTAAAGGTTTTCTGCTAAAAGAGGACAAATCAAGACCATTAAATTTTCAAATGATTACAAAATATACTTCAGCTGCATACTGGAATTACGGTTACATATAAAGGAACCCTCAAAACAAGCCCTTCCTAAGTTGCGTAAGAGAAGCAATCTTCTACATGGTTACAGATTGAGAAACTTGTCATTAACTAGAAATCCTTGTGATGTAAGTAACAAGTCACATTAAGAAGACAGAGCATTAGTTCAATGCACAAACACATGCGCAAGTGTCGAGCACAAAACCAACAAGCATATTCAGCATACAATGGTAGAACAACAGATTTAGCTAAACTAAATGCAACAGCTTTTCCATATTTCAGGACTGTAAAAAATAACCTACAATGAGTTCTAGGAGCCAAGATGACACACCGACATTTCATATCTAACTTTGTGGTAGGCGTAAATAGTAGAGATGCTTTGAACTGTTTAATCTGGAATTTGCCTTGAACTGCTTGTATTACAATCAAAATAAAAAAGAACGAAGGGATCAAACATGTTACTAGAACTAAGAGGCCAGTCGACTCATTAGATACTAAAGTATTTAAATCCCAGACTGTATAAAGAGACACGTTGAAGTATATAAAAAAAATGTTATTACTGAGGAAAATTGAGGAATTAGTATTCCATCTATCACTAATAAAATGTTTTACACTTTTTTCTTCTTGTTGCTCTATGAGGATGTATTGTTTGTATCCATCAGAAAGTACATTGACGAAAAATATAGATATGTGAAACAAAATTCTTCACTCAGAAAAGTATGAAGATGTTTGGCATACACTTAGATATCCGGTACAGGTTTGAGCTGTTGGGGTTGCCCATCTACCAAATTCAACTGCCTCCTGAGCCTTGCAATATGTGCTTGCACCTAATACATTCAACATAATTTATAGATAAGAAGATACAAATTTCCAACCACGAATGTGATTGATACAACAACTACTCAGATTGAACGAAACGATCAATCCAGACGTGCAATAGAAATTTATTCTGGCAAGCTAAGATAAAAAAATCAATCAAGAAATCAAAGAAGATGAAATTGGTAGATGATGTTGACGCATGAAGCTCGCTATTAATGGAGGCTGCAATCCAAAGAATTAAAGAAGATAAAACTGGTAGATGACGTTGAAGCATGCAGCTTGCTAATAATGTAGGCTGCAATCTAACAAACGAACCGAAAAGAATCTGTTTTTCCTAAAATCCATATATTTGTTTATGCATTAGATGTTTCTTTAGTAGTAGACTGAGAATTTAATTTTAGCTTTAAGACTCCTGGTTCATCATGAAATTCAACAGGATATCTAATCACAAACTCATCTAAGATAGTTCAATTTTGTCTTCACCACGTCCCTAAAAGGTTTGTATTTTGTGTCGCTTCGAATATACCCTGTATATTTCTCTCCAAACAGGCACTCCAACCCCAAAATCCCAAACCAATAAATGAGGAAAATGGAAAGATCAGAAGTGAAAAGGCACTAAGTACTTGAGAATGTCGAAGAAAATGGCACACAATAGCAAGAAGATTGGAAGTTTCACGGATGACTCAGGTTTCAGTAAATTTGAAAACATGTTACTGAGCTTTTTTAGAATAAAATCCCAAACATGCTATCAGTTTCAAGATGCTCTGTAATTTGATCAGATGTAAAAACACTTAGCTCACCTGTTGACGGGCTGCAGCAAGTTTTAGCAGTTCATCAGCCTCTGAAAAGTTGGTGAACCACTGGCTCAGGGAATGATCTTTTGTGTCACCTCTTTTCTTTTTCTCCGCATCCTCCAACGGCACTGTATGCAACAATAGGGAGTCAATAAGAAATGCCAAAAAAGTAAAAAATAACAAGCGCAATCTTGATTGATGTAACCAGAGACAAGAAAGCACACCTGGAGGTGGTAAAGGAAACCCAAGTGGCAATCTAGGCACAACAACTGCCGGATTATTATGCACACGTGCAAGGAAACCTTCCGAAGGTTCGGTAAGCACAATTTCATCATAAGATTCCACTACAACAGGTTTTTTGACAGACATCGGACCAGAATCGTCCTCTGGATACAACTTTAAATGGTGGTATCTGCTTATCAATGAAAATCAATAATTCAACTTCAAAAGTGGCCAATGCACATAAAATTCTAATCATGTGAAATTTCATTGAGCACTGTAAAGTCAGCATTTGCAAGAATGCAGCAAGTAAGAGCATAAAACAACTACCAAATGTTGACTATAAACTCCAAACAAATATAAACACCACACAACGCCACATTAGTTTTATTCCAGATTACAGACTCCGAAATATAAGGTAAACCACGACTGGACAGCCTAAAAAGAAACTTAAACTCACAAGTGCACTGGCTTCTCGCAAACATCATTATGAAAATGAAGGGTAATCACAATTTCGAATTCACCCCATCCTGATTCTGATAACTCAAAAGGCGGGCTGTCGATGATCCTTGTTGGATTATTGAAACTAGAATGCAGTTGGAAGACCACGCGCTTCACAACCACACTAATATCCTCATTTGATGCACCTCGAACATACACAGTCCATTTATGAGATTGATACCTAAAAAATCACAAAAACCACCAACAATTGAAAAATGTCATAAACTCTTTCCAGTCAGGCATTTGATCAAACACTTTAATCAGCAATGACAACAAATCCTGACTCGCTAGCCTTCTTCCCCAGCCAGAATGCAATGTTACCATAAACAATGGGTACACTGATTTCCAGGTCCTTCAGCTTGTTAACCAAGTTCTGCACAGAGCCCCATTGGACCGAACATTACATCTAGTACTCAATCATAGGTACCAGAAAAAGGAATAAAAAATCTGATTCAAAAGGAGGGCAAAAAAAAAAAAAAAACCTTTTTGTCACCATCATCAGAAGATTTATTAGCCATTTTGGTTCTCTGTGATTTGGGGGTGGGCCCACTGACGTCCGGCTGATCGGTTCCCGGTTTCTTGCTCCCTGAACTCTGAGGCATTTTGAACAATAACAAAACGAGGAGATCTTAAACAGGAAAACTGAAGAATTAGTTAATTGCTTAAAAATTACTTAAATGATCATTCCAATTGACAACAGTTGCGAAATTGAGATTTGGTTAGGGTTCAAAAATTGGGATGGCGTCTACGGGGCGGGTCTACAATTTGTTGGTGGAGCGGAGACCACTCCGGCTGTGTTCAGGGAGTATTTCGTCATTTCGTACGTAGAGTCGCGCCAAAACTGAAAAATGCATTCTTTCAAATCACAACAAGCAACAATTGGTACTTGGTTCTTTGCAATAATATCCTGTGTTGTTTTAACATGTAATACTAGTAAATTTTATTTTTTGGCATATGAGATTACAAGATGATCGTTGAACAAAGAACCAACTTTCGGTATCATTTTTCTGCGTAATTGTGGATGTAACTGGGAATCATTGGGCACATAACCAAAAGCAAGAACCCCTATTATTCACATAATGCTGCTGAGCAGTTCAAGACATCTAGACTTCCATGATAATAAGTTATCAACAAAGCTTCTTTACAAGTTTCACCCTTTTCTGGGACAAAAAACACCTCTTGATCAGAACAAGGATCTTCAACCCTCATTCCTATCAATTGGTCAAATACAATAATTTTTCGAAGCTCATGGACTACCAATGCCACTACACAACAGCTAAATTTGGTGTTAACCTACTAATCAATACACGAGCTCTACGGTTAGAATCATGCCTGAGACTTGACGATCTATTCCTCGACCAACTTCCAAGTAAGAAAAAGTTATGATCCCTTCAAGTTTATCATTGTCAATCGGCATATTTGATCTTATCAATGCAGATAAGTGGTTAAATGCCTCATAATTTGCACAAATTATCTTTGCAACCTCAAAAAAAAGATGCATTGTAGTAGTAGTAGCACTGAAAAGTGAGGGGAATTCAATTATCATGTCATGAAGCAACATCTACCCAACTGCATCCAATATCTTTTATTATCTTTCTTCCCTTCATCGATTCCCTTAACTGTTCAATCTCATCCCACATACCATGGTTGGCGTACATATTCGACAGTAAAACAATAATTCCAGTGTTTTCCGGTTCTAATTGAAGCGCCCTTTGACCAGCCAATTTTCCCAACTCAACATTTCCGCATTCACTGCAAGCACTTAGCACTGTCCCCCACATAGCAACAGTGCAATTGTTAGTTATTTCACAAGGCATTTCACTGATCAACTTCCATGCTTTCTCAAGTTCACCAGCCCGACAAAGTGAATCAATCAAACAACTGTAATGCTCTGGACCTAGTATCAACCCAAAGTCGTGAGCCATGGACGTAAAGTATTCAAAAGCAAGATCCACTTGACCGGTATGACCACAAGCTGAGATGACTGCCAAAAATGCAACTCCATCAGGCCTGATTCCTTCATCCAACATCTCCCTGAACAACATAATCACTGATTCGTGATTCCCATTTTTTCCGTAAACTCCAAGCAATGAAGTCCATAAGACGACGTCTCTCTTTATTTCCATCCCTTGAGTGAACCCAGCCAGGCTAAAAATTTGCTCAGCTTTCTCTACTAGCCCACACTTCCCATACATTTCAATCAATAAACTCTGTAGAAACACATCAGCTCCCAAATCCCACACTTGACGAACCACAATTCCATGAATCTGTCGACCAAACTCCATGGCTGATAGCCCAACAGAACAGCGCAAAGCGGCTGCAAATGTAAAATGGTCGTAATCCAGCTCTAACCAAGGTATTTTCCGGACCAATTTCAGTCCCTGATTCCACATCTTAGCCTCAGCTAAACCCGACAAAAGTGCATTCACGCAAACAGTATTCTTAACAGGCATTTCATCAAACACCTTTGTCGCATCATCTATGCCCGACAATTTTGCACATAGATCGATCAGGGCACTGCCAACGAAAACACTCGAAAACCATCCCGATTTTACAACAAAGGCATGCATTATTTCCCCAAAGATTAGATTTTGATCACCTGATGAAGATGTCAAAGAGCTGCAAATAGCATAAGAGTCCATGGAAACTCCATTGAAATGCATGAAAGAGATGGTCTGGAGAGCAAGTGAATGATGCCCACTTTGAGAAAAATGGGAGATAATTGAATTAAAGGGCAATGGGTTTCTGGGATTCAGGAATTTGAACAAGTTGGTGAATGTTTGACTGTTGCGAGTTTTGATATTGTTAAAGCAAGTAGCATATGTTAAAATGAGCTTAGTCTGAAGATTAGGGAAGAAAAAGATGAGGCCTGTTCTGACTATGTGTGCATGAAATTTCTTGATGGTTTTGAGGCTTTTTGATTGAGAACAATCCTGGAGGAATGAATTGATGGAGTAAAAATTCATCAGAGATACGTAATTGACCGACCTAAGAAGAAAAGCAATCGACTCAGAAAAGGGCCAAAAGGAAAAGAAACGAACGACTTTGAGTGAGATTTTTATTGCGAAACGAGTTTGAGATTTGAGAGTTAAACTCTCAAAAAATTCCCTTTTTCTTTTTTTCCTTCGAAACTTCAAACAGTTCAAACTTCAAATTCTAACTGACAAACACGTTCCCACTGAAACTAATAACAAAGGAGAAAAGGAAATTTTAAACCTACATTGATTAGGGGGTTGAGAAAAAAGTGGTAATTATCTTTTCAGTTGATTCAGAATTGGTTTTAGGAAAGTACTTATTGAGTTAGATTTGATTACTAATCTCGATAGGTTGACAGATGTAGTTGTAATAAGCACAAAGGATTTCTTTTCATATGACAAGACTTTCTTTTCATATGAGTGGGTGGCCTCTTATATTTGTACCAAAACTGAAAAGAGAGAGATTTGGGCTTGCTATGAATTTTTGTTGTTGATATATTGTTTGTTTTCCCCCTTACTAATAATGTCTATAAGGAGTACTTCCAAAAATAAAAAATAAATGGTTTGCTTTGTTGCTGCGCTTCTATATCTTGGTAAAAGAGAGCGCGGGATTCTGTGCAACAGAAAACAGTCAACCAAAGAAGGACGAACAGGAAAACAACCAGTTAGTAGTAGGTCAAAACTTCAAGCACGCTTTTTTTTTAAAAATTTTTTTTTTTCTTCTTTGTTTCCAAATAAAGATTCCCCATCAAACCAACATCGATGAGGATATTTTGGTAACATGATTCTAAAGTTGATTCCTAATTGGTTTGAGGAAATTATTTGAGATGGATTTGATTACTAATCTTGATAGGTTTACCTTATAAAAAGCATAACATATCTTAATATGATAAGTCTTTCGTTCTATATTTTTTTTCTCATTCATCACATATCAGGTAAGTTTGGTTTTGGTTTAGTTCGGTTTCGTTCCAAGTGTTTGTGCGTATATGATTTACTACGTGATGAAGTAATAATTCTAATAGTTTTGATTGATTCAACAGTGGGGGACTATTGAGAATCCTCCTCCAACTACATATATATTTTTTTTATGCATTGATAGCAAAATATGACTCACATTGGCTTGCATCAATTAATTATCACGAATCATGATAATTGCGTTTTTTTTTAATTAATGTCACAACGAGCTCTCAAACTTCCTAGTTCTAAACATAAATGGAGTCACGTTTGTTTTTTTTGGGGTAATTTGAAGGCACTTTGACTTATTTCTTGAAATTAGTAACTTTTCTCCTTTTCAAGACCAAAAATAATAACTTTAAAGAGGTTAGGACTAGATAGCTAACAATTGAAAGTAAAGGTAGTTGATAACTCCCACAAGAACTTTATGTGAAAGCTTGCAAATTAAAATGTAGTGGAGGGTGTAATATGAAATTTTACTTTCGATTATCATCTTCTTTCTTTGCGGTCAGATGTGGCAAATCTCTGTTAAACTCATGTCTCTAAACTCAACCAGCCTTTTCAAATGTTCTCTTCCTTTCATTTCTGGGAAGGGAGGATTTCTATTACTCACCTAATCGTTAGATTTTCGTAAAGACCAGTTTTTATCGGAGTCTATTTCTGAGTTTCCATTTAGATTGGGGTGTTTGTTTTTTGTTTTAATTTTTTTTTAATAACATCCATGCCTCCTCCAGATCTGTTATTGTTCGAATTCTCATGTTCCTAACTCAGCGAGGCTTTTAATTTTGTTTGGAATTATTCTTTGTCCTATTTATTTATATGATTTTGATTTAATAGTTAGTTTTAGGTAAAGATATGGGAGAGTAATAAATTTTATTTTTCTTTTTCAGTTAATTTGGGAATAAGCTCGAATAACAGCTGTGTCTACGTTATTGTAAAGTTTCAATCTTGCTGAGGAAGATGGTATTGGAGCGTTCTGAGCATTCTGATTTTTGATTCAATAAGGTTAGTGATCAGCCGTATGCTACTCTTCACGTTTTCTCATTGTTCTAGTTGTGAATATCTGTAAATGATGTGCTTAATTGTTGTTGATTCCTTTTCCATGTTTCTATAAATAGCGTGCAAAAATGTAGCTGTCCTCTGAGGATCATATAAGTGCACTACCGTGTGATATTCTTATTCGCATTTTATCTCTTTTAACGCCACAAGAAGCTGGTAGAACAAGTGTTCTGTCAAAGCGTTGGAAAGGACTTTGGACGTTTGTTGTTGAACTTGATTTTGATTGTAAAGTGTCTAGCTTTGGTTGTCGCATCTTCGAAGACCAGAGGCGCCGGTATGTTGAATGGGTCAATCAGGTGGTGCAGTCTCACAAAGGCTTGGAAATTAACAAGTTCAGGATCTGCTTTGAGTTGGACAGAAACCTTCAAAACGATATCGATGGGTGGCTTCGCTATGCCTTCGCTAGGAAAGTTAAAAGCCTGGAATTGGATTTTCTAATAGTTGGCAGCCCATTCTTTTTGGTGCAGGAACCTTATAGAATGATCCCTACTTGCCTGCTGGACCCATGTAGTGAGAAAAGTTTAGAGGACTCTCCTTCTAGTGCCTTTGAACAAAGCATTCATACTCTTGAGCTAACCGGATTTAAGTACCTCAAGTCATTGCGTTTAGCAGGGGTAGATGTGACGGGGGAGGATTTTAAACTTTTCTTGCATGTGTTCCCGTCTCTTGAACGCCTGGTAGTTTGTGGCTCACGCTCGCAAGATTTGTTGGGTGTTGTAGTCACCGGTTCATCTCTTGCTCTAAAATATCTGGAGATAACCTATTGCGAGCATTTAGAATCCATCATTATACGTGATGCATATCTTGTCTCCCTTAATATTACTCTGGTGACTAATTTATTGATAGAAAATGTTCCGATGCTTGTGGATGTGTGTGTTTCTGGATGGCTGGTGAGAGAAATAATTCCGCAACTTCCCAGCTGCTTGTCGAGAGTGGAGGTTCTTACCATACATTTTGCAGATGCCGATGTGAAAGAGGTTGGTACTGTCTCCATTCATCCAGTAAAAATAAATTTGGTTGTACCTGTAGAATTTGTATTGTTTAATTATTATCAACTAATGCCTTCCCTTTTTTGTTTTTTTTTTGCATTTGACCATCCCAGAGAACACAAGGGTAGTTGAAGTTCCCCAAAAGAAATCCAAATCCAATTTCCTTCGTACAGCAGTAGCGTCAAGTGATATCTTTTCACCGGAAATCGTAATTCAGAAAAATCCTATTTTTTCCAACTTTCTTGATTTTTCCTCAATTCAATGGCCGAGTCTGATTTGTCTACGAACTACAGAACTTTTTTGGATTTTTGTGATCCCAAGTATTTTCTCAAATTTTCTTCAGCAAATTTCAGAGAGAATGTGAAAATCTTTCTTGATAACTTCGCTCAGGTAGAGTCGAACAAAGCTGGGTACAAGATTTGGTCGACATTCTTGGTTGATGAGAGTAGAAAAATGGTGACTCCTTTATACACAATTGAAGAAGATCCGAACCAGAAGGCTGCTCTGAGATGCAACCCTTGCATGGTGCCGGTAAGTTCTTAATCCCCTTGCGGTGAATTAGGGTTTTGTTCTTTGGAATTCTCCAGCATCCGGGGTTATAATATTTCTTTAGGATTTTGTTATGCAATCGGATTCTTTTTTCTTCCTTACGTCGGATTTAATGCAATACGGTCGAATTCTTTTATCTCCGGCGTGGAAAACTCTTGATCTTGAAATTTATTATTAGAGATGTCTTATTATTGCAATTGGTTTCATTGCATCAAACATTTGTCGATTTCATTATTTGGATTTTTGTATGTTACATTTGGAAAATTTTTTTTTTTCTCTGAGAGTTCTGTTGGTCTCCGGGATGGAGTAATTATTTTGTTTCAAATAGGAATTATCACTGAGAATTATTGTGGTCTTTGGTTTGTCTAGGATGGAGTAGCCACTTTGTTTCGAAGAGAAATTATCACTTAATCATTCCATGGCATGAGCATTGGGACCTTCCTCATGTTAATTTTGTGAATTCTGAGACCCATTTATTACATGGATTGATTCACAGCAACGGTGTTGGCCATCTGTTACTTGTGAATGGGATAGAATTTGGTTCTGAAAGACTTGCTGGGAGTGAAATCATGAATTTATGGGATTGGATCTACAATAGTCTTCACCCGAGGTATTAAGACCCTCTTGATTACTTGATGATGATTCTTCTCTTGGTGATTGATGTAGTGTATTCCGTTTTTACTCTACTTTGGGTGCATTTAGAATAGTGCCAATTTTGGTAAAATTACTGAAAGAAATGTCTTAAATGCAATGTCCAGTCGTGAAAGTTGAAAAAGTTTTTTGGAGAATTTGACTAAAGTCGAGGGGGAGGGGGACAAATAGATTAACAGAGGTAAGCATGTGGGAGAGTTAAGTTAAAAGATAAGAGAAATTTCTGTTTCGGATTAAGATAGATTAATATGTGCATTGTTGACTAATTTTACGACCTGACCGAGTGTTTTTTTCCCTTTTTAAGTAATCAATCATTACCCTAGAAGAAATAAAATCAATTGGTCAATGAGATGTGAGATATGCATTTTGCTTATCATTCCCCTATTAAATGTTTAGTCAATGAGAAGTGAGATACATTTGGCTTATCATTTCCCTATTGAATACGTTGACATTTTATGTGAATGCTAGTAAGGATCCAATGTCAAAAAAACAGTTAAAAAGTTACCAAGTTTCCTGAAGACAGTAGATGAGAATTTTTTAGACTAATGCGCCTTTAATCTGTGAGCTCTTAGAAATGCAGAAGTAAGTATGTCTCCCTTGTGCTATTCTTTGTTGGTTTTGGTGATTCTTTAATTTGCCAATTGGCTGATGTTTAGTTTTATTGGTTCTTGCTTGTATGTTTTTTTTACGAGTGCAGTTCTTTTATGAAGGTTGTTTATATGATGTTTCTAAGAAGCATGGGATGGACCTCAAATTACTCCATGCAGTGGCTTATGGACATTCCTGGTTCGGAATGTGGTCGTACCCATTTCTTCGTGGGAGTTTTAATGTGCAGAAAGCTGAATATGATGCTGCACTTGCAGAACTGAGGTCCTTGTCACTTGATCAATTGCTTGAAGAATTAAATCAGTCAGATTCACATGAAAATGTTAACGTATTCAATAGGGAAATGATAAGCCAAATGTATCTCATTTTTCATTGACCAAACATTTGATAGGGGAATGATAAGCAAAATGCATATCTCACATCTCATTGACCAATTGATTTTATTTCTTCTAGGGTAATGATTGATTACTTAAAAGGGGAAAAAAACACTCGGTCAGGTCGTAAAATTGGTCAACAATGCAGATATTAATCTATGTTAATCCGAAACAGACATTTCTCTTATTTTTAACTTAACTCTCCCACATGCCTGCCTCTGTTAATCTATTTGTCCCCTTCCCCTTCACTTTAGTCAAATTCTCCAAAAAGCTTTTCTAACTTTCACGACTAGACATTTCTTTCAGTAGCTTTACCAAAATTGGCACTATCCTAAATGTACCCAAAGTAGAGTAAAAACGGAATACACTACATCAATCACCAAGAGAAGAATCATCATCAAGTAATCAAGAGGGTCTCAATACCTCGGGTGAAGATTATTGCAGATCCGATCCCATAAATTTATGATTTCACTCCCAGCAAGTTATTCAGAACCAAATTCTATCCCATTCACAAGTAACAGATGGCCAACACCGATGCTGTGAATCAACCCATATAATAAATGGGTCCCAGAATTCACAAAAAATTAACATGATGAAGTGATAATTTCTCTTCGAAACAAAGTGACTACTCCATCCTGGACAAACCAAACACCACAATAATTCTCAGTGATAATTCTTAAACAAATAATTTTAACTTAAATATTTGGAGAATGTTGCTTAATTACGTAGTAAATTTTTATGAAAATTTATCGTTTAGTTATGTAAAATTTTTTAAACGTAAACAAAAAATTATCATTTAACTAAAACTTATGAATTTACTACCAAACAAATTAATTATTTATCATCGGTGCATTTAGCCGTTCTGGAAATAATTTTTTAGAAAAAAAAAAATAAAATATAAAATACGTTGAAACGAAAAATTAAAAAGCATGGAAAAAATATAAAATACTTTTATTTATTTATTTAATTTTTTAATATTTTTCTTTTTTTTTAAAAGAGGATTAATAGTGGTTCCTCATTTACCCTTATGTGACTCAAACCCGTGACTTATTGGTCAAAGGTGAGGTGTTTTACCTCTATACTGCAACTCGTTGTCATTTAATTTATAATATTACAAAGTCAAATATTTAAATTAAAATTGTTTGTTTAACCGTCAAATAGATAAATAAAAAATAAACTTAAATAAATAAATGAATTAAATAAATTAAATAATTAATTAAATAAATAAATTAAAAAATAGAAAAAATTTAAAAAAAAATAATTTCGGTTTGACCAGCAAAACGCTCGCCAAACCGAGGGTATTTTGGACAGCAAAATTTTTCTCGCCTCCCTTAATTGGGAGGCGAGAAAATTGGCGCCACCCATTAAAGGGTGGCGCCTGGCTGGCGCAAATGTCCTTTACCAGTGTATTTTTTTAAAAAAAATAATAATAATAAGGACAAAATGGTCAAAATATAATTTTTTAGGGCGTTCAAATGAAAAAATTAGAGCGCTTAACAGCTTCCCAAGTTAATATTATGTTCATGCCCCTGCCCCTGTATTATTTACAGTCATTGGGTTTCTGGGCTTAAGTAATAAGACTGAACGATTAAGAAAATACCACGGTCGACAACTGTAACTAATCCCCTCGCTGAATTGTAGGCAGCTCTATGGGCGGGACAATTGGTTAAGTTTGCCATCTCGTCCCTTGCTTCCTTTTCTCTCATTTTTTCTTGTTAATTTTTTAAGTTAAACTTCATATACCTATAGTGTTACGATATTCATTGTAGGTCTTTAACTCTTTATTCATTGTAGTAATTATCGATTCCTCGAGGAAATACCATCGCCTAAAGAGGTGCAATATTCGAATTTCATGTCAAACCGCAACAATAATATTCAAATATATTGTTCCAAGAAATATGCAAAAAAATGGTAAGCTAAGTCGATAACTTCAAATATGTAAACTCTGCCTAAGCAGGAGGTATTGACTTTTATGTACATCAGTCAAATCTGCTTTGTTTTTCTCTACAAAATTATTAAGTTACAAAATTTTGGTTCACTGTCTCAAAACTAGTGAACTCATACGTTTAATTTCTACAAAGCCGAGAAGTAAGATCAAGGAAGATGTCTTCTCTGCAAGGGATTGTCAAACCCCCCATTGGATGATCGTAACCAAATTCTTCTTCCGCTTGGCTCAACAATTCCTGGAATGAAGGCTGGTTTAGGTAAGCAATGGGAATCACGTATCTTCGCTTCTCATCACTTTCTCCCACATAAACCGTGCAGTAACCCTTTGGAATATCTACTGATGAAGCAGTATTGTTGGATCCGAAGGAATTAGCCCGCTTCAAGAGTTGCTTAGCTTGAAGAACACGAGGCAGAAGGATAGCCATTATGTGAATTTGGATATACAAAAAAAAGGGTACAAAATCTCACAGATCGATAGACTGAAAGAATGAAGCTGGAGTTTGTAGATTTGATAATTTTTCTGGGTTTGGGTTATGCTCTAAACTTTGAGTGGGTACACATATATATACTATACCAGGATGGATGGCAAATTTGGTTTTTTTTTTTTTTTTGTAAGTATGAAATGTTAGGTAGTTGAAGAAAATTTAATGGATTTGAGAAAGGTGGTTCAGGTCCACTTAGGAACATAGGTCATTTGATGTTCACATGGGATTGCCTCTTGTGATTGAATCACTTCACCAAACTGCTTGATGAAATAAGCTGCACTAAATTTAGATATGTGGTAATCAGTCATTCTGGCAACAGAAAGCAGCCGAATTCATCATCATCAGTCAGGTGCCCTACTTGCCCTTGATGATTACAACAATTTGATTGAATTCATGACCAAATGTTGTCTGATTTATTTGGGTGCTTTGGCCATCAACCACATGTATCGCAGCTGATGATATTGTGAATTCGGTATATATATATCAGAATACAAACACATGCATTTAAGGATATCTTCTTTGTTGGGTGGTGGTGTTACGTATGGGAACCAAACTTTGTGCTTTGACTAACATAGATAGGTAGGAATTTCAAAATTCACATTTGGTTGTTGATTACCATGCATATGGAGTAATTTGAAAAAGTTCTTTTCCAAATGCAAATTTAAGGAGTTGGATCCAAATAAGAGTTAGTCACCAAAATACTACAAATCAAGCTGCATTCTTAAGGACTTCGGCGTAAAAGTACTGACACTAAACGGAAAGAGAAAAATTTTCATCATGTTTGATTTTACAGCAATTTAACAGCAGGTTTTTCATAGGAATGTGGTGGCCTGGAGAGAAACACGCAGGATTATATAGGCAAACGTTACTGGCTGAAGAACTTCGAAATGACATAATATTATAATTTTTAAGGCGAGCTCCTATATTTGTTACAAAAATCTCCGATGCCATTCACTATATATGTTATACTCATATTTGGAACCGTTGACATTTTCATCGACATAGTAATGAAAACAAGCACATGATAATGATTTTATATTTTTTACGAGATGGAAACTCATAATTTATAACATCTGAAATCATACTACCATCGAAAATGGTAAACAACTAAACATGATTACAAAACAATAAATTTTGTTTCTCGTCGACTTCCTAGTCGGATTTTTGAAGAAGGCGAAAAAGTCGACTACAACTATTTCAAAGTTAAAAAGGAAAGGGGAACTGGGGATAAATTAAGGTGTGATAATTTTATTGGTATAAATGATGGCCACAAATCCTCTGATAACCACAGTACAAATGACATTGCTGCTGATGCCAAATCCGCAGAGCAGAATTCGATCACCATCAAAGGGTGAGGGAGGAGGATTTTGCCGATCTATGGAATCGGTCCATGTGAGAACTCTGAAACAAAACTAATTATAGAAGATTGGCGTTACGTATTGGAGCAAGAGCCAACGGTTAATTCAACTTTATGGTTTCCATGAAAATGCGAAAAATAATAGGCTAAAAAGGACTGTCAATATAAGTTCAAATTGATGTAAAAAGAGTGCCTAAATGTTAAAAGCAGGGAGCTTATAACTGTATGTACATCACTGAGATCTACTCTTTATCTTTTTCCTCTGCATAATTAAGTTACAAAATTTTGGTTCACTGTCTCAACTCTAACAAAGTACTCCACCGCCATGAACTAATGAACTCATACGTTTAATTTCGACTAAGCCGAGAAGTAAGATCAAGGAAGATGTCTTCTCTGCAAGGGATTGTCAAACCCCCCATTGGATGATCATAACCAAATTCTTCCTCTGCTTGGCTCAATAATTCTTGGAATGAAGGCTGGTTCAGGTAAGCAATGGGAATCACGTATCTTCTCTTCTCATCACTTTCTCCCACATAAACCGTGCAGAAACCTTTTGGAACATCTACTGATGAAGCATTGTTGGATGTGAAGGAATTAGCCCGCTTCAAGAGTTGCTTAGCTTGAAGAACACGAGGCAAACGGATGGCCATATCTCTGTTTGTAAATTTGGATGTAAACAAAAAAGATACAAAAAATGTTACAAAATGGAGCAAGGAATGAAGCTGGAGATTGGTGATTTCAAAATTTTTTGCTGGATTGAGCTATGCTATAAACTTGGAGTGGATACACATATATATACCCTGATGGAGAACAAATTTGTGGTGATGGAAAATTATTGGCTGAGGAAAGTTAAGTAGATTGTGGTCCAGTTAGAAACATAAGTAGTTTGATGCTCACATGGGATTGCCTCTTCTGATAGAACCACTTCACCAATTTGCTAGAAATAAGCTGCAGGGGAAGTGACCCCATGGTTTTACTAAATTTAGATACGGTTATATGTCATTCTGGCAACAGAAAAACCACCGAATTCATCATCATCCCGGTGCCCCTACTTGCCCTTAATGATTACAACAATTTGATTGAATTGTTGACCAAATGTTGTCGGATTTATTTGGATGCTTTTGGCCAGCTACCACAAATTTACATTACTTAAGCTAGCAGCTAATAGGCAGAGGAGGTCAGATTAGTTGGCAACTTCATGTGATGACTTTGGCTACATTTCACGACAAGATTATAAAAACAAGATTGTGAGAATCGAATTACCTTTTTCACAAAGACAAGCAATTAAGGTTAATCGTTTTTGTTGGTTGATGGTTATACATATGGAGCCAAGCTTTGGTATTGTGATTAATCTATATCAGATCATCAGTCAGTGCTGCCAAATTTACCGTGTTCAAACTTACCAAGCCGGCCTCATTCAAATTGAATTGTTCAATCTCTGATGCTATAGTAAAGAGAGCTCTTCCTAAACTAGAAACACAACCTAATTCTTCCACTCCTTGTTACTCTCTGAATCAGCCCTCTTTCTGGGATTTAATCCTATCAATAAGCAATCTAATGTACTCCCTGTATCCAAGGGGGAAAAAAAAAGTCCGTAGAAATCTTAAAACTCAATGTGGATTTTTTTTTTTCTTTTGCAACAAAAGAATAATACTTTTCCTGGATCGTAAAAGAAAGGTTTTTGACTTCGTGGTTGCTTTGAGCGTGAGAAGGAATATATTGGAGGCGGATTCACGGTAGCAAGATTAGACAACACATTCCATACATCAAAAAGAGCTGTTAGTCAATATTAGGCTTTCCCATGTTGTTGGCAGCAGAACTAAATGCTGGCAATAAGATCCTAATAAGAATAAAGCCATGGAATTGGAAGTCAAACAGGGGCGCAATTCGAATTTGCATGTCCCTGGTTGAAATCTTGGCATTAAGGTGCCTGGTGTTTGCATTGTTCGCTACAAGTCATCAGGCGGAACACATTTTTTCTTTGAATCTCCCAAAGAATGCCCTAAAATAAACGAAGAGAATGGCTCGAAAGTTTATATTGTAAAATTTAGATCGCCATGAAAAGTGTATAAATTTTCTTGCTCACTGTAGTTTTTTCTTTCTCCATTCAATTTTTCTACTCAATGTGGTATTTACTTTAATTATTAGAAACCGATGTCGACTGAAGATTAAACTTTAAATTTGTGACTGATTTCATTTGATAACATAATGTACATAAGCAATCTCTACTTCTTTTTCCTCTACATTCTAAGTTACAAAATGGCTTCATATATAATCTCAGCTCAGGTTACAGACTATCTTAGTATAACCTACTACTATTAGTTAATTCCTATTGAATCGAAAAGTTAGATCAATGAAGATGTCTTCTCTGCATGGGATCGTCAAACCTCCCATTGGATGATCATAACCGAATTCTTCCTCAGCTTGGCTCAGCAATTGCTGGAATGAGGGATGGTTCAAATAAGCAATCGGAATCACGTGTCTTTTCTTCTCATCACTATCTCCAACATAAACTGCACAATACCCCTTTGGAACGTCAAACCATAAAGCATTTTTCGAGGTGAAAGAATTAGCCCGCTTCAAGAGTTGCTTAGCTTGAATAACTCGAAGAAGACGGATCGCCATTATAGGATATGATAAATTTAACTAATTCAGGAGGGAAGAAAAAAGTTGTACAAAGATGAAATGTTTTGAAGACTTGAAGACTTTGAGTTGTTGTGGGTGCTAAAGTAGTAATAATGAACTGTTTATATAGGAGAAAGGGAGACTGATGAAAGTTTGTTATTTCTGATGCCAATAGACATCAAAGTTTGGTAAAGTAGAGCTTTCTGTTGAGGCATGATCACATGGTTTTGCCTTCCAACTAATGACAAAAAAAATTATGAACCATGTATTTTCTGTTTAGTCTGAGTTTTTTTGGCTGGATTGTGCAGCAACCACATAAATAAATTCAGAGGTTTAATGAGATGCTGTTAATAGCTAAGACAGAGATGGTCAGACAGATTAGTAGGCAACAAAATTCATATGACTATGCCTGTTCGAGATTCGACATATTTCCGCAAAGACAAGCAATTAAGGGGTATAAAGTTGTTGGTTGATGGTTCAAATTTTGAGCAAAATTATCGAAGAAATGTTGGATAGTTGATGTTTTGTTATCACCGATGTATTTATTTCATTTAGACACCACACAGTCAAACACAAATATACTACCGGCTAAACATCTCCGGTAAAGAATAGGTTTTACCATTTTTGTGTTACGCTATTCCAAAATAAGAGTCTTTTTATTTAACTCTTTTAGTCTTACAAACACTTTTTGAGTCTTAATTTGGTACAAATTCGGAGTACATAACAGAGATATTGTGCTGAAACAGAATAATGATAAATAAGTAAGTAGTACGGGTCTTACTGGAATATTTATATGTATGGTACGTACCTGCAGGGATCCCCGTGAGTAACAAATAATTACAACAATGTACGGTGGCTTATATTTTTAATATGTGCCTTTAAAAAAAAAGAGAGGAAGAATAAGAAGGAAAAAAATGATTCTTTCAAATGATTAAGCATTGATCGAGATTTCTACATGAACATGGAATAAGTATGCTGGAATTTTGAGAGAATTGTGGCAACTGATGGGAGTTTTCTTAAATTTTTTTTCTTTTATACTGAGTTCGAGATTGTCAAACTCGAACTCTGTTCAATTTCTTATGTTTCTTTCAAAAACTTATAAATTAGTCAACTAGTCGCTACTACTATGTTGTAAAAGCCTTACGTCGTACGGTAAAAAGCTCAAAACCAAACCCAGGTCCCCCAGAAAATCACTAAATCGGGAAAAAATCACTATTTTACTAATTTACTTCCTTTGATTTTTTGTTAGAAGTTGCCTGTAACTATGCCTGAAGCTAAATCACTTCCATCGTGTAGGTTTTGATCAGTAATTTGTCAACAATCAAAATTAAATTCTACCGATGGGGCAGTATCAACACACCCTTAAAACAATGTTTTCTGAAATTTAAAGACCTGGAACTGGAATGCAAGTGAACAAAGTTTAACTTTCAAGTAGTTATAAGTTGAACCGTGTTAATGAACAGTTGGGAATGATTCTATGTACACAATGATCAATAATCTGCTTGCTCAATTTCCCCCATTTAGTCTAAGTTACAAAATTTTGCTTCACTCTCTCAAGTTAAGCCAAGTAATCCTAACATACAACCAACCACCCCGCCCCCCCACACACACACACACACACACACTAAAATACCTTCCTACTCAAACGGGAAGCTAGATCAATGAACATTTGTTCTCTGCAAGGGATGGTCAAACCTCCCATCGGATGAGCATAACCAAATTCGTCCTCAGCTTGGCTTAACAATTCTTGGAAGGAAGGCTGGTTCAGGTAAGCAATGGGAATAATGTATCGCTTCTTCTCATCACTTTCTCCAACATAGACCGCACAATATCCCTTTGGAACATCTACTGAAGCTGAAGGAGTGGCCTGCAGGTAGTTTGATCCGAAAGAACTAGACCGCTTCAGGAGTTGCTTAGCTTGAATAATACGAGGCAGACGGATCGCCATTTCTCTCTAGACTGATGAATTTGAAATTGGAAATGCTAGTTTTAAAGCAAAAGAAGCTTGAAATGTTTATGAACACTTGTGTTTGTCGAACCAACAATACTAATGAACGCCTTATATAGGAGTAGTTACAAGCTTAATACTCCCTGATGCAATGAACATTGATGAAAGTTTGGTAGAAGATAGCTTTTTGATGAGACATGAATATGACCACAACATGGTTGTGTCTTTCCCAGCTAGCTAATGGTTTGGAACCATGAATTCTGTTGATCAAATGATTAATGATGCATGGCCTACCATTTTCTTCAACAAAAAGCACATAGGTCCCTTTGATATTGGAAATAACATTCATTACTTGGGAAATCCGCAGGCTAAACTAAATATGTTAACCAAAAGAGAGGGATCTTTCCAAACCGCCCATTTGATCAACTTCACAAAAAAATTTTGTTAAATGAAAATGGTGGGGCAAATGTGTGGATTAGGCAAAAACAATACCATGCTATGAGGGTCATGAGCTCATATCTTCCATTGACAAGTTGCTAACTTTCGCAATATATTTCATGGTTATCCCAAGTGTCCGTAGCTTACCAATTTAGAAGTCTCGCATTGTCAGTTTCTAACTCTACATGTTTAAACATTAATCTGCTTACACCCAACAAATTGACGCTCAAAATGTAAAATCTACATATTGAATTCCACTTTCAAAAAAAAAAAAAAAAAAACAAATTGAATACATATCGGCCTTAGTTCAAATGGGTAGTTTTGTCACCGGAATGAACCAGATTAAGTGAGCCAAGAAAAAAAAAAGAGGAAAAGATCAAACCAAAATACATAAAGAGAAAATTATTATGATGTTTGATTTTACAAGCAAATTGACTGCAGGTTTTTTATAGGAATGTGCTGGCCTGGAGAGAAGCACGCCGGATTATACAGGGCAAACTAGCTTCTACTGGCTCAAGAACTTCGAAATGATAATATTATAATCTTCAAGATGTGCTACTATGGCTACCACCAAAATCCCCGATGCCATTCACAACCCTTATTTTGCATAAACCCTCATATTAATTCTCAGTTGACTTATCCGGCATGATTCATATCTATCTATTCTATCTCTCTTAAAATTATTTATTTTCACATATACATAGAATCTAAGTTGTTCTTATTGGACTAGATACCATCAAAGAATTATGAAAATACAAAAAAATGATTTTTGAACGAAATTCATCAAATATTTAACCATAATACTATAAAAAATGTGAAAATGATACAAAACAAGAAATTTTGGTTTTCGTCGACTTTCTCGTCGCTTTTTCTAAGAAGACAAACAAGTCGACGCCAGACCATTTCAACAAAATAATCATTTTGCAATCTTTATGTTGATACCGGTATAAATAAATAAATATTTCAAAGCAACAAACTTTTTAAGGTAATAATGGAATGCCAAAGCGAGAATTTAGTTGCTACATTGCAACAAGATCTTATAATTAGAGTGTTCGACATTTTAATCGACATTATAATGAAACAAGCACCACAAATTTACATTGGTTCATGTATACTGAGCTAGCAGTTTATAGACAGAGGAGGTCAGATTAGTAGGCAACTTCATGTGATGACTTTGGCTACATTTCATGACAAGATAATAAAATAAGATTGTGAGGATCGAATTACCTTTTTCACAAAGACAAGCAATTAAGGTTTATCGTTTTTGTTGGTTAATGGTTATACATATGGAGCCAAGCTTTTGTATTGTGATTAATCTATATCAGATCATCAGTCAGTGCTGCCAAATTTACCGTGTTCAAACTTACCAAGCCGGCCTCATTCAAACCGAATTGTTCAATCTCTGATGCTATAGGAAAGAGAGCTCTTCCTAAACTAGAAACACAACCTAATTCTTCCACTCCTTGTTACTCTCCGAATCAGCCCTCTTTCTGGGATTTAATCCTATCAATAAGCAATCTAATGTACTCCCACTCAGTGACAGACCCATTGGTTGAACTCCGCAGGGGCTAAAACGAAGGATTTTTTTTTTTTTGCATGTAAAAAAAATTAATATAAAAAACAAACAATACAGACAATATAAAAGTATTCATGTAAACAATTGCTCTTGTGTTAATTATTTCAAACCGAATTATATTTGTTCTGTATAGCCCCAACTATATCTTAATCTCATACACTTTTTTTTAACCTTGTCACTCAATTCAATTCCTAGCCCACATCACCTTCTCCATCATCAACCTCGTTCACTTTTCTTTTTTTCCTGGTTCTCACCTTGCCGCCGGCCACCAAATCAATTTTCTTCTCCTTCAACTTCCTCTTATAATTTATTAATCTGGCTTTAAAATACAATAATTCAGTTTTACCACAGGGGCTCGAGAGTTTTTACAGAAGAGAAATTATGCAACAAAACACGAAAATATAATCATTCTTGGGAAAAAATTCCGATGGTCGAAGGGTCGACGGACCCTGCAGGCACCATGATAGATCCGTCCCTGCTCCCACTATCCAAAAAATAATAATAAAAAATCACTTTAAGTTTTCAGATTTGTACAAGTACAAATAAAACTCAATGTGGATTATTTTTTCGCAACGGAGGGAATGCTACTTTTCTTGGATCGTAAAAGAAAGGCTTTCGACTCCGTGGTATCTTTGAGCGCGAGAAGGAATGAACTGGAGGCAGATTTACGGTAGCAAGATTAGACAACATATTCTATACTTGTCAATATTAGGCTTTCCCATGTTGTTGGCAGCTGAACCTAATGCTGGCAATAAGATCCTAATAAGAGTAAAGTCACGGAAGTTAAACAGGGTAGAAAATCGAAATTGCATTTCCCTGGTTGGGATACTTCAAAGTTTGATCTTTTGTAATTTGGAAACGGAGAAGTATGAATTCTTAGCATTAAATTGCCTGGTGTTTGCATTGTTCACTACGCTTGCTAGAAGTCATCAGGCGGAACACATTTTTTCTTTGAATCTCCCAAAGAATGCCCTAAAATAAACGAAGAGAATGGCTTGAAAGTTTATATTGTAAAATTTAGATCGCCATGAAAAGTGTATAAATTTTCTTGCTCACTGTAGTTTTTTTCTTTCTCCATTCAATTTTTCTACTCAATGTGGTATTTACTTTAATGATTAGAAACCGATGTCGACTGAAGATTAAACTTTAAATTTGTGACTGATTTCATTTGATAACATAATGTACATAAGCAATCTCTACTTCTTTTTCCTCTACATTCTAAGTTACAAAATGGCTTCATATATAATCTCAGCTCAGGTTACAGACTATCTTAGTATAACCTACTACTATTAGTTAATTCCTATTGAATCGAAAAGTTAGATCAATGAAGATGTCTTCTCTGCATGGGATCGTCAAACCTCCCATTGGATGATCATAACCGAATTCTTCCTCAGCTTGGCTCAGCAATTGCTGGAATGAGGGATGGTTCAAATAAGCAATCGGAATCACGTGTCTTTTCTTCTCATCACTATCTCCAACATAAACTGCACAATACCCCTTTGGAACGTCAAACCATAAAGCATTTTTCGAGGTGAAAGAATTAGCCCGTTTCAAGAGTTGCTTAGCTTGAATAACTCGAGGAAGACGGATCGCCATTATAGGATATGATGAATAAAAAAGTGGTACAAAGATGAAATGTTTTGAAGACTTGAAGACTTTGAGTTGTGGGTGCTAAACTAGTAATAAGGAAGGGTTTATGTAGGAGAAAAGGAGACTGATAAGTTTGTTATTTCTGATGCCAATAGACATCAAAGTTTGGTAACGTAGAGCTTTCTGTTGAGGCATGCTCACATGGTTTTGCCTTCCAACTAAAGAATAAAAAAATTTATGAACCATGTATTTTCTATTGATGACCAAAATTTTGTCTGAGTTTTTTTTTGGTGCATTGTTTTTTTGTGCAGCAACCACATAAAAAATACTCAGAGGTTTAATGGGATGCTGTTCATAGCTAATACAGAGGAGGTCAGACAGATTAGTAGGCAACAAAATCCATATGACTATGCCTGTTTGAGATTCGACATATTTCGGCAAAGACAAGCAATTAAAGGATACGATTTGGGTTGGTTGATGGTTCAAATTTTGAGTAAAATTATCGAAGAAATGTTGGATAGTTGATGTTTTGTTAGAACCGATGTATTTATTGCATTTAGACACCAGAGTCACTCATGGATATACCACTGGCTAAACATCTCCGTTAAAGAATAGATCTAGTATCATTTTCATGTTAGGCCATTTCAAAATAAGAGTCATTTTTATTGAACGATTTTAATTTTACAAACACTTAGAGCCTTAATTTGGTACGAACTCAGAAAACATAACAAAGATACAGTCGTTCTGAAACAGAATAATGATTTTAAGGGTGGATATGTCCAAGATAAAAGAGTCAGAGGAGCCGGATAAGTTTAGTAGTACTGGAATTTTTTTTATGTATGTATGGTACGGACTTAGGATCCCTGCGAGTAACGAATAATTACCACGACGTCCGGTAGTCGCGTCTGTTATTACTAGTAATGTCTGGTTGCGCAATGCACGACCTTAGCCAATATATCTGTAGATTTTAGAAATATTTGTATCTGGAAAAAAAACTATTTTGTATTTGGGCCGATATATTTTAGAAATGTTTGAAGAATTTAGAAATGTTTTATAAGTGTGATCATAGAAATGTTTGTATTTGGCATAAAAAGAAATTGTATTTGGCCCGGTACGTTTTAGAAATGTTTGAAGATTTTAAAAATATTTTATAAGTGTTACTTCTTAAATATAAATAAACTTGATCAAATATATGTCTTAAAGTAAATGCAAGACAAAATATAAAAGCATCCTCATAAGTTTAAATATTAGTAAGATAATTTATTGATGTTCTCCATTGGTTGTGCCAAATCAATACTTAGTTTTGGAGATTTATAATAGCTTTGTAGTAAGTTTCCTCCAAATGGTATACGCTTAATCGTTGAAATTATTTCGTCCAAAAGTTTATAGGTAGTAAAATATCAAAAATATGATTTTGAAACTGGTTAATTGTTGAAACTGGTTGATCACAAATATGAGAATGAAAATAATGTAAATTTACATAGGTTTCAAGTTATAGCAAAAAAGAACTCACCTCACCATGGCAAATTAAAAAAAAAAGAAGTAAAAGATAGCCCATTAAAAATTGAGAAATTTATTATTTTTTTTGTAGGTAAAAATGATGTATAAAAACACAAATAAACACAGAAAAATCATTCCTTCCCTCTCCAACTCAAATTCATAAAAAGCTTCCCCATAAATTAGTTAGAAGAAGCGACCTGAACTATTTATATGATGAGAAACTAAAAAAAATCCAAAAACCAAATTCAAAAAAGTATATTCTTGAAAGATCGAACACAAAAAAAGCGCTTCATTTGTAACTAAAATAAAATAATAATAATAATAATTGGTCAACTGGGAGTATGAAACAAAATCAAAAGCAATTAAATAAAGAAAAAACACACTTCATAACTGAACATATACGAAAAAGAAACCTGAGACTCCATAATTAAAAAAAGAAAACCAGTCTAATTGAATGAAACATAAAAAAAAAAAATTAAAAAAACCACACTTTGTAACAAAAACCCAATTAATCAATTCAATACAAATAGAACTAAAATCATACAAAAATTCTAGGCTAACTAACCATATAAGAAATCACATCATATTACCTAACAGCGGCTACGGTAGCTGTAACGGATGAACGCATTAAAATAATAGTAATAATACTATTCTTGAACGGGAAAAATAAAAAATAATAAAAACCAAACAAATGATCTGCTGAAATAAAATCATTTAAATTTTAATACCTGTAATGGCACCACCATAATGTTCGAAGCAAGATCAATGAGAATTTTTTTTTCCTTTGTTTTATACAGTGAGGTAAAGAGAATATTTTTTGAACTCGAAATTTTATCAGAGTAGGATGTAGTTGATCATCACCAATGAAAAAATTTAACATGCTAATACGATATGAGTATATTTCACCACATATTCTCAATTGATGATTGATGAGAAATTTGTTTTTTTTTTTTTATTGTGGAGAAGGGATTGATTAGGGAGTCGATTGTCATGGAGATGGGGATGAGGATTTGGCTTTTTTATGAACACGTGGTTTTTTTTTGGGCGAAAATAGGAGGTGAAGGTGGATTTGGACTGCATTTGCCTTTTAAGTCTAGGAGATGTGTAAATAAAAATTTATTTCAAAAATATGATGTGGAAATGCCACATGGCAAATGGTGGTGCTTTCTCTAAAGTGTGGTTTTTGTTTCTAACATAGTAAGATATTTATTATGTGTCAAAAAACAAAAGAGTAAGAATAATTAGAAGAAGAAAAAGATGATGCTTATAGTGATGCATGAATTCAATGATTATCTATTGATCGAGCTTATACATGAACGTGGAAGAAGTATGGTGGAATTTTGAGAGAATTGTGGCAACTGGCAAATGATAGGAGTTTGCTTATATTCCCTCCGGTTCTCAATATAAGATATTTTGAATTGACCTAGGTTTTACCTAGTATACATTTTTAATTAACAAAAAAATCTTAAAAGTATATTTTTGCATTTGTTGTGTTCTCTTGATTGTTATGAAATATTTTTAAGATTTTTTTTTTGTCAATTAAAAATGTGTACCAGGTGAAATCTAAGACAAATAAAAATACCTTATATTACAGACCGGATGGATTATTATTTAATTTTAAACTGTAGTCGAGTTCGCTAAACATGAAGTCTGTTTAATTTCTTATGTTTGCTTCAAAAACCTATAAATTAGTCAGTTCTCACTAGTCGCTACTACTATGTTGTAAAAGCCTTACGTCCGACAATAAAACTCCCACGAAGAAATGTGTACGACCACCTTCCGAACCAGGAATGTCCATAAGCCACTGCATGGAGTAATCTGAGGTCCATCCCATGCTTCTTAGAAACATCATATATGCTGATCTTGCTGCAAGGAGAAACAACTTTCATAAAAGAACTGCACTCGTAAAAAAACATACAAGCAAGAACAAATAAAACTAAACATCAGCCAATTGGCAATTACAGACCGGATGGAGTATTATTTAATTTTAAACTGTAGTCGAGTTTGCTAAACATGAAGTCTGTTTAATTTCTTATGTTTGCTTCAAAAACCTATAAATTAGTCAGTTCTCACTAGTCGCTACTACTATGTTGTAAAAGCTTTACGTCCGACAATAAAAAGGTCAAAACCAAACCCAAGCTTCCACAGATAGTCACTAAATCGGGGAAAAAATCACTATTTTACTAATGATAAAAACCATAATTTTCTATTGATGACCAAAATTTTGTCTGAGTTATTTAGGTTGCATTGTAGAGTAGCCGCATAAATAATATCTGATGTTTAATGGGATGCTGTTAATAGCTAAGATAGAGGAGGTCAGACAAATTAGTAGGCAACAAAATTCATATGACTATGTCTATTCGAGATTCGACTTATCTCCGAAGACAAGAAATTAAAGGATACGATTTTGGTTGGTTGATGGTTCAAAATTTGAGCAAAATTGCCAAAGAAATGTTGGATAGTTGATGTTTTGTTATCACCGATGTATTTATTGCATTTAGACACCACACCGTCACTCACACACAGATATACCACTGGCCAAATATCTTCCTTAAAGAATAGGTCTTATTATTTTCGTATTATGCTATTCCAAAATAAGAGTCCTTTTTATTCAACTATTTTAATTTTACAAACAGTTTTGATTCTTAATTTGTACGTAACAGAGATACAGTTGTGCTGAAAGAGAATTATAATTTTAATGGTTTGATATGTTCAAGATGAAGAGTTAAAGGAGCTGCTAAGTAGTACTAGAATTTTTATATGTGTGGCCGTGTTTATATTTTATTATGTGCCTTAAAAAAAAGTGGAAGAATAAGAAGAAAAAAAAGATGATGCTTATAGTGATGCATGAATTCAATGATTAATTATTGATCGAGCTTATACATGAACATGGAAGAAGTATGGTGGAATTTTGAGAGAATTGTGGCAACTGGCTGCAGATGATGGGAGTTTGATTAAATTTTTGAATTTTAAACTGAACTCGAGTTTGCTAAACACGAACTCTGTTCAATTTCTTATGTTCGCTTCAAAAGTCTATAAATTAGTCAGCCCTCACGAGCCGCTACTACTATGCTATAAAAGCCTTGCGCCGTACAGTAAAAAGGTCAAAACCAAACCCGGGCTGTCCTTACTTCCCTAGAAAATCACTAAATCATGGGTTTTTTATTTTTAAATACCAAAAAGGGGAAAACTCCTCGAGTGGGAAAAAACCACTATTTTTACTAATTTACTTTGATTTTTCGTTAGAAGTTGCCTGGATCTATGCCTGAAGCTAAATCACTTTCATGGGATAGGTTTTGATGAGTAATTTGTCAACAATCAAGATTATATACTACTGATGGGCATAATATCAAACACCCTTGCAACGATGTTCTGGAATTTTCCGCAAGACATGGAACTGGAATGCAAGTGAACAAAGTTTAACTTTCAAGTAGTTATATAAGTTGAACCGTGTTTATGGACAGTTGGGAGTGATTCTATGTACACAATGACCAATAATCTGCTTGCTCATCCCCCCATTTAGTCCAAGTTACAAAATTGTGCTTCACTTTCTCAAGTTAAGCCAAGTACTCCTAACATACTCAATTCCCCCTCCCCCAAACTAATCAAAATGCCTTCCTACTCAAACGAGAAGTTAGCTCAATGAACATTTGTTCTCTGCAAGGGATGGTCAAACCTCCCATTGGATGAGCATAACCAAATTCTTCCTCAGCTTGGCTTAACAATTCTTGGAAGGAAGGCTGGTTCAGGTAAGCAATGGGAATAACGTATCGCTTCTTCTCATCACTTTCTCCAACATAGACCGCACAATATCCCTTTGGGACATCTATGGAAGCTGAAGGAGAGGATTGGTAGTTTGATTCGAAAGAACTAGACCGCTTCAGGAGTTGCTTAGCTTGAATAATACGAGGCAGACGGATTGCCATTTCTCTCTAGATTGATGGAATTTGAGTTGGAAATGCTAGTTTTGAAGCAAAAGAAGCTTGAAATGTTTATGAACACTTGTGTTTGTCGAACCAACAATACTAATGAACGCCTTATATAGGAGTAGTTACAAGCTTGATACTCCTTGATGCAATGAATATTGATAAAAATTTGGTAGAATATAGTTTTTTGATGAGGCATGAATATGACCACATGGTTGTGTCTTTCCCAGCTAATGATTAAGCTTTTGGGAACCATGAATTCTGTTGATCAAATGATGCATGGCCTACCATTTTCTTCAACAAAAAGCACATAGGTCCCTTTGATATTGGAAATATCATTACTTGGGAAAACCACAGACTAAATTAAATCTGTTAGCCAAATGAGAGAGATCTTTCCAAAACCGCCAATTTGATCAACTTCACAAAAAAAAAAAAATTGTTACATCTAAATGGTGGGGCAAATGTGTGGATTAGGCAAAAACAATACCATGTTATCAAGGTCATGAGGTTATATCTGCCATTGACAAGTTGCTAACTTTACCATTATATTTCATGGTTATCCCAAGTGTCTGTAACTTGCCAATTTAAAAGTCTTGCAATTGTCGGTTGCTAACTCTACATGTTTAAACATTAATCTGTTCACGTCCAACAAACTGATGCATCATAATGTAAAATCAACAAATTGAATTCCACTTCCAAAAAAAAAAAAAAAAACAAATTGAATACATATCAGCCTAAGTTCACTATGGGTAGTTTTGTCATCAGAATGAACCAGACTAAGTGAGAACGCCCAAAACCAAAAAAAAAAAAAAAAAAAAAGAAGAAGGAAAAAAGGAAAAGAAAAAAGGAAAAGATCAAACCAGGAATTATGAATAGGACAACTTAAATCCTGTCAAATTTTACACGGTAACATAATGCATGATTTACTGATTTAGTGATTTTGACTACTGACAGGAAAAACATCAGTTTGAGTAGGAAACAAAGTGTTAAGAATATCAATTTTTTTTTTTCGCTTCTTTAAGATTGTCACGAGCTGGTAATAAAGCTCAAATAGTACTACTTGTCTCTAAGTTTCCTGTTTGTTATCATCATTCTGTTAAATTAAATACACTAGTATGATTTGGACGTACCAGTCATTAAAAGGAAACACATACTATAAGTGAAGGAAACATCGCCGCGCTTTATAAAATCTATTGCTTGCAGATACCAAATTAGAATTTGATGTAGTAAAAATAATGCAGATTGATACATTAAAATCATCCAAAAGTGATGTTTAGAATACTGACTCATTTACCCAGAACAGGAGAACATTAATACGATGAAATGTTGTTCTATAATATTTGCACAGAAAGACACTTGAACTGGAGCAAGCCAAGAAGCCTCGAATTGTCAACTAGTTGTAAATTAGTCTTTGTATTAATGAATACAGCAGGAATGGCCTTATGTACATATTCAGTAATGCGCGCTTGTTTCTTTCCTCGTAGCCTAAGTTACAAAATTTTGCTTTGCTTTACTATACATCTCCGCAAACTAACTAACATGCCTTCCTACACAAACGAGAAGTTAGATCAATGAACTTTTCCTCTCTGCAAGGGATTGTCAAGCCTCCCATTGGATGATCGTACCCAAATTCTTCCTCAGCTTGGCTTAACAATTCTTGGAAGGAGGGTTCATTAAGGTAAGCAATAGGAATCACATATCGTTTTCTCTCATCACTTTCTCCAACATAAACAGCACAATGTCCCCTTGGAACGTCTACTGCGTTGTTTGATCCAAAGGAAATAGACCGCTTCAGGAGTTGCTTAGCTTGATTTACACGAGGCAGACGGATCGCCATTTTTGAATAGAATGGTGAAAATTTGTCAAAGGAAAAAGCTGATTTTACTGCAAAATTCAGCTGAAGAACACTGGTGGTTGTTTTTCTTTGTCAAACAACGAGTTATAAGGAAAGGTTTATATAGAAGCAGCAAAGGCTTGATATTGATGCAATGGACTACCACCAAGATAATTTTCAGATGAGGCATTTTAATCACATGGTAATGTCTTTCCCAACTAATGATTAAGCATTTTAAGAACCATATGTTCTGTTGATAAGCGGATGCAATGGCCTACCATTTTCTTCAACAAAGAGCAGAAAGGCCCCCTCTTTTGTTATTAAAAGGTTTTATTACCCCTCAGAAATCCACAAGCTAGAGCAAAATCTATTGGCCTGAAGGAATAGATCTTTTCAAACTGCCCATTTGACCAACTTCACAAAAAATGGTGGGGCAAATTATGCTTATGAATTATGCAATGGATTTGGCAGAACAAAACCATGTGATGAGAGTAATCATGAGCTTATATCTCTGCAAATTGACATTGTAGCTGATTTTTTCATGAAAGTTTTCGACTCCATACATAGTTATCCCAAGTGTTTGCAGCTGACCAACCTAGTGTCTTCACATTGTCGGTTGCTAATAATACAAGATGAAACAATCTGGTTACATTTAACAAGTTGACGTACTATCAATACACTAATAGCAGATTGGCCTAACATTTCAATAATCATCCAAGAAACCTAAGTCATGTTTCCTGTAATTTGATCAGGAAAGTATTAAATACTTAAAAAACTTAATATTGCAATCCGTAAGTAGTTAATTAGGAGAGCAATTGGATAATGTAGAATCCCCTTCATGGAAGTTTGATCTTCAAAGCTTTCCAGTTGCATTGAAGTCGTGACTTGTGATAAGAGGCATTATTTTAAGTGAAGAAATGTTACTATGATTCTGAAGGAATTAAATTTCAGTTGGTAAATCCAAAGCAATTTCTTCTTTTTAGTATTGCACAGTTAAACTACAATTTGATTAATCAGGATCAAACCGGTGGACACTCAAGAAACAAATCTCTCCCAATTTTTTAACTTTTTTTTCCAGTAGAACGCCTTTTAAATTCAAGCAACAATATTGAATATTCTGCTCGTCAGAGCCATCTACTACATCATATTCTTAACCATATGCTAATCACTGAAGGTGCAATATATACACTATCTTAATAAGCAAGTCCATAATTCGAATACGTGTCTTAATAATTATTAAATAGATGTTACATTTATTACATGGACCAAGAGTATCGGTCGAGGTTGGTAGCGTCACAAAGCGGCCATTCAATATATTGGGAAGGGAGTAGGCATTTTTTTTCCTTCCACGTTCTGTATGCAGACGCATGTATCACGCTTCTATTCTGGAGGCGGCAAACCGAATAACACCTCCGTCGTAAATTTGCTCTAACATACTAATGATAAGAGTAAAAACTAAAACACCATGTCAATGAAGAAGATCCGAGTAATAATAAACATTAAAGAGGACTCTGTTCTTCATATTTGATATCTTGTCTTGACGTAATCATATATAAAAAAACCAAGGAAAACTGTACAAGTTAAAAAGACGTTCCAATCCTTGGAGAGATTACACTACAAAACGGTGCAAATCTCTATAACCTACGTACAGCTTAATTACTAACTAAACTGACCACCATATTACAAGCTTTATTTTTGATGACTCAAACGAGAAGTAAGATCAAGAAAGATGTCTTGTCTGCAGGGGATTGTCAAGCCTCCCAAGATTGGATGATCGAACCCATATTCTTCTTCGGCTTGTTGCAACAAATCCTGGAACCAGGGCTGGTTTAAGTAAGCCACCGGGATCACGAACCTCTTTGTCTTTTCAGATTCTTCTCCAACATACACTGCAAAATAGCCCTTTGGAATATCCAGAAAATTAGAACAAGAAGAAGAAGATCGTCTCAGACATTGGTTTGCTTGAATAATCCTAGGCAGACGGATTGCCATGGGCGATTCGATTATGTAACCGATAAAAGATGTAGATTTTGTAATGTTTTGATGTGTAATCCTGAAGCTTAAAACAGAGGAAAACTGTTTGATATTTATAGGACGCGGACTATTGTTGGTGGGCGGTGGAAGAAACAATTAAATGGATGGACGGCTTAGATTGAGAGAGAGAGATTCAGGGAACTTGCATTGTTACTCGGTTTTGCGTTCTGTTAATTGCATTTAGCTTCCCTCAAGTTTTTCTAATTTCCTAAATTTGCCTTTTAAGAGATCAAGTGTGTCACTTATTAAATACCTCCATGTTTAATTTCTCTGCCACGTTTGTTTTTCCCCCAGGTGTGAATTTTTTATTTTTTTTATTTTTTTGTGTACAACCCTAGTGTGAAATTGTAATTAGAGATTTGAATGGCTCCTTAGATATTTGAATTTCTTCACTCCTATTGCAGGCATAGATACTCTTTTATTTATTTGGTAGCCACAACAAATATACTAGTTTCATCAGTAAGTCTTGTGTGTATGAACTATGAAATAGTATCATTGTCTAGTTTTTTTCTAGTCGATCTCCTAGGATATAAAAAAAAAATGCTTATGAAGATCGTCTAAGACATTCAAGTAATTTGATCACGTAAAATAAGATCTCAGGAAACAAGTAATTCGGATTAAGCAAAGCAATATTTTGAAAATCTAAGAATTTAATGTGACGAAGTGGTACGATCTACAAGGCTTCAAAACGCTATATCGCCTGAGGGTATTATTAGTTAGGGAATTTCCCCGATTAATTGGAATTCTTTAAGATGATATATGGAATAACATAAACTTGGGGGGGTCGTTTGCAACTAACTAAGCATATGATGATGATCTAGGAATTAGAAGTTAAGAACCGCGTAGTTTATTGAAAAGTTAAATAGGAGGCCTACCATTTGATGACCATTTTTTCTCCATGAAATCATTTGGAAGTAGATATGAATGAATAAAACCCCGTTGGAAATTCTTGGCCTGAAATAAAACTTTTTTTTTTTAATGCGTACACCAAATCATGCCAGACAACCAATAAAAATTGTTAGTATGTTATGTTTATCAGCTTTAGTTGCACTTTTAAGGTCAAGAATGAAATGATGAATATTATTGGATTAGGCTAATCGATCTCCTTGCTGATCAAAAGCTGCCACTTGCTCCAAATATGTGTCAGTTCCAAGATGGATTACTAAACTGAACTAATTAAATTAAATTATCCCTTTGATTCAATAATCAGATTTGACTCACTAAAATACATAATCATGGAAAAAGGAAGTTGGAGCTGGCCAGGAAGTTTTGCTAGTATATAGCTTAATCTATCAGACGCTCTGCAATTATTTCATCAGAATCATCATGATCGCCGCTGTAAACCTAGGCCCCCATTGACCGATTTTTTTTATAATGTAATCCTATAAAAAATAGATAAACTATTCGTTTTAAATTTGGACCGACTCCAATTGACATTTTGAGAATTTTATAGATACGCCCATGAATCACTTAGTGTCGATGCATTATATATATTTGTTGAGAACTTGTTAATGATATACATGTTCGATGCATAAAAAACTTAGAGCAGAGTTTTGCAATCTACTTAATTTCCTTGGTGAATTAATTAATCAACAAATCAATGTGATATTAATATGGTTTAATTTAGTTAATAACCTTCAAACTAGTATCTATTCGGGATGTTCTCCAGCCAAAACCATGTCATGTTGTATCTTGCAATGTACTGTATAAGTTTTGTTTGTCACAGTATACTCGTTACAAAAGAAACACAAAAACAAAAAAAAAACCAAAAAGAATGCCTGCAATTTACGGGTTGATCTAATTAAGCTGATAATACTTGTCATGTACGATAATCTTTTAATGAATGGGGTGAAAATCAATAACGATAATTTGGAAGATGCCAAATTAATCCTAATGATATTTCAAAGTGATGGATACGTACATTGTATGAACATTAAGATTGAGACCTTGTTCACATCATGGGACAACTTGAACTAGTCTTTAATCGGATTATGCTTTCCTTAATTCTGATTCAAATTCTTCTCCTTGTCCCCAGCACCTATAAAAGTGGATTCCATTTACAGAGTAGATGTAATTTTTAGTTTTTATTTTTATTTTTTTGGGTTGGGGGGTTGGTGTTTTTAAATAATAAAGAAACAACATGTATAAATTAATTATGTATAACTAGTTAATGGATGAGTTCAACTACATTTTGTTTCTTGTAATAGTGTCAATAAAAACTAAAAATAACATACAAGCTCAGGAAAAGGTCATCATCCTTATTGCACTATTTAATCCAATGATTATTATTGTTATTAGACGGAGAGAGTGTATATTAATATCGATCATTTGGCCCAAAACTGATGGCCGATACGTACACCTTACAGTCCTTGACTACGTACTTCCCAGTTTCCTCAACCCAACTAACTCATAATCGAGAGAAAAAGAAATTTGATTAACGTTAAAAGAAGTCAAAACAAATAATAAGGGCCATCCTAGTGTACAGCCTAAATCCAGATCAGTTAATTTTTCACTTGTCAACTTCTAATTAATATTACTACTAATTAAATACTTGAACTATTGCGAGTCGAAATCAGATGGTACACCTTAAACTAAACCATATGAAATGTGTCATTTCATGAATGGGTTTCATTAATTAATTTTTCTTCATATGAACAATCATGATTTGTCACCTGTACCTTAATCATGATATCATGCCTACACAAGGAAAATGGCCGAACCACTGTTTCAATCAACAGAAAAACAACTTGAAAAAACAAATTAATAATCGAGCCATTTGAAATCTGTGACATTTCTCCTCAAAGACCAGAACGCTTTAAATTTCATGGTCCTGCTTTATTCAAAGTCAATAAATAGCTTTTACGGTTTTACCCATTAACAATGCAAATTTTTATTCCTCTTTCCCTACCTGGTCCTTTTCATAAGACGCAATCAAAATTGAATTCAGATTAAAAAATTGTATCTTATAAATGGTGCTTAGAAAGAGTAGCAAGCAGGAGAGCTTTCATTCATTTGTGTTTTTTTTTTTTTTTTTGGGGGGCGTAGATGACATTGAGATGATGTGATTGGAAAAGAAAACGGCATAATATTGTTGTTGAAAGTCACTCATTTTTTTTTTTTTGTAATTGGCCGGTAAGAGATAATTTTCATTTCTCTAAGATGTTTAATCTGTATTTTAATTTCTTAGACATTTAATAGCCTTTTAGTTAACTAATTAAGATATCATTTTCAAACGTCCTAATTAGTCCTAGGATCCATACATGAGTAACATACACGCATATTGGACAAGCCTCTCTTAGTTGTTTTTGGACAAAAAATGAGGAGTAGAGTTAGACAATACCACCTGAATGCATATATACAGACCACGTTCAATGTTTTCAACATCAGTGAGATTTTATTTTGCTTTTGGTGTAGGCACAAAAAAAAAAAAAAAAAGTGGCTTTGGTGTAAGATCGATTGCGAGAAATGATTTCTGCTTTTTTTATTTTTTTTTTGAGGCAAATGATATAGGATGTGAAAACAGCTAGATATAAATAGTATCAAGTGGACTATTTTCTTCATTAGTATTGCTTGTGGTTCCTCAAAGTGGTAGGGCTATGATGTCTTCCAATACATTAGGCAAAACCATGTGATTATTTGCCAATTTCCTTTCTCAAATCCAATAATTCATCTCTGAGGGTTATTTTTTCTTCTATTTCTTTTACCATCCCAAGATGCTATATATTAAGCTGAGGTGCCAAAGCAAGAATATCACCAAGTCATCACATTCTTCTTCTAGCTATACTTTGCTTTCTTTCAGCACTTCTTATTCAATCATCACCAAATTCTCTTCTTCTTTAATAAAAATGGGAGTAGTCCAATTGGCTGGAATTTCTCAGGCAACACAAAAGCTCAGAAGAACCATTTCACCCAAAAAGGGAAGCCTAAATTCAAGAATGAACAATGTCCCAAAAGGCCATTTTGCAGTTTATGTTGGTGAGAATTACAGAAGGTTTGTGATACCAATTGCTTACTTGAACCATCCTTTGTTCCAAGATTTATTGCATTGTGCCGAGGAAGAATTTGGGTACAGCCATCCAATGGGGGGTCTCACCATTCCTTGCTCAGAAGATTACTTCATCAATGTCACTTCTTGTATTAGTTCATCTTTATAGATTGGTTGATGCCATGATATAATTAGTGATTGATTGATTCATTAATTGTAAACTAGCTTTGTTGATTTAGAGAAACAGAAAAAATTTGACCCCAAATGAGAGACAATCATTTCAGTCTCTTCAATTTTGTATCATAAAAATTGAGTTCTTGATCAATGTAATGTGGAGTTACATGGTTAATTTATTCAAGGCTTCTTGTCAAAAAAAAATTTGAGCTGAATCTCTGACATGGCCCTCATAATTCAATCACAACGGTAATTGAATGATCTTCTTGAAAATATTACCTAAGTTGCCTTAGAAAAATAGTCTAATTTATTGAACTGAAACAATAATACAAACTATCATTACATTGAATTATATTACAGTAATATCATCTTCTACCATTTACGATGGTAGATGCATATTATTTCCAAGAAGGTGAATTTTCTTGTATTATTATTTCAAAAAGTTAATATTACGGGGGTGACATTGACATTTGACAGCACCAATTGAACTTGTAATCAGCACCAATTCAGAATGTTTGTTGGTTTTTTCAGAATTTTTAATTAATATCTGTCTCATTTCAATATACTCTTTTACATTCCCATCTTTTTATATTTTCAATAAAAAAAAATACACTTAAAAAACAATCTAAACATACCCCAAATTACTTTATGACTTTTGTCATTTTCTTTTTCACAAAAGAAAAGGACTTTATCATTATTAGTTAAATATACATTGACTTCTTCAGCAGGTTCAGTCCACGAATAAAATATACTTCTGTATGGTAAAAAAGATTGACATTAGATGTCTACACTTGGCTTTTAAAAAAAAATTATATCTGATCAGTAAGCCATCCCTTCTCACAAACGGAAACTGAATGGGCTAATTAACATATCAATGCCAATAAATTGAACCTCAAGTCAAACTTCCAACTTAAACCCAACAGTATTTTACAATTATAAACCAATGCTAGATCAGGTCAACTCTCCATAAATGATGAATGCATCCTTAGAAAAATTAACTCTGCACATGAATCCAAATTATTGTAGATGAATAACCTCTAATTTATTTGTATGGAAATATGGAATTGACAATGTTTAACAAATGATTCACAATTCCAAAGGAAGGGAGGGAATTGTCAATTTTCTTTTCTTTTTTCCTTTTTTTTTTTTAGGAAACTGCGGTAAGCTTCACTTTCTTAGTATAAAATGCGTAAATAAAACTTCATTTTATATAATATCTCTTATATATAAATGCATTATTAAGAAAAATAATTTACAATTGCGTATTAGTCACTATTATATAATTCGGTTTCACTGGAATATATATATATATATATATATATATGTTGTTAACAGTATAGAATGCATGGTATATTTAGTTAAAAAGTATATCACTTTCTCGCTAGGTTCACTGGATAAATTCAACAATCAAAACATTCTTAGAAAGTACTTCACTTTGCTATCTTATTTTGAAGGAAAAAATATATGTATATATATAGTATAATATACATGACGCATCTTATTTAAAGTGTACATCTTACTGCATGATATAAGTTTAAAGGCATGAAGCATGCTTCAACTGGTTCATAATTAGTTTTGACCAGACGTCAACCAGCCAAAATGAAGATATAGTTATGATAATTGTATAATTATCTTCATGTACCAACTATAACCTTATCTATAAACATACCTACAATGTAATCAACATCAAGTGGCCGTTGAATTGATTCTTCATCATCAAGTCTACTCTTCCGAGTCCTCACAAGTCACAAGCAAAAAAAAAGTTGATGATGGGACGCAACAAACTTAAAAGAATTGGATATATAGATATATTTGATTAAATATTATATTAATTTGTGACAAAATAAATAATACATTAGCTGGAGAAGGAAAACACACACATGGCTGCATGTTCAGAAATGGGAAGGGGTGGAGGGCCCGTACGAAGGTACATTTGCCTCTTCTGGAATAATGAAGAACAACTACGTGACACTCAAACAACATTCCCACTTTCGAGTTTTAGACCACTTGTAGTATGCAGCAGATTTGTGTATTGTTATATACTTATATATATGAATAACAACGGAAAAATGCATCAACTACTCAACATTCCTAGCTAGTTGTAGAAACTAGAAACTATGGGCAAGGGTTTTTATATGTATTATATCATCTAATCGTACATATACTATGGACGGTTTTTCAAAATACTAATATTTTTTTATAAACTAAATGGGGATTGATTATTCAATTGTTTCTACAGATGCTATTGCTCTTGTTTTTGAAATTTAATTGCAACGCCCTTGTTTGTAAGGAAATCATATGGTCCACCAAAATTGGATAGGATTTCAATTTGTCAAAGACATGTCTATTTCTTGCTGCAACAGAAATGCGCGTATATATGAACACGACCCCTCATGGGGCTATGAATCAACCATATATATCATTTCTCCAAAGAGCTTGAAAATCAAGTTGATCAACTCATAATCCAAATTCTACAGTAATCAAAACATATCTGATATGGAAATCCGCTTGATAGCTAATTCTATGGTATAATGGTAATCCATGGAAAGCATCTGTTTGATTAGGGAAATTAGGGTAAATAATTTGCGTCCAAGTGGCATCAAAGCTGATGTTCAAAAAGGACACTTAGCAGTTTATGTTGGACAAATCTTGTAATAATGATGATAAACAGCCGTTTGTGATTCCAAATTTCCTAGTTAAATTAAGCAGCCTTTGTTCCAATATTCACTAAGACGTGCTCAAGAAGAATATGGATTTGCTCATCCCACGGGTGGACTCACCATTCCATGCCGTAAAAACTACCTTTCTTGCTATGGTTTCCACATTCAACTGAGGGATTAATTGTACTACATATCGTTGTTGTCATTATTTAAATGTAGTCACTTTACTTTGTTTTGTTTTGTTTCAAGACGCGTATATGAATTAGCTCAATTTTTTACGTAGTGCAGAAATAATGGAGTAATCCTACCTTTATACGTGACACAAAAGCCTAATTTTATATATAGCAATGTATGAATTTTTAATAACAACAGTAGTATCATAAAGCTTGTATTGCATTAAATCGTGGAAATCAGCTATATGTGTTTCTTCATGATGATGTACGTACGGGCTATTTGTAATTAAAATAGTTCTCATCTTAATTTCGTAAAGTAGGTGGTGGTGTTATTTGTTTTATGACAGCCCATTACTCCGTCAAGTAACTTTTAATCGGAGAGAAGATTCAAAATGAAGCAAAACCTTGGCTTTGACAAGAAGGAAAAGGAATGAAGGAACAAGGGTCAAAATTTGAGCACAACTTGCACAAACAAAGAAAAAAAAAAAAAATCAAAGTAGTGTAATGTGTTTAGAAAATGAAAATGAGAGAACTAACACGATGATTGAGGAAAAACTCACATGCATGTACTTTGTATGGACATCATGCATGTGCCTCAAATATTTTGAAAGAGAAATATCGTGAAAATTAATCAACCTGAAGAGAAGGGCTGGCTTGGTATGGGCAATCGCGTAAGAATATATTGGAACTAATGAATTTTGAAAAATTGTATTCGGGAAAATAAGTAATAGAATCACACAGATTCAGATTGTAATGCGTAACTGCCAGAGGAGTGAACGTGTATGGATGATATATGTTTTTATGGGGATAAAAAGTTGATCTTTGTTGTGTTGGGGATTTAATATATAATTGATCATGATCGTCGCGTATGTATTTATGCACTAGCTATTTATTATGAACATGGAAAGATGTATGATGGAATTTCGGGAAATCTGTTGTAGCAAAGTTGGCAACCATTTTATTATATATTTATACATTTATATCAAGTTAGGATTTAAGAATTTCTAAGATATTGCTTATTAATATCCATCTAATAATCATTGAATTAAGACTTAAGAATTAAGATTTTTTCCTAAGGTAGAGACTAATCCCCCGATAACCTTTTTTTTTCCTCCTTTAATAAATATACAATGAAGGAGGAATATCAAAATTTAAAAGGCTTTTAACCAAAGAAAAAAAATTAACTCTAAATTAAGCTATAAACTATAAATTAAGAGGTCAATTCTGCTGCAGAGTTGTTCATCTAAAAAATGATCCTTTTGATTTAATTCTACTTCATACATAGAAATCAAAAGTATAGAAGCCATCATTTCTGAGAACAATTAATTAACGGAAAACTTCAATCTCAACTTTTCAAAAGTATGTATATTTTTGTTTCCTTTACCTCTTTGGAAATATATATATATATATATATATATATATATATAAAAGAGGAGGATTCTTGTTTACATGTCCAGATTAATTACATCATATAATCTTGAATTATTCATTAAAAAAAAATGAATGTCTCTACAGATAAACTCTCTATTCAAAACTGAACATGCATGTAACAACTACGTCTATCTGCTCCTTACGTAAATAATAATTAAACTAGAGCAACTGCAACTGAAGTCGAGAAGTCATGATTGAAACAAAAGCATCCTCATGGCATGGAATGGTTAAGCCACCCATAGGATGATCAAACCCAAACTCATCCTCCCATTTTCGCAACAAATCTTGAAATGTGGGATGATTCAAGTATGCAATCGGCAGCACAAACCGCTTCTTGTCTTCTCCAACGTAAACCGCGAAATGGCCTTTTGGAACCACATGATCCTCTGTTTGATTCATATGGTGTTTTCTACTCGCAGCTGATTGCAGCCTGTGGAATTGCCTTGCGTTATTGGAAAATATCAGAGATGGCAATCGGATACCCATTTTATTATGATGAAAGTCACTGATAAACTGACACGCTGGCTGAAGCTAGTATTTATAGACTGATTTTTTTTATCATGCACGTTATGCTAGCTTTTTTGTTTTTTTTTTTTTGGGCTCACAAACTGGAAAATCTGAAAAACCCTCTTCTTTAATTTGATATGAGAATTTGTGTGTTTGTGTTCATAAGTTCCTGGTTTGGGGACGGTATTTATAGTGTCACTACATTGACCAAATTCAGAGATATGGGTTGTAATGGGCGCTACATTATTGAGCCTCACGTGGCTTTCCTCGTATTTTACAGCTTTGATTAACAGATTGAATAGCGCTACCTCATTTGTGATTTTCAGACTTATCCTTTCTAGTTTAAGTCCTCATTTTCCGGGAAGTAAGGAGACCCGCATTTAACGGGAATCCACTTGGCTTCCGTTGCCAACTAATTATGAAAATTTTTTTTTTTAAAAAAGAAACAATTTCTTTGATATAAAGGAGATTAAGAATGCTTTTCGAAAAGCTAATTTTGTGGTGGATTATTTGATATCGTTCGCACTACAAGATCTACTACAAGATCTTGAACGGTCATAAGAGTTTACGATTACTCCACCGGTGATTTTTCTGTAATTAGAACCTGATATTATAGAGTTGTACATGCCCCTAATACGTTGAGTTGATTTAGGGATTTTGCAAATTCTTTGGTTTGAAAAAAAAAATAAAGAAAAAGAAAGGGAATTAAGAAGTAAGATATGTAACGTCACCTTAACTGGATCAATGATTGAATTAAGCCACCTTAAACGTCAACTTCCGTTTTCAGTTATTACAATTATCATCATCATGTACTCGGTTCGCCGTACGTTCTGGTACAGTTATGCATCATTTACTGAGATTCTACGTACACTTTTAAATCAATAATTCATTCCAAATTTTCAATATCCATCAATGATAAATAGAAAATTCCCTCGTTTTGATGTGCTTCAAGGAAGAAGCAAATTAAATTATTTAGTGAGCCTGACTCATTGCCTATGAAATGCACTAGATTGGTGGCTGTTAGGGTTTTCTTTCCCCGCCCCAATTCATGTGTTGCAAATTGAGTTATGAAACATCTCGCCATATATAGAGTAGTAACACTTGAACTTCAACCAATTAACTATTGTACATTGCTTTATTTATTCCAAAATAATTATCTAGTTTCGATTTTTTACTTGTAATTAAGTACAATTTGTACTAAAAGTGAAAATTAAAGCTGGATAATTTTTTTGAGAAATATCTCAGTTTAAAATTATTATCATGTTAATTAATAACTACAGATATAAAACATAGAAAGGAACTAGTATTATGTTATTACAGTACTTTTTCCAGGATTATTATGAATGACCGCTAACTATCCTATGCAATTGATGCACTACACTCATCGGCATTTAACTTTTCTTTTTTAAAAAATATGCAACTGAGCAATGCCTTACAATAAGTGAGCTATCATTTATAGGTAAGTACGCAACGAATATTTCCGAAACAAGTGAGCAATGCATAAAATTTTTTAGGAACAAACATTTATGTCAAAGCGTAATGTGTATATACTTTGTCAATGTATGATGGGCGCAGAAATATAAAATTATTTGACGACTTTATCACTATTCGTTTACCCAAATGATCAAAACAGACTTCAACGTTACTGGCTAAATTATGCGTTGACTAATAAATAATTAGTAGTCAGTAATCATGCATGCTCTTAATTCTCATAGTGCCTTCCCACAACGCAAAATAATTGAGCAAAGTAACAAATGGACCAAAAAATTTGTTCAAGTCAAACTGCCAACTTAACCCAGTAGTACTATACAATTAAACAACTAAAATTAGGTCAACTCCATAAATAATGAACATATCCTTTAAAAACTAACTCTGTCATGACTCATGACTCCAAATTATTGGGGACGAATAACCACTAATAATTGTGTATTTGGAGTTATGGAATTAAGTAATAGTAAAGCTTTATGCATAACTATTGCAAATAGTGCCTTGTATGAAAGCATACTGTAATGGTGTGAGAAACCTTGACTTTCCTTCTGTTTTTCTCTTAAGATACCAAAATTATTATTATTTTTTGTTTTGTAAAAGGATACCAAAATTATTTATTTAATGATAATAATTAGACGTGAAACATTCTTTTTCGACGATGTATATGTTGAATTAGTTAGCATATTGATTGACGGAGCCACTGAACCAGGGATATATAATAATTCCCTGATTCAACAAAACCGCGGCATCTATATATCTCAGACCTACCCTCTCAAATTGATAATTAAATTCCAAAGGAAGGAGAGAATTATAACAATTCTTTATTTAAATGGAAATAAAAGGGGAAAAGAATTAAAACCGACGGGCGCGGGAAGCTTTCACTTCCTACTTCTTAGTAGCTGGAACTAATATTCAGACTCTCAGGTTTACTCCCACACTACTCAATTATTAATGATACGATCTTATAATGCATTTTTCAAAAATAACAATAACAATAATAGTATGCTAGTACATTATTTTTATATATATAAGCCGTAAGCGACACTACTGCGTACCTTCCACTAAATGATTTTATCAAGATTAGCATACTAATAATTCATGTTAACAATGCTTGATTGCTAGGTGTTTTCAACAAAATCGCCCACCATTGGTTCTTAAAACGTTTTGTACCATACTTCTGATATAATATCTTTGGCTTTTGATCTCTGAAATAAATCTTAAATAGAATTAAATGAAAATGAGTATGAATTTGCATGAAGTCCATCTCAACTTGTTTATAATTGATTTACTGTAGAGTGTGAACTAGCTAAAAATGAATCTAGCTAGACAATATTTTTTCTCTTCATGCAACATCTATCACCTTATCTAGCTATGCATATAATCAAACATCAAGTGGCCGTTGAATTGGTTCTTTCATGAAGTCTACCCCTCACAAGTCGTAAGCAAGAAAAAGCTTCTGATGGGACGCAACAGAAGAAATGGATATATAGATATACAATAAAATAAATTATGTAGTCGCTGGAGAAGGAAAACAAACACATGGCTGCATGTTCAGAAATGGGAGGGGATGGAGGGCCCGTACAAAGGTACATTTGCCTCTTGTGGAAATAATGTACAACACGAACATGACACCCAAAACATATTAGGCCACTTGAAGCATATTATATGCAGCAGATTTATGTATTTGAACCTGAAATAAGACACCAAACTACTAAAGATTCCTAGTTGTAGAAACAATGGGCGAGAGTTTTATATGTATATACAAATAGATAATCTAACTAGAATCGTATGTACATAATTACATACATACTATATACTATGGACGGTTTTTCAGATTGATCTTTTGGTGTGAAATCAAGTGGCATGCTCTTATATGTGCTTGGTTTTTTGAAGTACAATTCCAGTATATATCATCATGAAATTAATTGCATCTTCTTGTTTGTTAGGAAATTAATGGTCCACCAAAATTGGATAGGGTTTCAATTTGTCAAAGACATGTCTATTTCTTGCTGCACAGAAATGCGCGTATATATGAACACGACCCCCATCATCAAACTATATAAATCAAACTCATTATTTTTTCGATAAACTTCAAAATCAACTTGATTCAAAACTTGACTCATAATCCAAATTCCAATCCTAATCAAAATATCTGAGATGGGAATTCGGTCGTTGGCTAGTTCTATGGTGCTCCATGCAAAGCATCTGTTTAGGGCAAGGGCTAATATTCATGATTTGAGTGGAAGTAGCATCAAAACTGATGTTTCAAGAGGTCACTTGGCAGTTTATGTTGGAGACGATGATACTCTTCAGTCTTGTAATAATAAAAATAACCATCGTTTTGTGGTTCCAATTTCCTATCTGAAGCACCCTTTGTTCCAAGATTTACTTCGACGTGCTGAGGAAGAACATGGATTTGCACATCCCATGGGTGGTCTCACCATTCCATGCAGTAAAACTGCCTTTCTTGATATGTCTTCCCAATTCAACGAGGCACTGTAAATTTGTAATAGTAATTTTATCCTGAAATGTAGGAGTCTCGCTTTATTTGTTTTGTTTTGTTTTTCGTCAGGCTCAACAGATACACACTTAATTTGATATGTGTATATATGTAGACCAATTTTACAAGTATTAAAATGAATTGATATATCGGTCAGCTATCCTGGTCAGTCCGATAACCATAAATAATCTCTTATAAAAATTATACGTACGTTCAATCTAGTCATTATTGGAATTCGATAAATTTGGGTTAAAGAGAACATAAGATATGGTATTAATTAGCTGAAAATTAACTTATAGTAATCATGAGTACGTACTACCAGATATAAAAAAAAAAAAAAAAAGCTAGCTAGAGATATGAAGCATCAAGTTCGAGGTGATGATGATATATGTACGGGCGTTGTCATTTAAATAAAATTTCTTACTGGATGCGCCATGTGCTCATGATCATAATTCCCTTGAAAGTTAAAACATAAAGCTCTTAGAGATGGGCGATTTTAAATAAATAGCAAAGAATTTTGAAGATGGGAAAAGAACGTAGAACCAGGATCGAAAGGCCGCAACTTGCAGAATGAAAATATATATATATATATATATATATATATATATTAAAAGTACTGTACTGTGTGGAGAAAATGATACTAGAACTAACACAATGATTGAGGAAAAACCACATGTACTTTGTAAGGACATCATGTGCCTTTAACTTTTTGAGAGAGAAAAATCGTGAATTAACCTGGAGGGAGAAGGGCTGCTTTAGTATGGGGCAATCGCGTTACAGATAGTGAATGTAGAAATATTGGGAATGAATAATAAAATTTTTTAAAAAAAAAAATTGTAAAGAAAATAATAGAATCCCAGATTGTAATACATAACTGCCAGAACGGTGAACGTGTATAAACATATCTTTTATGGGATAAAGAGTTGATATTCATTCTGTTGAGGATTCAATAATTGATCAGGCATCCTGTATGTAAAGAACATGGAAGATGGGGAATTTTGGAAAATTTATAGTGGGAAAGTTGGCAACTGGCAATTTTATCTTTAGAAGAGTACGTCCTTAGGGTCCAAGATCCAAGAATTTATAAGAAATGATTAATTAATAAATACTTCTTAATGATTCCTAATCATTGAATAATTTGGATATATAGCTAATGATTTAGATTTGTACGTAAAGGAATTCAAGGAATCGCCAACTGTACTAATTATGATTAATTAGGGTTCACATTACATCCCTTACTGTTGTTCTATCATCATCAATCTGGCTCTCTTGCTGCACAAGCTAATTAATTATAAAGCCATTTGTTAGAATTGGTATCGGAATTTGAAAGTCTGTACTATTCTCTAAAATTTAATATCTATATTCGTATAGGAAGAATGCATATATACATGGATCAAAGAGATCTGAATAGTCTCACCATATGGATTAACGTTATTTCTTATGGTTAAAATTCAATACATTGGCATTCTTAACTTACTTCAATCTATTCGTGCAATGATTAATTTGGTGGAGAAAAATGGGATAGGCAATATAATTTAAAGTACTACTTTTTCCCTTAATCCAATTCAAATTGTTAACAAGGATTAATGCGTCTTCCTCAGTATTTAGTTAAGATCAATCGGAGTGCTTTAGAAAAATTAGAAGCCTGTGCCCCTCTTGACTAATGAGATCATGAGGCTTGACTCTTGAGAAGTACAACCAAGTTACTAAATTCATTTTGTTTTTTCGTACAATAAAGGAGTTGTGGGTCAAAAACCTATAATTTGCGGATAGTAAACCTGATTACTTAGGTCTTGTTTCATCCACTAAAAATTTAACACATAGTATTAAAAAAAAAGAGTGAATGAACCAATAAATGTTAAAAGGTTGGTCATCGTCAAGAGATGTACTACTAAATGTTAAAAGGTTGCTTAATCAAATCATTTTCAGCTCCATGAAAATGATACTATTTAGAAACCACAAGAAAATTGATAACTTTCATGCATATATAGTTGCATACACTACTGCCTCGGTACCTTTTCGAGAAGTTAAAAAAATTCATGCTTTCTTCTCCCATGAGGGGGTATTCAGAAAAAACTCAGAACATTATCACAAGGTCCATCTTCAAAACTTAGCCGCGGAATTTGGCTAACAAAAGTTTAGTATTAGTAAAGGGAAATCAAACCTGTCAGAACTGAGCTAATTCAGTAAGATTAAACTATAACATTGTCAGGAAACTGAACTAAACTGTATTGCACATGACTCCGTTATCATGGCTAACGTCGTACAACAGCGAAATTTAACGCGGCCCAGAAAATCATGACCACTTCATTCACTATTCAAAAACCAAAGTGGCAAAAACCACTAAATTAATCAACAGAATTTCGGGATTGATTTTGTTCAAGCTGTACGTTCTGAGCAATCCCATGTGAGCCTTAATAATTGAGCCCTAATATTATCATTATTATTATATACTCCCACCACTACCGCGTCACCGATAATTTCATTTAATCGACTCCACATTGTTGGCTCTATAAATACAGTCCAAACTGAAGCAGAATCAAAACAGAACACACAAAAGTACTTCAAAAAGTCCAAACTGAACTGAGCAACAAAAATTCTTCAAGAAACAAAGTTCATACTTTCACTACTTTCTAGTCTTCTTTTCTACATCATCATCAATTACCAAAAAAAGAAATGGGTATTAGATTGCCATCTTTGATTGCAAATGTGAGGCAATTCCACAGGCTCCAATCTGCTGCAAGTAGAAACCACCACCATTTTAACCAACCGGACGTGGTTCCAAAAGGGCATTTCGCGGTGTACGTCGGAGACAAAGATCAACAGGAGAAGAAGCGGTTTGTGCTACCAATCGCGTACTTGAACCATCCCACATTTCAAGATTTGTTGCGAAAAGCGGAGGAAGAATTCGGGTATGATCATCCTACGGGTGGCCTAACCATTCCTTGCAATGAGGTCGCTTTTGTTGATATCATGGCTTCTCGACTTCACTTGCAGTTGTAATTGATCAAAGCGAAATGTGCCAGAACATACAGTATTAGTTATATTAGATGAGAATTGAGTATCTATATAGTTTTACACAGTTTTGGGTTGGCCGTAGAGGCGATTGGTATTCATATTCCAATCCCCAACATTCTTTTCATCTGTTTAGGAACAGCTCAGGTTGTAATGTAATCTGGATGTAAAATATCTTCCCTCTATTTATTTTCAGAGGCAAATTAAGAAATCCTATTGTTCTGATATTAACTTTTACCCTATCGCCAATTCTTGTATGATGAATTCAGTTTTGTAACTGATGGAAAACAGAGGATGTCTTCAGAACAAACAAAATCATTCTTACAATATCACATGAAGTTAGAATCTATAAGTTACAGAGGAAATTAACGAAACGAGGATCAAACAAACATTTCATTGAAACAAAAACCTATCATCTAAATAACATTAGTACTATAATTTAAACTTTAAACTTAAAAGACTTCCTCTGAAGAAAATACCTATCCCCTGATTTCAAAACAATCGTCTCCGAAAGATTTTAATCGGAAATCATCATACCCATTGCTAATCTGTCTGCCCTACATAGCAGGGCAAATTGGTACTCCCTCCTGTCCTTATTATAAAATATTTTGATTTGTACTAGGAAAACACATAATAAATGTAAAATGTATTTCTAAAGTTTTCTTTTCGATCGAATAAACATACTTAGTGAAAATTATGATAAATCAAAATGTTTTATAATAAGGATCGAAGAAGTATCATAAGGGATTGAAAGGAATAATGTTTTCCACATGTTGGATGATAGCAACACTATTGATCGTTGGAAGAAGCATACCGGCTATCTGTTTAGCCGACTTAGCCTCAAATCCCAGTTGCACAATTTGATACTTGTTTTCCTCCACTTCCGAATCTTCAAATCGCAAACGACCTCAGTACTCTTCGGATTTACTGTTATCAGCAACTGATTCCCTGTACTATTATTTGTGCTTCCAAAAACACCACTCACTCCATCTCGGAAAAACTGCTCTGAGTTTGAAAACATAATGTTTGGGACTACGATAATGTAATGTTAATGTTTAAGACGTAAATTCAAGTAAGCCTAAATGTAAGGGACTATTTGGACATTTTAGTCAAACCAATAACTCGGAAAAATGAAACTAACAAGTAAGTTTGCGAATCCTTGACAAAAATGGCTAGTACAGAACCCTAAGTTGAAGCCCTGACGACGTTTGTAATTCAGCTCGATGTAAAAACCATCCTACGAGCTCGGAATTAATAATAACAGTGTAATAAATAAACCTCTTAAGCTTCTTCTTCGAAACTCCTACAAGAAAAACCGGAGGTACGGACAATCGCGTTACAGATAATGGATGTTGAAAAAACTGAGGCATTAATTTATACGTATATGGTTACGTACGTAGAATCCCTGCGAGTAACGAATAACTACCAGAACGTACGGTGACCGTGTTTATATTTATTATTATGAGCCCAAAGCAAAAAAAAGAAAAAGAAAAAAAAAAATCAGAAGAGGAAGAAGGTAGGAGAAAAATATGATGCTTATCGTGTCCGAGGAATTCAATGATTAATTGATCCAGCTTTTGTACTTGAAATATGGAAGAAGTGTGGTGGAATTTCGAAAGAATTGTGGCAACTGGCAGGCAACATATGATGGGAAGTTTGCTTTAAATTAATTAATTTTAAACTGAGGTTCTGTTTGCCAATCACGAACTCGGTTTTCTTATGTTTGCTTCAAAAGCCTATAAATTGATCGATCTGATCACTTTAATAATTCAATGATTAGGAAATTATGAAGCAATCTCTTAGAAATTGATCCCAAGTCCAATGATTATATGATTAGGTGGTTATAATACTACGTTGTATTACCTACGAAGACAAAAACAATTTACCCACGAATTTTGTCATGGCTATTGAATGATTTTATTTTAGTGTACCAATTATTTTAGATGGATGGATGGAATCATTAGTTGCACTAATTTAAAGTCATATACTTTTATGAGGTGGATGATCACTTATAGTTTATTTATTTATTTTGATACAAACCCTAAATAATTAGAAGGGTGAAAGTCTTAAGTCGTTGTGTAACTATACTACATTAAATGAATATATAAGTATTCTAACAAAACAACATAAGACATGATAGCTCATCCTATAATCAGATACAAAATTCATCTTGCATCGGGCAAGTAGAGCATTTTTACACATTCCAGGAACAACAGTACCCCTCATTAACTAGCTCTACAATTTTTACAAGTCACCTGATTTGACTGTAGATTCGCTTAAGCTATTGCACTTCCAAGTCAAGAAAAGTTTGCCTTGGTAGTAGTTTCAAGGAGCAAAAACTAAAAAATTGCATCATATACAAGTACTGAACTCATTTGGTAGAATACTAGAATTCATCACAACTTAAGCATTGCAATTTGCCTAGTAAAATAATGGATTTGCTCAGAAATTCAGAACCCAACCAACCCACCCACATGGAAGACGTTGCATGCACTCACTTGTCACAAAAAAAGCTCAAAATCAAACGCGGGCTATCCTTTACTTTCCCATAAAATCACTAAATCAGGGCTTAAACTACCAAAAAGGCCAAGTGGGAAAATCATTATTTTAGTTCCATCGATTTTTGTTAAAAATTGCCCGTATCCGTGGATGAAGCTAGCCATGTGAGCTTCAATCATGTTACCTCCCGGGCCGCCCGTCATAGCTGACTTCACCTCTCAATTTCAGTGTCAATTAGTATAATAAAACTCTATAAATATGGTCCCCAGATCAGTGATTTTATCAATCAAAAAACACACACTACTTCTCGTATCAATTGAAGAAGCGCAGTTCAACTAAACAACCAAAAAAAATTTGTGTGTGTTTCTGAGCTGATACAAGAAGCTTAGTTTATAGTTTATACAAAGGCTTCTCCACTTATCATTTTATCATTGCAATGGGTATCCGATTTCCATGTTTGATTGCCAATAACGCAAGGCAATTCCACAGGCTGCAATCGGCTGCGAGTAGAAAACAACATTTGAATCAAACCCAGGATCATGTGGTTCCAAAAGGCCATTTCGCGGTTTACGTTGGAGAAGATAAGAAGCGGTTTGTGCTGCCGATTGCATACTTGAATCATCCCACATTTCAAGATTTGTTACGCAAATCAGAGGAAGAATTTGGGTATCATCATCCAATGGGTGGCCTAACCATTCCATGCAATGAGGATGCTTTTGTTTCGATCATGACTTCTCGACTTCAGTTGCAGTTTGAGTAAAATGGGGCGGCTTAGTTGATAACAATAGGAAGCAGAAAAGAAGTAGTTACATTCTGCAGTTTTGATGTAGATCCAGAGGTCATCAATAGTAACAGGATTCTCCAATAGTCAATTTTTTTCATGAAGAATTCAGGTTGAAACATGTAATCTGAACTGAACCTGTAAAGATTCCTTCCCTCTTATATATTTCCAGAGGCAAAGGAAAGATATAGTATATACTTTTGAGATTAAGTTTTTCGGTTAATTGTGCTCTCATTTCTCAGGTATATATGATTTGGGCTTGTGTATTGTTGTACTCCATTACTGTAACAACAGAATCATTCTGACGGAGGAGATTACATAATACTGAAACCTAGTTGTTATTGTAATGGAAATGGAATCAGCATGGTTCAAATGGACAGTGATGAGGTTTGTGATACTGCTAATCTTGAGTAAATAAACCCCTTCTAATTATAGTACCGAATTTTTTTCTGAAAGTGGTGTTTTTCAAGCATTAGGATAGGTCGTCCTCCCTCAAGTCGGCATTTTGATTTGTCATAGGTTTCACCTGATCAGTTAAAGAAAAAATTTTAAACTTATTTGTTAATAATAATTATGAGAATATAATGAATATAAAAATATATTTTTAAGGTTTTTTTTCAATATAAAAAAATTATGTAAAACTTAAGACAATTTATAATAAGATCGAGGGAATACTAACAAATCCCGGAATGCTATAACAACAGAATACTAGAATGCTAGTGCTTATGCCAAACATATAGTTGGCAGAAATGCAAGTTAATTTAATACTACTCATTGCAAAACAATTTCGTTTCAATACAATTTCAAAGTCCACTATTCACACTTGTAAGACTGAAAAAAAGCTACCGTTTCTAGGTAGTTTACCATTCCAGTGCATTGCAAGGGCAATCAGTGAAGTTGATATTGATAATACATGTAGGTTTTAGCTTCTTCCTCGAAATTCAGCTACAGAAGAAGGGTTTGGTTCGTACGGGCAATCGCGTTACAGATAATGAGATATAGAAATCTGAAATGAATTCTTTTATTATTAACTTAATTATATGTACATAGAATCCCAGTGAGCAATATTAATTGCATAACTGTACCAGAACCGTACGGTGCAGTATATACTTTATATTTCATGATGGTTACTAAGAATAATAGAGAAAGAAAAAAGAAATCATTGATTCAAACTTCCCGTATAACATGAACATGGAGGAATAACGATGAAATCAAATTGGCCAAAAAAAAAAAAAAAAGAAAAAGAAAAGGGGTGTCGGCACAACTGGCAAATGTTACAATATAATATACACAACTTTTATTCTCTCCTTAGAGTTAGGGTCCAAGATTCAAAAGAGAATTTTGGGAGATTGTTTCTTAATTTCCTAATGGTTTCATTATTAGAGGGAGAGATTAAAATCTTGTTCATTTCGCCCTAATGATTTGGTTTGGTTGTACGTAAGGGAATTGGGATCGCCAACTGTATGCATGATTAATTGGGATATTCACACTAATATATTCCCATCCTTCCTCAACACTCTCAATTATTTCGATCTATCTATCTGGCTCTCTCGCTACTGAAGCTACTTCCGTAGCAATCGATCCATGAGAATATATGTATGTGTAAAGTGTAAACCGTCATACTAATTAATAGTCATATTCATACTTCGTGGTTGACAAGCAATAAAAAAATTAATAATCACTAAAAGGATCTTCGTCACCAAATAATCGAGACCCAGCATTGCTTGACGACATGACCTAACAACAAAGAAAAAAAGAAGAAAACGATTAGTACCTTGATCTTCTTCAACAGAGATTTCGAGGGGAATTTTGGTTGCTCCTTCGACGATAAGTGTATCACCTTCCTTCGCATATGCAGGGGGCACATAGTATTGTACGTCGTTCCACTTAACGACCTTCGAATATTTTAGAATTTTCTCCACATCTGTCTGGAACTCCTCGACGCATTCTTCATCCTCTTGGGTCCATTCATCTTTTATGGCCCCGAGACCCTCTGTCTCTCGGAGATTCCATGGCAGACAATAACTCGCAGGCGTCTTTACAAACACAAAGTCCGGTTTTCATTAGAGAACCACCATACGCCTCGACCATCTTCTTCACGCCAATTCTAAGGCGTCTTTTCACGATATACCAATCCTGGAAAGAAGTCAAGGCCACAACTACTTGGAAAAAATACCTCCACAATACCAATCGAGGTATTACTTTTACATGTTGGCACACTCTCGCAAACCCTAGTACAAATGTAATTAAATTTGGGGTAAAACGAGCGAGAGGAGTCCTATAGTGTTGAACAATGTTCTCAAACAGGGGGTAGAGGAGAAATCTAAGCCCTAGATGCATAAATCGATCATACACGGTAATTCTTCCCCTTGGAGGAGAGTTAGCCCTCTCGTTTCCTAATGGAGCTCTCGCCTCTAGGGCTGAGGGGAAGTCATACTTGGATCTAAGGTTCTCTACCTTATCCACCGAATCTATGGTGGATACAAAGTCCAAAACAGTTTTCCTTTGGAGTCCCTAACCATAATTCCGGCAAGGATCTACTCTGGCTACAACAGAAAAGGACAAAAACTTGGAACAAATCGGAGATTTAGATATAAAAACTTACTATGTAAGGGGGACATGACCACTCGCCTTTTGAATTATAACTCCCCAGTGTTGTTCAGAAGCTTCAATTCGTAACTCCCCTGGAAACGGCGTCGCCGGGGCAGTATATCAGGTGAAATCTTGAAAATTCCAGCCGGGAAAAGAATTAGGATGCTCTGGTAAAGAAGAGCAGAATGGGGGCTAGAATACTTTCGCAAAGGAGAGGATTTTGTGTTTTTGCAAAGAAGGAAAGTGATTAAATGTCCAGGGACGGTAGAGCTTTCTCTTTAAAAGCAAAGTTGATTCTCCCACGTTTCCCTAATTATGGACCATGATTTGACAGTTATTGCAGGTTTCAAGGAAATAATGATGTTGAGGCCGCCGTTTGGGGAACGTGCCCACTAATAACACACAATTGAATATTTGGGCGGGATTGGGAAGCGGGTCGTCTTCCTAGGTCAAGACCTGACTCGCCAGTTCCTCTCGATCCTCTGAGATCGAGGGTCATGCGTTAGCATCGAGCTTGTTGGGCATGTGCCTCGACAAGTAGCTGAACGAAGGTAGTCTGTCCATTCTTGGGTATGTCCCATGTAATGCTTATTTTGTGCCAAGCGTTGTTTGTTTTTACGTCACTAACACTTGGTAGGGGCACTTGACGAGTCCGTATCCATTACCGAGACTGGACCGGCCCACCAATCGTAGGAAGAGTCCAACCGGAACTCTTAGGGCGGTGTAAATTCTTGAAACCTAGTTGGATTCGGGAATTGCCCAGGTAATCTCATACCTATAAATAGGGTAGCTCATACCACAATTCAGGTACGCAATCTATAGCCAAACAAACGACCTTTCTAAACTTTCTAGCAATCTTTTTACTGACTTAAGTATCGGAGTGTCTACCCTCGGGAGACCCCGAGGCCCTGTTTTTCAGGAAACCCTAACCGGAGTTCCACCGTTAAATCGGCGGCGCATATCCAATCATCGTCACACTACATTTTTGTTTTTATTTTAATAATTCATTTTAATATTTTATCATGTTGTTTTACGTTAATGAAGTGAAACTTTCATCATGGTTTTAAATGATTGTCTAGTTTGAATTTCAGGACGGAAGTCATATTTGTTTTGAAAAATGGTGCATTTCAATGGTTTAACCATATAACAATAATGATAACTATACGAGTAAGCAGATGGATTGAAACTACCACTAGGAGTAAAATCGGGGCTGGAGCTTAAATATCCAGAACCAACTGATCACATGGAATGATGGAAAACTAGGTTGTTGAAAATTACAGTTTGTTTCATTTTTTTTGGTAGGTTTTTTCAGATAATTTTATTATTAACTGTCCCATTTCATCATATTTTTTTACATTTTAATACACCTTTTTATATTCGTAATACAAAAAAAACCTAAAAACACACACTAAAAAAACGAAATAAACATACCACCCATACTGACTTTCCCAGAAAATCAGGACTTTTTAAACTACCAAACCCAAGTGGGAATATAACTAAATTAGCTCTTCAATATGTTAATCAAAGCTGTAATATATAAGCAAAGCCATGTGAGGCTCAATAATGTAGCTACCCATCTCCGAATTTTTGGTTGATATAGAGACACTATAAATATAGTCCCCAAATCACGAACTTATCAACACAAATACATCCATTCCTCATATCAAAAGAAGCACTTCAATCAATACACAAGCATCTGCTTATAAAGTGATTCAAAATCAAAAAAAAGTTAGTTTATACTAGCTAATTAATTCTGTTATCATTGGCTTCATCATCATAATGGGTATTCGTTTGCCATCTTTGATAGCCAATAATGCAAGGCAATTCCACAGGCTGCAATCAGCTGCAAGTAGAAACCACCATTTTAATCAAAGAGAGGATCATGTGGTTCCAAAAGGCCATTTCGCGGTTTACGTCGGAGAAAATAGGAAGCGGTTTGTGCTGCCGATTGCATACTTGAATCATCCCACATTTCAAGATTTGTTGCGAAAATGGGAGGATGAGTTTGGGTTTGATCATCCTATGGGTGGCTTAACCATTCCATGCCATGAGGATGCTTTTCTTGATATGATCACTTCTCGACTTCATTTCCAGCTTTAGTTAATTACTTTATACGGGCTGTTTAGCTAGTTCAATTAGAAGGCAGCAGAAAGAAGTAGTTTCTGAAGTTTTGATTAGGAAAAATTCTTTGGTTGTATTGTACATGTAAAGATCTTCCTCTCTGATATTCTTTTTGCAAATTCAGGCAAAGCAAAGGAAACAAATATACTGTTGAAAAATTTAACTTTTTCTCATTTATTATTCTCATGGTTTCAGCTATATTAATTCTCCGGAAGCTAGCAGATATAGGGATTTCTTACTTTTGGCTTCTAATTAAACCAACCTAATCATGTGAAAACAAGATAATTAGACAACTGTTTAGTAGGATGCATTGATCCTTGTTTCAATTAATACAGATGTAGACACCTTAGAGCCTTGAACTTAAGGCTCTTGTATGTATTATTAGTAAATAAATCATTGGTTCAGGACCAAGATTAATTTGTTACTTACAGGAATTCAAATGGTTAATTATTGATCGAGCTTTTATACATGAACATGCAACAAGTATGGTGGAATTTTTGAGAGAATTGTGGCAACTGGCAACATATGATGGGGAGTCTGCTTAAATTATTCAATTTTAAACTGAAGTCGCATTTGCTAAACACGAACTCTGTTCAATTTCTTATGTTTGCTTCAAAAACCTATAAATTGATCAATGTAAGTTACAGCCTCATTCTACTAACAGATCTGTCTACATGCATTCTTATAACAGAGGTGTCTACGCAGATCATTGGTTCAGGACCAAGATTAATTCATTACTTTTAAAGTTTGTGTAAGTAAAAAGTGCAAAATTAAGGTAAAACAGCCCCATTCTGCGGCCAAGCGTCTGGTAAATTAGTTTAGATTGGACTTTGCTGGCCAATTCCATCTAGCAACAAGCAAGAAAAAGCATTAACATTAATTATCTGGAACATCTGCTTTCTGAAATGTGAAAGTCCACCATCCGTTTACCATATCTCTCTACCGGTTCTGGCTGCAACAGAAGGACTATCGAGCGATCATATGGACAATTGACCCTTTTGAGAGAAACAGGTAGGGTAAACAGTCAACTCACCGCTCTTTAGATTGAAATGAGAAAACTGGATTCCTTTAGAGTTTAGACTCATAAGCAAGACCATGTCAATTATCAATGCAGTAGGTCCGTGATCCCATTGGTCTTTCAGAAAGTTGCTCTCTCCATTGAGGAAGTTGAAATAAACAGGTAGGCCCAATCAGCTTTGTGAGGTTCTTCTCGCAGCTTCGCCAAGTCTGTTGGGAGTTTGATTAGCAGAGCCATGTGACTATGTAACTTGATGAACAATCATCCATTAATTTGGTTGCCAGTATGTCGGCAATTGCAATCAGCCATCAAGCCCTTCATAAATCTCTATTTATACACACGTAATTCATTGGTTGGAGCAACCTTCCTTCCACACTTCTTAGTGCTTAGTGCTTACAAGTTACAAATTTTGCCGCTTCAATCAGCTTTTCATCCTACAAATTCCTTGTGACATCATAACCATGGGTATCAGACTGTTATCGAAAATCCCTCAATCAAAGCTGATCTCAAAATTGAAATCTGGAATGCTTTCATCGCTTACAGGTGCAGAAATTCCAAAAGGACACATGGCGGTGTATGTTGGCGGGGATGCTTATCAGAAGAAAAGATATGTGGTTCCAGTATTCATACTTGAATCATCCTTCATTCCTGGACCTTTTGAAGAGGGCAGAGGAAGAATTTGGGTTTGATCATCCCACAGGTGGACTCACAATTCCATGCAGAGAAGAAACATTCTTACATCTCATCAATTCTTCGCTTACAAATTAGTACAAGACTAGTGCAACCTCACGAATGAAGAACAACCACGATGGCAGTAGTGTATATATCACATATCCTACTAATTCAAATTCTCTCCGGATTTTGTGGCACGACTTTTTAGCGAATGAGTTTTGTATCATGTATGTAAATCAAAGGATTAGGAATATAGGACACTTCAGGACTTGTGCTGCAATTTTATGCCTTTGAAATTGATAACAATCGGCTGATCAACCACACATTACATTATGTTCAAACGCTCTTTGTTGTATTTAATGTTGACTCTGGCTATAACTTTGACAGACCGCAACAAGAGAAGCACTTTCCCTGTCCCAAAGAAAATATATTCCACATTGAGTATAGTACAAATCTCAAAACTCAATGTGAACAATTTTATTTTGTTGACAGGGTAATGGATACAAGCTTCATGACATTAATGCACAAAATCTTGTGAATGTGACAAAACTTACATAAGTTGTCCATTTCTGCTTCTGTCAAGGATAGAAAGAACACATATTTTCATAGTTCCTACTATACAAAAAAGTACAATAATAATCCTGAAGAAAATAAAACTGAATGAATACATATGTATATCAAATTTGTACTAGTAAGTAGCGATCATAAGTTTACGATGAATACATGCCTGTGCCATAGATATACTCAAAACTCCCGTATGAAGACTTCTCGAGACTCTTCTTGGTAATGCCAAAGGTCATACTTTCAAGCGCTTGCTTCGGCGCTCACTTATGAGCTGAAACTTTGCTACCCAACAAAAAAGTATCCATTTAGGTCTGTTTCAACTCTTCGTCATAAATGAAACCTTCAACTTCCTTCAACTTTTCAGCACAAAGCCATACAGGCTAGGTCCTAAACCTTTTCAGTCAATAAGAATGAGGCATTACTAAGCTAAGGTTCAGCATTGCCTGAAATCAAATGAGTCCACCCTAATCCAATGAAAGATTGCCAGTTCTAATGTTTCTCTGCTGATAGCTTATTCCTTTACCCAGACGTCTTTGAGATAAACTTAGATTCATACGTTGTCCACTGAAATGTGAATCGAGCTTTGGCTGGAACCACTTTTTCACAACCACACCATTAACACGAATTTTACCGCGTGATTCATGCCCTATATACTGCAGTCCAAGTCTCCTTAACATAGCTGCAACTGCCTGACTAGCCCTGTTTATACAGTTTGATGAGTTCTTCATGACTAGCAATGTAAGAAATTTTATGGGCAACAACAGAAAACTCCATAAAGTGAAGAGCACATGATCACATATATGAATTAGGAAAACAACTGTCTCTTGTAAAGTGCAGAATCATTCATTTTAAAAAAAAAAAAAAACGTCTTACAGTGCACAAACTGTTGCAGAAATTGAAGAGATTAAGAAGTTAAGGCACCTATGTTATTTTTGGTTGTAAAGGAGCATGTATGGAAAAACTGATTTGACATTCTAGGGGCTCCATAGAGAAAGGAATAGGTACCTTCCAGCAACTTTAATAATTTTTTCCCCTGATGGAGTTTGAATTCGTGTCTCTTCTAGAGGAAGCATAATAGACAAGTTTGGCAACTTCACTCCTGCAACAATTTGAATGGAATAAGCATTTTGGAAGGCAAACAAATTGAGTTGACAGTTCCAAATGGGCGCAGTGAGTGACAATGAACAGTATCTAGTTTTACCTGCTGCAAGACGATGCTTGAGTCCTTTCAGTACAGTCAAGATGTATACCTGACAAATTTTGAAGAAGTTTAGATTATTAGAATCATGTTAAAAGTTGAAACTTGAAAGCATATTAAAAGACCGAATTCCCGTTGCCCATCAGAAATCTGGTAAACAAACAACTTTTACCTCAGCTGCATATATAGGCAGATCCCTCACATCAACAAATATAGGGCTTCTTTTTAGAGAAACAGCAGGAATGATCCCAAGTGAAGCAGCTTCCTTCAATCCAGATAATGTTTTAGTACTTAGAAAATAAACATCAGGAAACTGAAAATTAATTTGTTAAAATCACAATAATTTTCAGAAACCTCAAGCAGTGAAAAAGCACGTGGATCGTACTCCCCGAACCCATCAACCAAAGAGTACAATTTTGATGCTTTTGACTTGTCAACACTAACTCCTATATTCTCAATGAGTCTGTTCCTCAAGGATAGATCATAAGGAAGTTTCAAGCATCCCAACACTTGAGAAAGTTCCTCAACTGTGGGAGCCACACCAGCTGCAACTCCTTCTCTGTAAACCATCAAGGCCAATGATGTCCTGCAAGGAATTAGTTTCAGTTAGCCACCATCTTATTCTTTAATGATCGTCATTCCAAACCACCGACTGAAAGGGTGGGGGTGGGGGTGGGGGTGGGGGTGGGGGAACATGAAATGAAAGGTTGTTTAAATAGTCAGTTTACTTTGCTGGTTAAAAATAAAATACAATCGAAGTAACAACTTGAAAAGTAATCGTAATTTATTTTCACCAGAAGAAATGGATTTATCACATTCTACATCCAGAAACTAGACTAGTAACCTACCATTTACTGTCAATCTCTGGCCGTCCAGGGTTAAGAGAAAAGACTGGCTCGCCCACTGTACAAGCTCTCTGAAATCTCCTCAAACACATACCTTCAGGCAGACAAATGCGCAAACAAGTTAAGACAATACTCTGTTGTGGTAATGTACTGAAAGAATTTTTACCGCAATTCGCGGCTGCAGTTATTAACCCAAAAAGAAAATAGAGGGACGATCTGGAGATATATAATGGGAATGAGTGAGAAAAGAAGACTAAACATGATTCTTCAGTTATTCATTCAGACTGGACAAGGGATAAAAAATTCCCAAGAGAGCAAAAGATCATAAACATTACTGAAATTTATTAGTTGCAAGAGAAGTATGTCAGTTTTTAATGCTTTCGAGCTACCTATACCCAAGTCATACATTAACAGCAAAGATAGCCAAATAATTCAATTAGTTGTACGCATTTCATAGATTTGTTATGCATTTAAAAGAAAGCCAACTGGGAAATATTTTAAAAAATAGGAAATAACCAGTAAATTGCATTTAAATAAAGGAAACTCGACAAGCAGGTACAACAGGAAGCACCTTTGACACTTACCAATAACACACCTCAACATGACAAGGTTAGGAGCAACACCATCCTTTTTAGCTTCAGAAAGGAGCCGTAAGCCAACTTCCAAGTCATCTTCTCTACAATGAGGAGAACATATTGGTAGATTTTACAAGAAAATCTCACTTTAACACTAGTGAAAAGACTCTTTGAAAATAAGGGAAATTACTTTTCACTTGCAACTAGTAAGACGGAGTATGTGATGGTGTTTGGGGATAAATCCTGCTTCTTCATTTCAAATAAAATATCCACAGCCTTCCGCAATTGTCCTGCATCACCTGTGAACAAATTTCACAACTACTAAGACAATCTAGATTTCTAAAAGAATATAGAGATCATTTTTAATAAGGTTTCCCTGTCAGCATATCATAGCTTCAAGGAAAACAAGATTCATTCTAACATGCCTTTTCCTTTGTTTCTTTTCCTATCTACAACAAACCTCATAATAATTTCTCCCTAACCAATGCGAAAATCATGCTTTCACTATCTTTATATAAAGTTCATACTAGTATAAACGAGTATCAAAAGAATGTTCTTCCCAGTGTCTGGCTTTACTATCTAATAAGCATGCAAAGATTTTCGCAGCTCAGGAAACTACAAGACATCAATGCAAAACAGGAGGTACCCACTAAACTAGGGACTTACACAAGGCAGTTATCAATGCATTCATCATCGAAACTGTTGGTTTCAGGTTGTTATTCTTAATATTTTCATACAGCTGCAGTGCTTTGTGCCAGTCTTTTGCCTGAGGAGTAATAAAGAACCATTCAGTAACAAGAAAATTTAACAAGCATGTAAAATTGAAGATGAGCGTGCTAACTGGGAAAAAAAAGGTGAACATTCTAATGCAGCACAGAGTCTTAACTTAGTAAGAAAAAGGAGCAAGGAAAGTCATTATCAAGAAAATGCACAGCAGTTTCGAGCAGAATCACAAAGGTATCCAAGATTGGTTTCTGTAACTTCCAAAATAAATCATTGAAGAAAATTAATGCATCAGATGAAAAAAGTTTAGCTTAAAGTTCTGCAAGATGAAAGTACTCCTATCCAAGCATGATTTCCCTCTTAACCAGGACAGTTCGGCAAGCAAAAATTGGAGAGTTACTACTGGGCTAGTGCACAACCATGTGACAAGAACAAATAATCTATGTACTTTATGTTAAGATTAGACTTTGGTATTATTTATAGACCTCCGAAGATTTGAAAAGGGAAAGAAACCAATTACACTTATTTCCATAAGAAAAGTTAATCGATAGATAATACGCACATTGCTGCATGCTCCCATCAGTGAGCTATATGATATGATTCCAGAATTTATCCCTTTAGCTCTTGCTACCTCCTGAATTTCAAAAGCAGCATCCAGCTTCCCAGCGTGCCCAGCTACATCTATCAATGCACTGATAAATGTCTAAACAAGAAACAAAAAAGAATCAAGAATCCTCCAATGCGTCAAAGGCAAACAGTATTAGATCAACAGCTTCAGAGTACTAAAAAACCATTTGGGCAAAAAATGCTTAGACAAAAGCTTGTAAGCATCTTGATTACCAATAAATTATCTAACACGAGTAAGGATGCTTACTCAATGTGACAGGTATTAGTTCCCAAGAAAAAAGGATAAATCACATCATTATACAATTACACTAACACGCGGGAAACAATTTTCATTTTTATTCACTTTGGTCGCAATAAGAAAACAATATACAAAAGGTCGCTGTGAAAATGCTGTTTTAGTTTAGTAGCAGCAAACCATTAGAAACCGGCAGAAAATGCCATCAAGTACATAAAGAACAACGCCAAATTTGAATGTACCAAGAAAATAAATGAGACAATAGAAAATATTCACATCGTTAACTATAAGAGAATACCTCATCAGGGGCAACACCTCTTCTTATCATGTCATCGTAGACATTACAGGCAAATTCCCAATCACCATTATGGCTGCAACTGTTTAAAGCAATAGTGTAAACTTCTGGAGTTCCCTTGATGTTATATTTGTCTATCATTTTGTAGACCTCGCGTGCTCGGTCAAACTGAAGACAGGAATTGGTTAAAGTAATAAAACTTTGGCAGCTGGAAAGTAACGCCATAAAGTAACTCTAAGCTATAAACTGCTCTAAGAAAATAAGAGTACCTCTCACCTGACCACCCCTAATGCATGCTTTCATTAAGGCCCCAATAGTAATATGATCAGGATCTACAGGTTGTACTTCTGACCTCATTTCAGCCAAGACATCAAATGCACGGTCCACTGCTCCCGATTCACCACATGCAGTGATAAGTGCATTGAATACAACCCGATCTGGCTTCACATTCTACTGCATATGAAGTCAAACAAATGTGAAGATTTCTTGAGATCTATTATTAGCCAAAAAATGAGAAACCATGACGGCATTTATTTTGTATTTGACAAAATATACTTGAAACCATAACTAAGAAAAGGGTTTTAAAAAAAAAACGTACAAGTAATTGGATAATGTTACACTTTGTTTGGATCATTCAAACAGTCAACCAAAATCATACCTTTGATTGCATAATCCCATAAGCACCAAAAGCCTTGGCAACTTGGCCAGCTTTAGCACAGCCATCAATGAGTGCACTGTATGTATGAACATTTGGTTCCACTCCAGCATTGACCATCTCATGAAAAACCTAGAATCCTCAACAGTTTAATGAAGGGTATAATACACAAAGGAAAGTATAGGTGGGAAAAAAAAAAAAAGAAATAGGTGGAAAATTGTTTTCAGTAACTCCAGCATTTATCACTGAAGGGATTATACAATAGCCAACGGTTCCAGACAAAAATGAATTATAGCAAACAACCTACATCTAAGGAAGTCTAATTAGTCAAATACTTGAAACAACAAAAGTTCACACCTTGAACATAGTATCTACTTTTCCACTTCTAGCGCAAGTCGAAATCAATGTCGTGTACAACTTGCAGTCTATCTTATATCCAGCTTCATCAACAAGTTTCAATACTTCAAAAGCGCCTAAACATACATAATATCAATCAGGTGGTTACATCACTGCAAAAATCTCAACTCAAAAAAAGAGAGATCATAAAATCTGAAACCCCAAAAAGGGGATTCATGAGAAGATATTCACCTTCCAAATCCTGAGCGATTGCGCAGACAGACATAAGCATATTGAATGTGCTCAGAGTGGGATTTGGGATAAGCTTTGTGAACCGAAAGGCTTCTTTGATAGCCTTTTGCCTTTTGCAAGCTTGAAAAAATCTTGCGTGATAAATCTGAAAGATTGGCACTGCATGGTTTATATCAATGGAGGAGTAGACAGCAGAGAAAATGTTGAGAGGATTTCAGAAAGTCATACATTGTCCATATCCAACAAACCCATACTTTCCATCTCTTCAAGCATCTCGACACAGTCATTCAGCCTGAAGCATATATTTTACTCAAATTATTAGCAATAAAGATGATGACACAAACAAAATTTAGGGATAAAAGCAACAATACGTCTATGACACTCTGAGCCAGAAAAAATATTTCCTGGTCTTTTGGAAGCTCCTTCTTTCAAATATAGATAACTTTTTAGACTGGGGAACACCTCCCTATTGCATAAGAGGGAAGGCAAGCCATGTAGTTTCTACTGAACTAGGCATCAAACAAAAAGGTACTTCAACCTAATAATGAACATAACAACTCGGAGATGTATGTCACCAGAGTAAACCACGTGAGAAGTACTAATTTTCCTAAAGGGATGGTATGTTAAGTATATAACTAATCATAAGCTCAAAAGATTCAGTATACAGCAAACAAAAAGGTTACCTGCCATCTCTCAAGAATTGATTGTATGCACTTAACCGTTTTGGAGCATGGTTTTCATCCATGCACGTCCCTTCCATACTATGGGATGGAAACAAGCTTTTTGGTCCATTATGGGTAAAGTTTTTTCGGTCGTTATTAACAGCAGAGCCTTCCCTCCTTCCAATGTTTTCCTTCCAGGGAGATGTGTCTTTGTGGTATGCAACAGGACTTTCTCCTTGGGAAGGGAGTTCATCTGAAGGAATAATTTTCATATCATACTTCGGGATATATTATGAACATTCTGAAAAGAGAAGGCAACAAATATTTTATTCAGCTATGAAAAAAGATCTGTGTTGTAACCTGCATGATCAGAAAATGGTAATCTAGGAAATTTCCCTCTATAATCTTTCGGGGAATCTTTGAAAAGCAAAGAGTTAACATCTTCATTGAGGGAAATGCCATTGGACAGTGCTCCTAAGCCGTTCAATTTTGCCATAGGTGCCTCGTAGAATGTGTACAACTCTTCACGTTGACTAGCATTATGATTTAGAGTACAGCTAATTTGATCATCTCCAATAGATTGATTCAAATAATTTTGATCAGTTTGGAGGAAATTGTCAGGATCACCCGTGCTAAATTCAGTAACTTCCCTCTGGACATTAACTGCAGGAAGAGAAACTTCACACGGCTTTGTTTCGACCATCAGCGTAGGTCTTTCAGTCTCAAAAACTGTATCATGACCATTTACCTCCAACTGCAATTGAGATGAAAGCAACGTGGTAGGGGATGATGTAATGCCATCAGATTCTGTTGCTAAAACAGAACCTGTGGAATTCGAAGCGATCATGAAAGAACTAGGCACCTCAGAAGCCAATGTTGCTCCATTTATCAGCTGGGTCTCATTAAGAGGTGTCTCGACAACATCCTCCGCGTTAGAAACATCAACACTGTTCATCTCCTCCACAACGTTCAATCTTGATTCACTAGCTACCTTTCCCACTGAATCTATGGCGAGGACAGCCTTTTCTGCAAACAAGGAATTGAGCATGCTTCTGACATAATGAAGTAGGGGATAATTTAGCTGCCCTGACGCCTAAAATAGAGAGAGAAACATTCGAGAATTAGTAGAGCATACAGCTTATTATTGGCAGTTGATAACATCATTAAAGAGAGTAGATAACATCGCCAAAGAGCTTATTATTGGCAGTTGGATCCCTCCACAATAATTGTTCCCTTGTAGTTTTTAAAGGTTCGCTCTGACATTAATTTAAGCTGTATTTTTTTTTAATCTGCCAGTATCATCATGCAATAAAATGTGAATGGTAATGGACTACGTCGCCAATTTTTCAGTAACATTAGCCAACCGAATTCTATATTTATACAGGAGAACCTAAGATTAGAACGCTGTACATGAAAATAATTGAAAATCCACAAAGTGTATATGAGAAATTACGCTAAAAGAGACTGAATATACCTGCATCTCCGGTGAACGTTCTTTCGTTTTGGAATTATTGCGAAAGACAACGGCAAGAGCAGCAGAGACAGCGGCTACAGCAACGACAAACTCACTAGAGTGCGATGAATCCAACGAGGCTCTTAAAATGAAACCTTTGGAACGGAAATGGAACCGTAATCCGAGCTTCTTGCATTGCCTTCGGGAGCGGAGGAGTCCCGGGGGCCGGAGATTGTGGAAATTTCCGAGGAACTCTTTTCGGAGCAACCGGACGCAGGGCGACGGGGAGGGGAAAGACGACGTCGACGCCGGCGAATAAGAAGAAGAAGAAATTGCGCACAAACTAACCTCCATAGCTTATAACAAATTCTGGAAATTCATAATAATAATGAAATTAATCCCAAACGAAAAGAATTGGGGAAATGGAGTGATTTTATAAACTCAGAGTGGACTGTGGAGTGTTAGTTGAGGATAAGAGAGAGAAAATGAGGAATGGAAGAAGAGGCGGTTATTCAAGTGACTGGGCAACTGATCGAATTCGGGTATTATCGATGACGTGGCGTGGCTTTCAAGGTTTGGTTTTGATCCTCAAGTGGCGAATCAGAGATCTCCAATTTTTCCCGTCGGTTTTGGGAGCCCATAAAGCCCAGAACAATGGCCCAATACAGTAATTATCAGTTTAGTTGGGGAGTATGGTCAAATGCCCATTGTTGAAAGGTTCTCGTTTAATTTTGGTCCAAAAGCCGAAAGGGGCCGTTTCAAATGCTTTCAAATTTAGCCGGTTTAAGGCAACAGGCACCGATAATAATATAATGTATCATGGTAAATTTGGAATTTTTTTTAATATACACTAGGGAAGTTTAACGTTTAGATTACACTTTTTTTTTTGGTTGGTGAACAAAATAACCAGGTGGCAATGCCGTAGTTAGTACACGCTTTTGAGCATACATAGTCTTGCTCTAGTAGGAAAGATATAAAGTTAGGGGCGACATAAAAAAATATAACTCTCTAACTACACTAAAAAATTCTTTCGCTAAAGTATATCGGCGCAATAGTTACTCAAAGGTGTGAACAAAGCACACTTCCCAATTTGTCTTCAAAAGGCTATGAATTCCTCTTAGATTACACTTCAACTTCACATGAGTAAAACGTGTTGGACGAATGAAATTGCTAACGGAAAAAGATTATCTAATTACTAAAAGATTGAATAAGAGGTTGTTCACGAAAATTATGAGTACGTTTTCACCGTGGTTGGCGCAGCAATTACATGATTCGTCAATGTTTATAAGCACGATGATCATTATTTATTTACCATCCCAAATTTTTCACCATAATTGAAAACTTTTTAACATACGAAAATTAAGGCTATAGAGTAGTAGTAGATTAGAGATAAAATACAAATTGAAGATTCGTTGGTGTGAATCGTGATCAATTTACCTGGTTTTAATGTTTTATGACACGCACCCACAATGTGCCCTCAATTTCTGGAGTAAGAATTCCTCCACGAACGGAGACGACACCCGAAACCGGCGGTTTAGCCGTTTGAAGTGAACCCACGAAGCTCTGCGACGTTTCAATGGCGTCCCGACTCATTCCATAATTTGTACTGCTAGCGATCGCAGCACTAACCTACTGCATTAAACCGGCCGGCACTAACATCTAACGGTACTCCGAATCTCAAATTTCCGTCGGCCAAAACGGATTGAGTAGTTTGTCACCCGCAACTTGGTATACAAGATTTTCCACAATTATTTCTTATTTGATTCTTTTTTTTTTCTTCTTCTTTTCCTCTAGCAAGATTAATTACTTTCTGCGTGCTGGTTTTTGTTTTTTTTTTGTTTTTCCTTTTTTGATGAAGTTTTTGAAATTGAAGCGTTAATTCATCAAGCATTAATTGGGTTTTTTGTGAACGTCATTGACAGGTTGAGTTTTGACGTTTAGACAAATAGAGAACAAAGATGATAGGTTCATTGCTCGCCAGATTACTTTTGTAAGTCATTTCTCGTGTTCTGTAATCTTCAAATGCTTCAATTGATTGTTTTGTGATTTTCGTTTGGTACGGCCTCTGTCCCACAAACAAAATATTGCATATGTCTAATAAAAATAGTCTACATTACATTTTTGTAAATTGTACTAAAAACATTACAAAACTTAATCTGCAATATAAATTATTTTTCGGGGACAAGGGAATACATACTATGTTTATTTTACAGTAGCTCAAAACAACTGTTAAAGGTTGTGATGTTGTTTCAGGATGGTGTTTGGATATGTCTATCCAGCCTATGAATGTTACAAAACAGTGGAAATGAATAAGCCAGATATTCATCAGCTTCGGTTCTGGTGTCAGTACTGGTGTGGATTTCTAACATTGTTGTGACTATTTATACTCCTTACTCTTTCCGTCTAAAAAAAAATTGTTGCAGTTCTTTCTTTCTTGTTTCTTTTTTTTTTTTTTTTAATACATATAATTTGAAGTTCTTTTTGCATCTCTGTTTAGGATTTTGGTTGCAGTTCTCACCGTATGTGAAAGAGTTGGAGATCTTTTCATCTCATGGTAATTATCTTTTTCCCGACTCCAATTTTTCATAATGCCATCGTGTGCCTATAATCACTTCCATTTCGTTTTATTGTGAAGGATACCACTTTATGGTGAAGCTAAGATTGCATTGTTTATATACCTATGGCATCATCGAACAAGAGTACGTTACTTCTTTTCTTTTTTCTCAGTCTCGAGTTTGATAGCACCCAATATATTGGATGATTCCAAGTTGATTTTTTTTTTTTTTGAATAATTATACGTCAAAAATAGAGAGTGAGACTTAGTATCACATAATAGAATAATCATTTTAGAACCGAACGAATAATATTAAAGATTTAATAAAAATTCCTTGTTCACATCTCTGAATCACTTTACTAGATTAATTAACTTCACCCTTATTTAAGTTGAATAGATGACTAGATGTAGCAAATCATGTTATATTCTCGTACTGAAAACGGAGTGCATGATAGACCTATCAAATTCTCAACCATTATTAAGGAATGAAAATGCCAAAGAGTCTTTTGACTTCACCATGTACGTTGTCAAAAACTGCATAAACTAATTAAAAGGTTGTGTAAAATTTTTGAATGGTTTTTTTCAGGGGGCAACACACGTTTACAACTTCTTCCTGAAGCCTTATGTATCCGAACATGAGAAGGAGATCGATGGGTACGTACTACACATAAAAAACAAGGCTTTGAGTATCGCCATGGTGATGTGTCAGCAGGCTGCATTTTATGGGCAGACCAAATTTTTTGAGATTTTGCAGTATGCATCTTCTCATAGTACTCCATCCACATCATTTGAATCGTCTGAGAAAATCCATGTTAATGTAGCCGGAAGAGTAGATTGAACTTTGCCGCTGCCCTATATTCGATACAATTTTTTGGGTAGAAATTTCTTTCTTCTTTTTGATAGAAAGGAAAAGGATTAAATATTTTGTAGGAGTATATAATTTTTCATTAGGGAATTTCTTTTGTAAATATAGTCGTAGCCCTTTACAAAAACTAATGTAGTATTTTCATTACATAAGCACATGATAGTAAGTGAATAGTAAGTGAATAAAGACACCATTTGATTCACTGAATAGTAAGTGATTTCTATAGACATGATATTGCTGGTTGACAATGTGGCAACAAAATAAGCTGCAAAAGACAAGATGCCTAATTTTGTGATACAAATTAATGGTGGTATTGTGACACGGTCTTATCGTTGCTTATCACTAAGATGACCAATTCAATTGCATCAGATCGATTACAATCACACTTTAAAAACTAAAAAGGAGAGGGAATATTGGATTGGGACAACACCAAAAGTACCATATTCCACTACAAGCGTGTTCTAGGAATCCGGACGACAGATCTATGGTAATGTGGTGTTTTAGGTCAAGGAACTTAGGAGCAATTGAAGCATTTGGATGGAGAGAAGCCAAATCATCATGTTCCACTATACAAACGTAACCCTAGCTACAACATCTTGCCTGGCTTTATCCATCAGCTTGGGAAATGATAAAGACCAGGAATTCAATTCCCCGACCACACAACCCATCTCGCATCAACTATGAAGTGATTGTGGCCAAATTGGGTAAGGAGAGCTGGATAACCATCACCTTTTTAATCTTCTTTCCTTTATTTGGGCAAAATGGAACATCCCCATTGTTTTTATGATTCGTTAACGAAATGGAGCCGCCAAGTGCCAACATTTAATGGGGTAAAAGCCAACATATTATGCAATTTATATCGTGCACCGTGTTCACCAAGAATGGTGCTTCGATTTTCCTATTTGTAAAACACGTAAAAGAAAATGAGTGAATTTTCATAATTTGTTTTAAAATTCTCTCACACGTAGCTGATCCAAGTCAAATCAATTCCTTAATTGATTCAATTTTCCTAATTTTTTCTCTTAAAATTAAATTATTTCTATAATTAATTGATTTATTTCCTTTCTCATTTCAAATCAACCGTGTAAATTAACTCTAATTCAAAAGTTTCTATAACAACTTATTATGAATATTGGGCATCATATTTATGAAAATTATGACCAATTATCATGAAAATGTAAAAGTACGATGAATTCTTTTGCAATACATCATGAACATTATGATGCAATATCTTGAATATAGGTGGTATTATGGATATATATAGGTAATAAAAATATGAAAAATATTATCGAAAATCATGAATTTCTCACCTTTAGAGTTTGAACAATAGTATAACTATGTAAATTTAGGTAATTATTTCTATACATAATATGAATAATGTGTAAATTTGTTATGAGTATTGTATCCTGTAGTTATGAACAATTAATATTTCTATGTATTGTATGAACAGTGTGTAAATTTGTTATGAGCATTGTATCATATGGTTATGAACAATTATTATTTCTCTTTTAGTATCAGAAATGTGTAAATTTATTATGAACATTGTAACTTATAGTTATGAACCTTGCATATTTATATGATAATATTTGAAATTTGTGTTCTTTTGAATGGTGAACATTGCCCAAAATCATCATAAATTATGTTTAAGATGAGTATGAATGTGATATCACCATATAAAGAATGAAAATGTATGAATATTAGAATGAATCCAACAATAAAATAATGAACTTTGTTTACAAAAAGAATGAATTACGATAGATATTAAAAAAATTTAATTAGATTATATGGATAAATCACAGAGAGATATTTTATTTTTATTGAAAAAAATAGATGAGATAGGGTTTTTTTATGAATCTGATTCATATTAAAATTTGAACATACACAATTTGTATTTTGAACAAATTAAATCCTACTTTTTAAAGAAGATTACGGCCATATTGTAGATTGGGATTATTTCTATAATTAATAAATAAAATAATTAATTATATCAATCAGAAAGAGGAACCCGTATTTACACATGACAAGTGCATCAAATATGGTGAACACCGTTGGGTGTTCACCATATAATCACTCTACATACTACTACATCATTTTGTTCTCAAGTTTTAGAAGTAACTTACGAAGATATTGAATGATTGTTGTTATTAATTATTTTTTTCATATCAAAATAAGAATAATGTTATTATATTGATCTTATTTTAATATTGGGGAGTTGGGAAGTAGGCAAAACGAATATGGGAAAAAAAATTTTAAAAAAATTGAAAAAAAAAAAGGAAGTAATTTTTTGCCTCAAGAATTAAGACCACCTACTTTCGTCACCTTCTTGGTTATCATTTGCATGCTAGAATGTGCCAGAAGTAGTAGTTATTAATTATCAGGATGTGACTTCATCAGTTCCCACCATCACCACCATATAATACAACCTTCTTTAATATAGTTAGGCATTTACTGGTAGCCTCATAAAATCATCATTAATTAAAGAAAAACAGTCATTTTCATCCATTCTGTTGCAGCCATTAATCAGGAGCTGTCTATTAATTAAGACTCGATATGATGTTACTAGTTGTAATTTCTTATTAAGCCAATGACATTCAAGTCCAAGGATAGACTCTATCAGACAAGCAAAATCAATGAAGCAACCTTTTCTTCTACTTGGTTCTTTTCTGCCTGCGCTTAGCGCAGGTGACCTTATTGGTTTTGAGATTTACTCCTTGCAGAGAGACAAATTGTTATGGTTAAATTATTAAAAAAAAAATGCAACATATAGTCCTTTCAAAAAATGCATATTGTACCCCAATTTAGTTTGTTTTCAACTCAAAACAATGATTCATCTCTACCTTAGTTTTCCGAATATTTTAATCATTGTGATCAAATTAATTTAAACTTGTATTAAACTGAATTATTTTTTGGAACAAAGAGAATACAAAATAAAATATGATGTTTAATGATTATTACCATGACCCAAACTCATGAATTAAATCTCGTTAGAACAGTTTAATTATTTTTTAATGGAAAAGTAATGGTAACATTAAATTAGCTTGGGTTCAAATGATAAGTATTCAATCAAAGTGGATATATATGTGTCATTCCTTCAATTCGTGTTTTTGTTTAAACTTGAACTAACCTTGTGTTATAAATTTTTTAGGGTGTTATCTTTCCTAGTAATAGACCATGGTCAAATTTCCATCAGGGGCGGGTTTGTAAGGGGGTTTTACTCACATTGAAATGGATATTTTTAGGAGAAAAAAAGTTTGTCAAAATTTGTTAAATTGTGAGATGTATTGATATTACATTTGATATGTTTATTTAATGCATGGGATATTCCGTAAGTTATTATAATCCATTAATGATTTTCATTCTGATAATACTACTGGTTGATTTAATTTAACAATGTCATTGCATGAAGTGTTTGTGATCTTCTTCAACAATCAAATATTGGAACGTTTCAGAAAGTTTTAAGAACTTAGAGAGATGTTATTTATGATTATTTGAGATAGATAAAATTTACGGAGAAGAAAGTTTCAACTTTTTATTTATTCATTTTTTTTTGGTGGTGGTTAAACAATGCTAATAAATTGTAAGATGCTAAGGAAAACTATTGTTTTGAAAAAGGAAAAAAGAGAGAGAGAGAGAGAGAGAGAGAGAGAGAGAGAGATGGTTAAAAACAAATAGTAGCAGTGTGCAACACGTGGCACAACTTGATTATCCATTCCATTCCATTGAATTCTCTCCAAGCCATTAACCAAAAAAGATAAATTATAGATGTGAAAAAAAGGATAAATTATAGATGTGTTGTATTAGGCAGTTAACACGTGTATAGAGTAGAGGATTAGAGAAGTCTAGTATGACAACAAACCAATGAACCAATTTACGGTAGAAATCCGACTTCCCACATTATAATAGTAGTAAATTTAACTTAGAAACCCAAGAGAAATTTTCAACCAAAAAAAAAAAATGTCAAAAGTCACCTTGAACTTTCATCTCAAAATTAATTGATAATGAATGGATTTCTTTTTTGAGCTTATAAATAAATGACGGATCTTTTACGACATCAATATGGAATTTTTTGTCCCGAGAAAGATTAAAAAAAAAAGAAAGAAAGAAAAAGAAAAACGTCGACTGAACAAACAAGCATGTATTCCCCCAACAAAGTTACGCAATATAGATATGTTAGTTAAGTCACATTGGTGATACAAGTCGAATGGTGGAATGGATGGATCATTTGGCGCATGCTTTGGAAAAGTTAAAGAGGGTAATTCTTCCTTATCATTTCGGAAAATATAACTTTCTTCCGTCATTATTTTCAACAAAAACTTTATCCTTCTCATGAGAATGGATCATTCAAAGTAACATAATTCTCCATCCGTCCCAACACTTTTTTAAAAAAAATCATGTTCATTGTACAGTGAGATTGAGGATTGAGAGTAAGGAGTACTTGCTAAATGAGACATGAAGGAGTTTCACGTCACTTGCGCATCATTATCAAAATTTATTTATGCAGCTATGTAAAGCATGGACGATTAAATTGGCACACTCTTCGGTGGAATATACTAGAAGTTGCAACGAAAAAAGGGAATTACTAGAAGCTGCTACTGTCCTTTCCTTTTTCTTTTTTTTTTTTGAAAAGAAAAAAATTCATTTAATTCCTGGAAAACTGTCCAGAACGGATTGAAATAAAGGAGTAAGATACAATTGGTGATGATAAAGCATTATAAGATCTAACTAGTAAAGCATATAATTGTATCCACACAGGATAAATCTATTCAAATTTATCCATGAAATATATTGTAGTCGTATCACGTGCTAAATTAAAATTTTGGTTAAGAATACGTCGCTAAAATCCTAAGCCCAACAAAGGAAAAAAAAAATCAACAAAACTCAAATCTCGAAAAAACATACGTAGATGAAACTCTACATATTTTAATAGGAAAAATGGGTCTTTTCATCCCAAAGTTTGGGCCACACCATCCAAAACATCCCAAAGTTTAAGAACATGCCATTTTCATCCCAAATTTTTTAAAAACATGTTACATTAGGATATTCGTTAAATTTTTAACTCCAGTTAATTAATTAGTGGTGGTGCTTTATTCTGTTTCTCCTCCCTCAATTCTTTTAATCATTTAACACGTTCCATTAACTCCCACATTATAAGAAAATAGCTAAACCTAATTTGGTCTTCACATCATCCATTCTTCCCTTGCTTAGAAAAAGAAAAAAAAAATCCAAGATTCACCTTCTAGATTGATAACAATCATGAGAGGTTTTGTGTGTGTCCTAATTAGAAAGTAAGCCTTATTTCATTTATTTTTTTAAATATGTAGCATCATTATAAAAATTGGTGTTGTAAGTGATGCAGGGGCATGCAACGTTTTTACTTGGTATGGACCAAATTTACCAAACGCAAGCATGAAACTTTTTTGACAAAAAAAAAAATGGGAAAAAGAACTGAATGAAATATCACCGTTAATAACTTGAAAAAATTAACAAATGTCCTAATATTACATATTTTTGAAAAGTTTGGGATGAAAATGACATGCTTTTAAACTTTGGGATGTTTTAGATGGTGTGGCTCAAACCTTGGGATGAAAAAGCCCATTCTCCCTATTTTAATAAGAAAAAGGAAATAAAGGAAAAAGTTTGTTTCTCCATGTCCCTCGAGGGAAGATGGGGGAATGGAAATACTAGGGTTTTTTGTGGGGAGGGGCGACGGGAGAGAGGAGTACGAGAGAGAAGATGATTGACAGGTCCTTTCTCGTTTTTAAGATTGAAGTAACACCCAATATGATTTTAGTTTTATTACAATAATAAAAAAGATGTTGTCTAAAAATGATTGTGCGGTCAAAATAAAATCCTAAACTGTATAATCATGTTGGGACAAGAGAAGTAAGTATGACTAAGTTGTATAAATAATACCTTCTTTTTAGAAAATCAGTTCTTTGTTTGGTTTGTTCTTTTAATGATTTTTTTAGAATAATTAATAATAAATGTCTTGTCACAATATTTTTTTTCTATTTTTAATTTATATTTTTATTTTTTCAATTAAAAAAATCACCTGAAAACATACAGTGAAAAATCTAAACATATTAATGCTTGCTTACATGAAAAATATTCATCAAATGTTGAAAATTTGAGTCCATTGAGACACCAATGCTGAAGATGGAGGGACACATCGTCCGTGGACCAAAAACACCAAAAAAAAATGAGGGTCACCCATAGGTAGTCAAAGTCAATCAATAACCAATCATGAAAGCCCACAATCCAAATCCTTTTTTTCTGGTACCCTTTGCTCACACCATTGGCCCGTCGGCAAATGACAGGTACTCTACTCCATCATCTGCCACGTACCCAAATTCCGTGCGTCAAACGCAATCCTTAAAACCATAAAGTTCAACACTGGACCACCGGCCCGGCCAAAAGATACGATCATTTCATACTCTTCTATTTTCAGCACCTTAAACGATTAAAAAAATTCAAAAAACAAAAATACAATTTTTAAATTCAAGTATTGTCTAAATTATATTAGTATTTAATGAAGTAATAATAAATATTTTTTCTGCTTCGACATAATTTTTCACGATACTAAAATGAAATTTTCTCATGACTTTCTATTGTAAATTTGTTATCTCTTCTAAACGACAAGTGTAATGTGAATATATTTTGTTAAACAAACTCATCAAAGGAAGACAAAAAAATTGCTGAGAAGATACATTTCGATATGAAAAGTAAATGTATCGCGTCAAATCTTATTCACTAGGTGTTTATCTTTTGGAGCGGTGTGTGCGTGTGTGTGTTTTTTTTTTTTTGGAGTTTATAGAGTGCTACTTCCCATTGGATGGTCAATGATGGTGTTCACAAAAATGTCAAAGCAAACGTAAATGTATTTTCTTACTAGTATATTATTACTAAGATAACCATATATTCATATGGCATAAATAACACCTAAAAACTAAAAAGTGAATAAAGAATATTATTCTATCGGGCCACCCACACTATAACTACCGCGTCACCGCCCCAGGTGTCCAAACCACACATAATCACACACTCGAAGAATTCACGTTCTAAATTAGACTCACATCTTCCTGCTTGGCTTCTTAATTTGCAAATCAGCCATCCATCAAAACCATCAATTTCAACCAATCCCCCCATTATAGCAACATTGACTTGTAGTACTACTAGTACCAGCTCTAGCACTAGTATTTAAAGCCTGTTCACGGGAATCACACCAAAGGGAAAAAGGGAAAGAAACAAAACCAAAAGAAAGGAGTAGTTCCGGGTTTGGATTTTTTTTTTGAAAAAAATGGCGGAGATTGAGATTGAGAATGTGAAGAAGAAGAAAAGTGGCCAGGTGATGGACGGTTCAGATATAATGGAGTTGGTTGGGAACAAGCAGGTTTTTAGTAATTTCGTGAATCATAAGTTCCATGAATTGGATAAGGATTGCGATGGCAAGCTTTCTGTGAAGGAGTTGCAACCTGCTGTTGCTGATATCGGTGCTGCTCTTGGTTTGCCTGCTCAGGGCTCTTCCCCTGAATCTGATCACATTTACTCTGAGGTTAACCCCCCTTTCTTCCTCTCTATTTTCCTTGTTCTTGGGTTCCCTTTTGTTACTGCTGTTTGATATTTTTTCATCCCAACGTTGCACCTCTTTTTAAGCATTAGGGGTCTGTTTTTCTGTCGATTATGATGAATTCTTGCCTTTATCTTCTTGTTTCTTGAAGTCCCTTTTGGTATTTTGGGTCGGGGAAATGGAAGGCTTAAGGTGGTGAATGGCTCAACGGCTGTTATAGGATAAGTACTGTTGATTATGGTTCTTGCTTGCCTTATGTTTTTTGGTGGAATTGTTTGATTTGTGGGCTCTTTGGCCCATGAAGCTGTGAAATCTACAGAAGGTTTTAAGGAGAAACCAGTTTTTGCGTTTCTGTACGTTCTTGTTCAATGATAACTTATTGTCATAATTATTGAAAATCTGACGGAATGACCTTTGTGATCCATCAATTGGACAGGAACGTCATAACAGACTGTAATGTTCCCAGGCGTATTATTGTGGAATTCACCACTTTAATGGGAGTTCTGTAATGTTCTGTAGTGTTCATCTTTTTATTGCCCTGTAATTTTGGGGCATATATTTGCCTCTTGGAACCTCTTGGGTTAAAAGTAAAGTTGTAATTGAGCAATAATATAGTATCTTCTGTCGGATTCCTGTTCCATTTTCGCTCATGCGTGGTTTTTTTAAGCATATGTTCATGTGTTTTAGGTTCTTGAGGAGTTCACCCACGGAAAGCAGGGAAAAGTGACTAAGGAAGAATTTCAAGAGGTTCTTTCAGACATTTTGCTAGGCATGGCAGCTGGTTTGAAACGAGATCCAATCGTAATTCTTCGAATTGATGGTGATGATCTGCATGAATTTCTTACAAGCCCGGGCTTCGAACCAGAAGTGCTTTCCATTTTCTCTGAGATTGAAGAACCTAATGGAGTCCTCCAAAATTACATCATCGAAGTGTTAGGGAAACTCACAGTTGACAAAGGAGTTCCTCCAGCATCAGATCCTTGGGTAAGAATCCCTTGTTTTCTACTAAGCATGCATTGCCTGTATAATAGGAAACCAATTCTGCTTTTTGCCACCTTTTGTGGTACTGTAAGGATCAAGCATTTGTTAACCTCTTATTGCAATAACTGAGAATTTTAGCAACTTTCAAGGCTAGAGCAATCTGAATTTGTTGCAGAATTCTAATTTTTTTTGTCTGAAATGGTCAGCGATATCGAACTTCGAACTTTTGAAATGATGGCATTTTCATTTTACTTGTCTACCATTGTAGGTTAAAAGCAACATCATCGAACCAGCAATTCAGTCCTGTGTCAGTGCTGTGGAGCAACCAGTTTCGCAAGAGATGTTTCTTCAAGTATTTAGAAATGTTGCAGAGAATGTGGCGAATCGTCTTAAAGAGCAACCTGTGATCGTTGCACATACTGAGAACACGTTTGACGGGAGTGGAATTAGGAGGTTGTTATCCAACAAATTTGAGCTGGATAAGGTAAATTAATTAAAACTTGGATTGACTATTACAACCTCCAATAAAATTTCAATGATAGAAACTGCACATATGTACTCCATCAATGATAAAAGTCTGGATTGATTGTCCTTCTGCAGACTCTGGAGGCTGCTTTGAAAAATGTTCCCAAAGATCGACATGGAAAAATGTCAAAGGACTACCTGCGTATAGCCCTGGATGTTTTGGCTCCATCTTCTGGCCTACCCCCTATTGGTGCTGTGGATGAGGTAAATCTTGAGATGACTTGTATAGTACTTTGTGCTGTTGCCAAATGCCATGTTCTGTTGTGAAATCCCATTTGTTCCGTAAGAAAATCTGTGAAACTTTATCATGCATTGGTCATGCTCATGATATCTCTGTTCCTTGCAGATGGACAAAATCATAAATGATGCACTGAAAATGCTGAATGCAGATGATGGGAAATTGGTTAAGGAGGAAGAGTTCAAGAAGCTATTGACTGAGTTACTGGGAAGTGTCATGCTGCAGCTGGAAGGCAATCCTATATCTGTTTCGACGAATACTGTGGTGCATGAGCCACTTGCATCTGCTTCCACACTTCTGGAACCTGATTCCTAATTGCCTTTCCATAGAAGAAAATCTTACACACGTTCTGCAATATTAGATATCAGAATGGATAGGAAAATAGCAAGTCTTGATGAACTAAACAAAGAGCTGCTTGCAGGGATTTATTTGACATGCAGTTCCATTGTCCTGTTATAAGAAAGAAAAACACAGTCTAGTAACCTACTTTTTCTGTGCTAATAGATTTGTTTTATCATACATGTTGTGCATCATTTCCCTTCTTACTGCAAGCAATCAACCCCTTGATGATCTCTAGAAAATCATACTTGTGTCCTTGGGCTTGAAATTCTTCATCAGATATAACTTTTGTATAAAAGTAGAACCCGAAGCAAGCGACGATTGGACCAACCCAAAACACCCAGTGTCCATCCCAAAGGTGTCCTCCCCTCACTAGGGCGGCAGCCAAACATCTAGCCGGATTCATCCCGGCGCCGGCGTACCCTTTCTTAGTGGTCACCGTCGTCGATATAAACACCAAAACAGCTACCACGACACCGACTATCGAGCACACCGTGAAAAGGCCTAATGATTTCCTCAGCTGGGGATGGTATGCAACCCAAACCGCGCTGATGAGTAAACAAAACGAACAAAAGGTTTCAATCCAGAAAGCCTGGGCTGTACCAAGCCCGGTGGTGATTGGCCCATCTGCTCCCGGAGTTACCACGGTGATCGTACAACCACCCAGGCTGAACTTGTCGGCAATGGTTCCGGCGACAACGGCTCTGAATGCCAGTGCGCCCAAGACGCTGCCAATGCATTGTGCCAAAAGATAAGCTAAGGCCCGGGAAAGCGAGATGAGCCCAACTAATGCGGCAGAGATGGAGATGATTGGGCTCAGGTGGCCGCCGGAAACAGGGAAAAGAGCTAACATTAGAAGAGCAATGGTGATCCCAATTAGAATTCCCATGATTAAGTTAGGCATTGTGACGTTAGTCTCGAGGGTTGAAATTACAATCGCGTCCACCATGAAAATCAGTACGGCTGCACCAAAAAGCTCTGCAAATGATGCTCGCCAAACCTGATGATTAAAAAAATTGAAGAGTCCGATTTCAGATTCATGATCACAAGAAATTCAGAATCTGTTATTAATAAAATTACTTACATCACGCGTAAGAAGCTCATCCAATCCAACCCTTTCTCTGAGGGAGTATGAACTACCTTTTTCATCATCACCAGCTTCCATATGTGAAGTTACTCAAATCACAAAAGAAACATACAACGGAAAAATAGAAGAAATGAAATACAGTGAATTAAGGACACATTTACATTAGTTCGGCAACCATGGATGATCATGAACGATACAATCTAGCTCAATTAATTAATGAATACAACACGGAACACAGGTTAAACAGCTGATTTGTCCAAGGCCGTAGTAGGATAAGTTTTTATTGTTTTTAATCCCAACTGCATCGGGGAATATGTTGTAGCAGTAGTATATTCTTTACTGGCATTGCGCCAAAACTCCTAGAAATCCCGTTGCAAATTATCGATGTGCTTTTTTGTGCGAAAAGCGTCCAGAAGGAATCAAATTGCAGGAAATGTACTACATCCTTCATTCTATTCGTCAAACAATTCAATAAAATGAAATTATAAAATGAAAGTATTTGAAATCAACTCTCTCCATCACAAATAAATCCCTCATGTTCCATCAGTAACTGAAATGGATTAATAATAGACAGTTTAATCGTTGGTAAAGTGTGAGAACCTTAATAATTCTCCCTTCGTACTAAAATGATTGTGCGGTTTGATTTTTTTTTTTTTTTGTCAAATTGTACGAAAAGTAAAATGTTAAACAAGATAATTATTTTGGGACAGAAGAAACTTGCTCAATGAAACAGAGGGATATATATAATAGTCTCGTGTAACAAAAAAATAAGATTAGTATAGGATGCAAAATTGCAAAAGGTCAAATATAAAACTGATAATACTGGAATTTTCATAAAATTTTTACTTTCATTAGACATCAATGTTTTGCAATTACCCTTCGAATTTAACGTCTAATCAAAGCCTTAATGAGGCCCAAGAAATCATGCTTGCGGACTTGGGCCTGGGATTCTTCATCAATTACAGCTTTTGAGTAAAAGTAAAACCCAAAGCAAGCAATAAGTGGGCCAATCCAAAATATCCAATGCCCATCCCAAAGATGGCCTCCTCTCACAAGGGCGGCGCCGAAACACCTCGCCGGATTCAATCCGACACCGGCATACCCCTTTTGGCCCGTCACGGTGGTCGACGCAAAGATGACGAGGGCCACAATGAGTCCAATGATGGGGAAAACCAAGCCAGCGCCAAAAGATTTCATGAGCCGGGGGTTAAACGCAATCCCAAGTGCAGTCAACAGAACGGAAAATGTGAAAAATGTCTCCAGCCAGAAGGCCTGGGCTAAGCCTAGGCCGATTTTGACAGGCCCATCTGGTCCGGGCTTGATCTCAGTGATGGTACAACCGACAAGACTAAAATGGTCGGCGTCTTCGGTGCTGATCACCGCTTTGAGGGAAAGGGCACCGAAAGCAGCACCCACACACTGGGCCAAGATGTACATGAAGGCCCGGGAAAGTGAGATATGGCCCAATAGCGCAGCCGACAGAGAAATTGCCGGGTTAATGTGCCCACCCGAAATTGGGAACAGGGTAATTAGTATGATTGCGAGGGTGAGGCCTAGAAGAATTGCCATAGCCAAATTGCCGATGTCGGACTTGGCGCTTGAAATGATTATGTTGTCCATCATGTATACCATAACCGCCGTCCCCATTAGCTCCGCCATTGTCCCTCTCAAAACCTGTGCCATTTATCAAATTCAAAGTTGATTCTTACCCCATAAAAAAAAATAACTTGTATAATAATAATGTATTACGTATTTTGATACGTTTGTTTTCTTTCCGTAAATACAAAAAATGATTCATTTGTGACATTAGGATATGAATTAATTGGTTTTGGCACTCCTGAAAGTAAATTGATTTTATAGTGTTGATGATTAGAGAAAAGCTAAGAAGTAAGAAAACCACAAATTTGGTTGAGAAGAATTGAGGGAGCAATTGATCAGATGTCACGTTTGGTAATAGTGATTAGTACTAACATCCCGGGAATAGAGCTCGTCGAAGCCAAGCCTTTCACTGAGGGTGTTAGACACAATTTGCAGCTGCTTCTTCTCACCACCATCTTTTCCTTTGTCAGATCTGCATTATTTAAATAGACAAGAACAACTCCAAACTCGTCATATTCAGGATGAATGCATCATTTAGGGGAAACTAAAAAAAGAAACAAAAAGGAAATCAACATGGAAATGTACTCCAAATGTGCAATTACTTAAATGTATTTACGAAGAAACTTACATGACTAATGAAATTTGTGGGTTATCTCCGGCCAAGTCAACGAGTCCAACATGTCCTCCATCTGCACCCATGTCGGAAGCGACTTGTGAACAAAAGAAAATGTTGGGAGTGTTTCCTCTTTTTTGTTTTTCCCCCCCTAGTACGAAGTTGTTGTTTAGTAGTACTACTTACTTGGTAGAAGTAAATACTCCTACGTAGGAGTGAATGAGTTAGGTGGTGGGGGAGAATCTAAGATAAGATTACTTCAATGCCTTTTATACATAAGAACGGTGGATACATGACTCAGAAATTCACAGCGAAGAGCTAAGCCAACCGATCAAAAAGTCAAATACAACCGATGGAGAGAGCATTTCAAGTTTCGAGGCTATTTGTTTCGGCCTTTCGGGCATATTTGTCATCAAACCACCGTTGTTACCCTTATCTTCTGTCCCAAATGATTTCATCTCCACAAGTCTATATTGTCACCAACACAGCTGAAAAATGAAGTAAACAAAATATACTCCATCTTCTAACTCCTTTCGTCTTAAAAAAAAAAAAGAATAATTGAATCAAAACTACAATAAAATAAATTATGTTTACGAGACGGAGAGACAATTTAGATAATCTCGCATTTTCATTTTTAGAATGTCTCAAAATTTAGAGTTATTATGTCGAATTACCTCAATGTAGTATCTGAGTACGCTTGACCACTTATGATCAATTAATGGAACTCGAATTGAAAAAAAAAAATTCAAATGTATAATCATTGATATATCATCATTAATGTCGGTTACAAAAGATCAATACCCTAAAGTATGTTAAGTTAATTATATATTCGTATCTTTTAGGACGAAATAATTAAATGTATTCCTAGATCCGGAAGAAGTACTATATTACAATATATAGCATCTTTAACTCAATTTGAAGAAGTCAATTAATTTACTTTGTCGAGTGGGGAGTTCATGATAACTGACAAATGTATGGTTTACGAATAAGTGGTGGTTACTTATTACCATATTGTTCTTTGTTATTTATCAATGGTGTTTTAGATAGTTGCAAACATTTTGTGTGTGGGATTATGATTGGATTTCTTCAAGTCCACCAAATTAATCAAGCCAAAATCTTTGTTGCGTTTAGCTATATGTAGTTGAATCCAATGCATATACGTCGGCGGTCGGTGGATGATGCAATGGACTACACACTCACACCAATCGAGCAAGAACAAAAGTACTTATTGAAGTGTTCTTCTTATACCAACAAAAGAGTTCACCACACTGAACTAAAATTACTAGAATAAAGTTAAGTATGGACTGATTTTCTTGAACTGAGAGTAGTACTTTCCAAAAAGACAAAAACGCATACGTAGCGTTACAGAAGAGTATAATTATCCCACTATCCTCCATTATTTCTCCTTAAAAGAAAAAAAAAAAAAAAGAAAAATAATATACAACGTTGTATGAATTTGTGTACGTATGTAGGACATGTACGTATGAATCTGTTCGAAGTAATAGTTTTGCGTACAACAAAGACATGAGATATTGGAAATACCGCGCTCATATGTACGCGTAAATATAGTTCAAAGGACATGTACATATACAGAAGAAACATCAGAAAGTATTGACTATATTAACTTATAGAAGTTGAAACGGATTTAAAAGAGGTACTGGTTCGACAATTACAATGTAATATGTAGATTTACATATTGCTATGCATATGTTGTCATATAAACGTCGGTTAGAAGGGAAGATAACTTATGAATTTTAGAATCGATGTCACAAAATTTACATATACTCCTTCTGTTAAAAAAAAAAATCAACATTGAGTTTTGAGATTTGTATAATTTTAATACATATTTGAAAACTCAAAATTTTAATACACATTTAAAAACTCAATGTGGACAATTTTTTGTGGGAATGAAGGAGTATTATTGAGGGAAGAAATCTTCATGCACCATTTGTTTTGAGATAGTTCCACTTTTAGTCCTTCATTTTCATAGACGTTCAGTGACACTAATTTGATCCCTTGTTTTTAGAATCTCACAACTTGCAAATTAATTCGTGTCACGTAATTTTAATTGTTTTCTTCTCCCGCTCGCAAAGAGTTTTATCTTATAGATCGCGTTGATTTCTTTATATATTAATCGGACATGCATATTACAAAGATCTGCTGGTATTATGTTAAAATTAATACGTGTATTAAATAGATTTGTCTCCTCCTGTAACAAACTTATGTCATTTGTCAAAAGATACACCATTTTAAGCCTATAAAACCCATGTAAATTAACATCAATTTCCTCACACACAGAAAATTTTCAGTCATTTCATTTACTTAATTGAACACTGATCATCCTTTGAAAAAAAAAAAGATACACGAAAAAGAAACTAAACAAAAATAAAGATCATTCGTTCACTAACGAATTATTGAACAAATAGTAGTATAATAAAGAAATGGCATCCTTTAATATGCCTTTATTGTTTTGCTTACTTGCCAGCTTCTTAGTCTGGCTAATTCCATCACCATCCCATTGTGCGGATCCTGATCCACTTCAGGACTTTTGCCCCGCGGATTTAAATTCGAAAATATACGTAAATGGACTTCCATGCAAGAATCCAGCAACTGTAACCTCAGAAGACTTCTTCTTCACCGGTTTCAACAGAATAAACGGAACGGAATTTGATATTTACGGACTGAATATTACGGACGGAGATGTGTACACATTTCCGGGTTTGAATACACTGGGTATCTCCCAGAATCGGGCTCGGATCCTCCCCGGCGGGATAAACAACCCTCATGTTCATCCTCGAGCCACCGAGTTAACCAGGGTAGACCATGGAACCGTACTCGTAGGTACAGATTTATATTCATTTCTCACAGTACTCCGTAACATACCTACGTTAATGTATAGCATGTTATAGTTTTTTTGTTGTTACGTTTTTTTTTTTTTTTGCGGGGTGATGGGGATAAGGTATCAAAATTTACAAAATGTGGTCTCAAATTTTAAGATTTACAAATGACCTCTGTTTATTATTGGTGTTGAAGTTTTCGCAAAAAATAAAATAAATAATTGAAAAGCCAATTAACGTAGTTTTTCTTTTTTTTTTTAAAAAAAAAAAGTTGAGTTTTTGGTTTAATTCGAGTCATTTGTAGCTTTTTAATTACAACTTGGTCATATGCATGGGAGTTTTATGTACTTCAAACTTCGAAGTTCATTATGAGTTTTGGAATGTTTCTTTTCTTTTTTTTTCGTTAAACAATTATTTTACAAGGTGAAATATTGGGTTCACTAATATAACTTTTTCCTCATTTTATACATTGATAATTACAGGTATAATAACAAGTGAACGGGTATTATATTCAAGAGTTTGTCGAGCAGGCGAGATGTTTGTGGTGCCAAGAGGGTTGCTTCATTTCCAGCTGAATATCGGAAAAGTGATCGCCACATTATTTGCTAGTTTCAACAGTCAGAATCCAGGTGTAGAAAGGGTGGTTGAGCAACTCTTCAACGCAAACCCCCCGGTCCCGTCTAATGTGCTAACTGCAGCATTTCGGGTCAACAATGAAACCATTGAGGCTATTCGAGCTAATAACACAGCTGAAACGGACAGAAAAAACAATCTGTATTAACTACTTCAATTGGATACACTTATGAATTATTAAATGCTAGCTGGGGACTATTTGAAGAGATGCTTTAATTTGATTAAACCAAGAATATTTAATTACGATATAATTTAATTATCTGCAAGAGACTACGGATATTAGTCCCGATCATTTTAGTCCCTAAAGTATTTTCCAATTCAATTTTCGTCCCTATTATTTTTTACGCGAAGAAATTAGTCCTGATAGTTTTTTTTTTTTCGGTTCAAAATCGGTTCTATTGGCCAGATCCGGTCAATATTCCGGTGAAATACAATTCTTTAATTACATATTTTCCCCCAAACAAATTTATTTTATCAATTTACCCCAATTTTTTAAATTTTGTTCAATTGAATCAATTTTAACATTAACACATCACTATTCCAATTTTACTCTATTCACTTTTATTTACACAAATCAAATCTTGCAATCCAAAAATATAAAATGTCCTACATTGTTTACCTTAATCTTATCATATTTATCATGAACAAACTAATCTTAAATATTTATTAATTTATTTATTTTCTTCAAATTATTTTTTTACTCTGCTGGCCCTATGCTAGACCAAAAACCAACACTTCATCATTTACTCCGTTGGGCTATACAAAATTATATATAATTAGAAGAAAATAAATAAGTAAATATATTAGGATATTTTATAGTTTGTTTGTCATAAAAATGAGATAGAATAGCGTAAATAATGTAATAATTTTATATTTTTGAAATTAAATTTGATTGGATAGCATATTTTCTATTTTATATTTTTATAGGATTTCTTTTATTCCCCTAGCCTAATACTAAACAAATTATCGTATTTTTTATCATTTAACTCAGGAAATTATAAAATTAATAAAATAATAATGTAAAAAACAAATATACAATAATAAAATTTTTTTTAATAAATAATATTAAATTAAATGAATTTTTTAAATACATTCTCAAAAAAATTATTCAAATCTTATTTGAGTTTTCCTTTTAAATACATTTTAATGTTTTTCAATCTAATGTTTTATTTTTCACCCGCCTAACCACCTTTTCCTATTAGAAAAGTTTGTAATTCTGAATATTCATCTTTTTAATCTCTTATTTGACCTTTTTAATTTTTTCAAACCTTATTTTAGTTTACCTTATCTATATTTATTATGTAAAAAAACAATTGAAGCAATGAGGATATTTGAAAATTAAAATTTTCTTTGCTATTTTGATTTTTTTTTATTGGCGTAAAAAAACACATAAGGTAAATCAAATAGGGTTCTAAATTTTATGAGGTGAAAATATAAAATAACTTACCATGGAAAATATATAAAAAAAAACACATAAAGTAAATCAAATAGGGTTCTATTTTAGAGTTTGAGAAAATGGTGTTCGGGAAGAAAGAATTGGACAAAAAAAGGGGAAAAATATGATTTTGCACGTCTTTTTGAATTTTAACAACAATTTACCACGAAATATTTTATTAATTTAATATTATTTATTTAAGTTATTTTATTATATTAGAGATATTTTATTTTATATTATTATTTCATTCATTTTAGAATTTTCTGGAGATAATACTTAAAATTGATAGTTGATTTAGTAATAGTGGCTAGCTAAATAAATATTTAAGTTTTTGTTAGTTTGCTCATGATAAATGTGATAGAGAATAGGGTAAAAATGTGGTAAATTTTACATTTTAATATGGTAAAATTTGACTGGGATAAATAACAGTAAATAAAGTAAAATTGAAAAAGTGATGTTTTTAAGTTAAAATTGGGTTCAATTGAAAATAATTTTTTAAAAAAATGGGCTAAATTGGTAAAATTATAAAATTTTAGGGAAAATCTGTAATTAAAAAATTATATTTCGCCCGAATAGTGGCTGGATCCGGCCAATAGGACCAATTTTGAACTAAAAAAAACTATCAAGACTAATTTTTTCGCGTAAAATTTAATAGGGACGAAAATTGAACTGAAAAATATTTTAGAGACTAAAACGATAGGATGCCCTTTTTTTTGTTTTTAGGAAAAAGTTCATTCATTCATTTTGTTGGAAATTGTCCAGATGCGTTTGATGAAAAGTCGCAGGAATATGCGACTAAACAGTACATTCGGTGTCACTATTCTTAACAAGAATTGCAAAATCATGGACAATGTCATTGTCAGGGCGTCGGATATTAGTTGAGTGTTAAGAAATTTAGGGCTTGTTTGGCCTAGTCTCATTTTGTCATTTTGTCTCATTTTACCTCTTAAAACACCTCTCAAACACAAATCTCAATAATATTCAAACAACTTTTTAATTTACTTTTTAAAATTTATTTCAAACATTATTTTACACTATTTTTTTTCCACCAGCACCGGACCACCTCTGCCGCCGGGCTGCCCGTAGCCACTGGACTGCCGTCGGCCGGCTGGCCGGTTTCCGGCCAAATTACGGCCTACCGGAGCCGGCAGCAGCAATGGACGGTCCGATGGTGGCGCCGGGGGGAGAGGTGGTCGAATGGTGGTCTAAAAATATTATTATTTTATTTAAAATATTACTCAAACAACTTTTTAAATTTTATCTCGAAACACATTTGAAATCACGTCTCAAAACCAAATCAAAAACTAAAACAAAACCAAAAACAAAATGTTGGCCAAACAAGCCTTTAAAATCTCCCCATCTCTTGTTACAGACTTATGTCATCGACATGACAGCATATTATTAACACAACTAATAATCTTTCCCATTAGTTTCTGGAATCTAGTTACCTTAGCAGGTAACCTACGAATGTATTTCGCGATCACTGCAAAGACCCCCATAAACATCAGTAATGTCGTCACGCACACGAAATTTTGAGCCATTTCATTCCACTTAAACGACAAACTTTGAAGCTATATCATGCATATTGGAAAAAAGGCAAAAAAAAAAAAAAAGAAATAAAAACAAACAAAAAATAAATGGTATCTTGTAATATGCCTTTAATGATGATTTGCTTCATGGCTAGCTTCTTACTCTGCATAATTCCAACACCATCCCACGGTGCCGATCCGGATCCACTTCAGGACTTTTGCCCCGCGGATCTGAATGCTCCAATACACGTAAATGGATTTCCATGCAAAGATCCAGCTAGTGTAATCTCAGAAAACTTCTTCTTCACCGGTTTCAACACTATAGACGGAAGGGAATTCGATACCTTTGGCCTGAACATCACTGTTGGAAATGTGTACACATTTTCTGGTCTGAACACACTCGGAATCTCCCAAAATCGGGCTCGGATCCTCCCCGGCGGTTTAAGCCAACCTCGCGTTCATCCTCGCGCGAGCAAGTTGACTCAGATAGTGGAAGGAACGCTACTCGTAGGTACGTAAATACTCATTCTGACATAAAATTATTGTCCATTTTATATTTTTATTTTAAGACGGAGTGAATATCAATTTTTTCGCATATATTATTCATTTACGTTGATCATTATGTTAAGGAGATAGTTTAAATTATTCGTGCCTTGCAGGTATAATAACGAGTGATGGGTATTCTATTCAAGAGTTGCTGGGCGAGGAGAGATGTTTGTGGTGCCGCGAGGCTTACTTTATTTCGAACTCAATATTGGATTTGAGACTGCAACAATTTTTGGTACTTTTAACAGTCAAAATCCTGGGGCGGTAAGAGTGGTTTTCGGTTGTTGGGGATTCTTGCAACCCCCTCTACACACTAATTGCTGGATGTTTATACACTAATTCAACACACATTTAAATGAATAAATGTAAACAACCAAGCAAGCACAACACACACAATTTACGTAGTTCGGTCTCTCAACAGACCTACATCCACGGGGAGTCAACACTTCACTAATGTAAAAAATAGAAGAGTTTTACAAGTGTGTTCTTCCTCCTAACACACAAGTCTCACAACACTCAATTTTACAAACTACACTCTCACTATATGTTGTCTCTCACACATTTTTTACATTTTAGCACAAACACTCATATTTATACTAAAACATTACAAACCCTATTGGGCTCTTTCTTCACCCACTTCAAGATAGGTTTGGGCTTGAACTTTGAGGAGTTGGCCCAACACGGGTCTCTTCAATTCAACGCCGCCGGTTCCTACCGAAGTGCTAACTGCAGCATTTCGGGTGGATAATGCAACCATTGAGGCAATTAGAGCAAATCTTATGGTCACACAAATGTATCTCCGTTAAGATGCCTTCAGATTGTATAACGTCTACTGTTGGGAAGACTTAATTTTCGTTTGGATCAATTTATCGATAAGTTTTTTTTTTTTTTTTTTATGTTAGGAATGTAAAATTGTACGTTAAGATTGTAAAGAAAATATTGGGATAGAGAATATATTACTAATTACAAATTCAAAAAAATAAAACCCAGTAAAGGTGTTGAAAAAAGAAAACAAACATAGCCTTAATTCATTTGGGACTAATATTCTATCTCTTGTGAAATTATTATTCTACTACTATTTGAATTTTATATTTATAGTGTAACTTGTACTAAAAAAAATTCAGACATGACATAATTTTAGAAAAGGAGAGTGCTAATTAACATCACACGGAAATCATAGCGGAAAAAGGCAAATTAACATGGACCGAGCTTCCACGTTTACATACTCAATAGTTTAATTTAGATTTATGCCTCACAAATTAATAAAACTGGAATGAAATGCCAACCCAATGGTTAAAATGTTGTACAATCTGGTATACCTACATTTAAGTAGAATTTATTAGGGTGATTTTTTTTTTAAATAAAAATTAATAGAACCAGAGGATACAATACAACTGATTTTGCAAAAAAACTTTTGTTATTGGAATTTGTAGGTTATATCAAGTCAACAAGTCCAAAATTGTGGCGTGAAGTTACTGAGAATTGCCACAGATTTTCAGTATTTATTTATCGGTACTGGCCGAGTTGAAATTTGGCTAAGCGTTTTGAGTTATAGCTTCGAAGTGAAAATAGCTAAGATGATTTATATAGAAATTGAAATGCGAACGAAGCTAGCTATAACTCAGAAATTAAAGTATATAGGCTTATAATATTACAGTGATTATGTTATTTTATCGTCAATTGTGACCAAATTATTTCAATTTAAAAAAAAAGCACGTTGTTTATTCTTTTGTCATAAAGAAAAAATATAGGATTAAAGATCGATACTCCCTCTAGTCCTTATTATAAGACATTTTCATTTCGTCCTAGATTTCATCTAGGATACCGTTTTAATTGAAATAACCTTAAAAACATTTTATAATGATTAGGAGAACACAACAAATGTTAAATATATTTTTAAGGTTCTTTTCCAATTAAAAATACATCATTGGTGAAACCTATGATGAAATGAAAATAACTTATAATAAGGATCGGGGCAGTACTTGATAACGGGTTAATTAGTTGATAATGTCTTTGGTGTGGTTACGTATGTATCGAAAATGTAGTTTACGTCTCCGATCATTGAAAGAATTCAAGATTATCCATCTCTTTGTCCTTTTAGTTTGTGTGTAAAATGGAACAATGTCTTGTCATTGAGCCTGAAGCACACAACACATTTACTACCCCTTTCAACCTAATTTTAATTTTTAAGTATAGGGAATTAGTCGTGTGGGGTTACTGAAAAGCAAAAGTGTAGAAAGAATAAGTGATCGTTACTTCTTAATGTGTTCTTTGCTATATATTAATGGTGCTTTGGAGTTGCAAACATTTATATTGAGCTGGATCGATGATAAATGATATTCCTTTTAAGTCTACCAAATTAAGTAATCCAGCCAAAAGCTCTTTGTTGGATCGTTTTGCTACATGCGGATGAATCCAATACATATAAACAAGTCGGATAATGCATTTGCATAAAATATTGATTAAGCACAAAAATTTAGTTCAGTCTGGTTAGGCTAAAGAGATAAACATACTTGCGTGCACTATATAGCTATAAGAAATCTCCCATTTTAAGAAGTATACTGTATACACGGTCAAATTGTATTCTTATTATTAACACGATTGAAGTCATTTGACATGTACAATAAGGTCATTAGTCGACATGTTCATATGAAATTAAATAATCCCTCCGTCTCATAAAAATAGTTCATGTTGAATTTTTAAATTTATACAAAATTTTTTACAAATTTCAAAATTCAATGTGGACTTTTTTTTGGGATGGAGGTAGTATATCTATAGTACTTAATTAAAGCAGCAAACAAAAAGAACATGTGTTAGCACCACAATGAAAATTTTCCCGCCAAAAGTCATTTTCAGTACAAAATCATTTTTGACACGTGGCACTCTAACTAATCAGAAAAAAAAGGATAGAATAGATAAATACATAAATTTCTTAATTATAGCTACATAAAAATATCTTAATTATAAGTATATATTAATCCTTTAAAACAACAATATTTAGTTGATAAAATCAAGTACTTAGATATCCCCTTAAATCAAGTGAAACACCAGTAATGTCTTCCCAATCCCCAATTTCAAAGAATCTCTTCCATTCCGCTCCTCTCTCATACCCGAGCCTTTAAATCAATTACTTAGAATCTGACATCAATTATCAATCCATCTCTTTCTACAACAGAGAAAAAATAAGTTGTAATGAAAGAAATTTAATTTTTTAAGGATGATTTTTTTTTATTCTTCTGTCGTAGATATTGGTTTATGATTTATGTAAACCCAGGCATAAATAAACTGTTATAAATTAAATGTTGTAAATCTGGGCATAGATTTATGTGTAATAGCTCACTTTCTGTCCTTTCAATCGATTTTTTATTCTTCTAATTTTTCTTTTTATTCTTATAAAAATGATTCGTATTTTTTATTTAATCAATTTAAAAATACAGGCGACACCCCGGGCATTCGCCCGGGACAAGCATCTAGTTTATTTTAACGGCAAGACTCTGAATGAGAATAGGGGATTCGTGATATTTTACTACAATTGAAACCTTTTTTTTTTTTTGAGAAAGATAATAATAAAATTTAAATTCTCTATTGCATGTTTTCATAAAATTGTTGTGGATTTGGATGGATACACCGTGGCGTGCCTATAAAAGCATATTAAGTCTCAATGTCGTTAGGCCACAAAAAAAACCTTTTAGCCATTTCATCCATTGAAAGGTTTGAAGGTACTGATCAAAAAAAAAAAAAAGAAGGGTTTTGAAGCTACAAACATCTTGTGAAAATGGCAAGGTATTATGTGATCATAATATGCTTGATTGCCAGCTTCTTACTGGGGCTAATGCCAACACCATCCCAGTGTGCCGACCCGGATCCGCTTCAGGACTTTTGCATCGCGGATTTGCCGTCTCAGATACGGGTAAACGGGTTTCCATGCAAGAATCCAGCTGAGGTAACCTCAGAAGACTTCTTCTTCGAGGGTTTCAACCGAATAAACGGGAGCGAATTCGATATCTTCGGGTTCAACTCTACCCTTGGTGAAGTGACCACATTCCCCGGTTTGAACACACAAGGACTCTCTCAAAACCGAATTCGAATCCGACCCGGCGGGATAAACCAACCCCACATTCATCCTCGGGCCACCGAGTTGTCCAGAATGGAGGAAGGAGCGCTTTTCGTAGGTACGTAATCACGTACTGAAATTAACGTCGGTGTGGTCGCATTATGTATTAATTGTGTGTGTGTGTGTGTGTTTTTTTTTTCTAAAAATCAATTGTGAGTGTACAATAATATCAATTATTATTATTACAGGTATAATAACAACTAGTGGGCAATTCTTTTCAAGAGTGGCTCGACGAGGGGAGTTGTTCGTGGTTCCTCGAGGATTGCTTCATTTTGAACTCAATATTGGGTTTGAGATTGCCACATTTTTTGCAAGTTTTAACAGCCAAAATCCCGGGGTCATAAGGTTTGTCACGGCTCTCTTCAATTCAACGCCACCGGTGCCGGAGGAAGTTCTAACTGCAGCATTTCGAGTGAGTAACGCCACCATTGACGAAATCAGAAGAAATGTTACGGGCAATCCGTATGTCAAGCAATACTATCTGCGACATTAAGATACACGTAAATCTTTTATGATATATATGTTTGCTTTGGGAACATTCTATATGGTTCAAAATTGATACTTCTAATATATGTATGATTTGCGAACATTGAAGGGTTGGAATATGTATGATTTGCGAACATTGAAGGGTTGGAAAATTAATATATTACTATAATATATCTATATGTGTGAATATGCAGAGAGTGTCCGAAAATAAATAAAATGTATCAGCAGCTTTAAGAGAATCGATCTAGGTCTCTTGTGCCTTTAATTTTGTTCATTTCTTTAACCAATTTTTGCTGGCTGCACACCCGATCGAAGGACATTAATAGCCAATTGATGAGATTTTCAATGAAGATCAATCTGATCTTCTCCTGTACCTACACATTTGAGGTACACACAATTTATTTGGTTGGTTATATTGTTATGCTAATCCAATTTAATTGAAGCAAAAAACAAGCATATTACAAATATTGGAAGTGAGGAGGTCATCTAACACACACACTATACACGGATGACCACCTACTCCTAAGCAACATGGACGACTCCGTTAAGCATTTTCTTGTTCAACCTTTTAAATACATACATTCATGATAGGTGATCCATCTTGACGTCACAGATAGATTTTACTTGGTGATATTCAAAACTCTAAAATTTGAGTTTCATTTCATCAACGTTTGGATCCGGTTAGAGTCCTGACGATTCCAAAGAAGTCGTGTTTGTATCCTTCGCTATGAAAATGGTCGGTCGGTATGATCTTAGTGTAAATGTAGAATGCGGCACATGCTATAGCAGGCCCAGCCCAGAACACCCAATGCCCGTCCCACAAATGGCCTCCCCTCACAACCGCGGCCCCGAAACACCTGGCCGGATTAATCCCGGCTCCGGCGTAACCCTTGGTGGCGGTCACGGTGGTGGATACGAACACAAGAAGCCCAATGACGATTCCAATGATGGAAAAAACTGTGAGGAGGCCGAGCCTCTGTCTTTGGCGATGGTCGTAGGCAATCCAAATGGAGGCAAATAAGAAGATGAAGCTGCAAAAGATTTCCAACCAAAATGCCTGGGCTGTCTCCAGGCCTACGGTGACGGGTCCCTGTGGGCCTGGTGCTACCACAGTGAGAGTACAGCCGCCCAGTGAAAATGTCCTCTCGATGCTACTGTTAACCACCGCCTTTAAAGCTAGTGCTCCAAGGATAGCTCCAGCACATTGGGCTACGATGTAAATGAAGGCCCGTGAAAGTGAAATCAGGCCCACTAATGCGGCGGAGAGCGAGATGATGGGGTTAATATGGCCACCAGAAACTGGAAACACTGCAATTAGGAGAATTGTGACGATAATTCCGACCATGACAGCCATGATTAAGTTGGGCATTTTGACTTGGGACTCGTACGTTGATATGACTATGGTGTCTATCATGAACACCAGAACTGCTGAACCAAGAAGCTCTCCAATTGATGCCCTCCAAACCTGCGCATTATTAATTTATTATTAATGTACTAAAGTTATCAAGCTAATTACACTTCCACAGGTAAGAATTTTCATTATTCCGAACATCCCAAATAAGAGATTTGTTTGTTGTACAACAATCAGTAGAGTCTGGTCGGACAGACGAAGCATGTATGATTCTAGTAATTTTTCCGTGTCAAAATTATTGTGCAGTTTAAATTTTCAATTTTAGTACAATTCAAACTTTAGTATAAATTGAACTAAAAATGAGATTCCAAATGAACAACAATTTCGAGACAGAGGGAGTATTTGGAAAGACGGAGTTGGAAGAGTGACTAACATTCAAGGAAACAAGCTCGTCCAACCCAAGCCTTTGACCAAGTGTGAAAGGTGTTTGATTCTTCCGATCCAGCATCCGGGCTTCCGATCTGGAAGGAAGAAAGAAAAAGAGAAATTAACAACCAAGAAGTAGAATATAGTTGTGTGCATGCAAACGAAGATGTCAAGTAGTATATTCATCAAGGAGTACTAATAATTAATGAAACTACCAAACCAAAAGATACACTTACTTGGTGGGGGTAGCGGACAAGGGCTGAATTCTATTTCCAGAAGAATGGTTTTCTTCTTCCATGTTCACAAACACACTTTGATCACCAGCCATGTTCAGTCTAAAAAAGACTGGTAATTAGAATCTGAAGCCCAAGCTATAGCTAGCTAATGTTTTGAGTTCTACAAATACCAAACAAGGCTAATTAAGCTACTACAAGTAGCTACTTTGCTTCTATGTGTTAGGCTTTTTAAGCATGCTCATATTTATAGCAATCAAGGTCAGACACCCCACCTTAACTCATTGTGGCTGACTCTTTGGTGTTTTTTTTTTTTTTAATAAAAAAGAAACCCATTTTTTTTTGTTTGGGGGTTTGGAAGTTCTCTATCCATTGTGACATTTAATGTGCATTTGGGTAGAGTGTAAACGTGGTGCGTCACATATTCACAAAAAGTCACACAAGTGGTACAATGCTTTCATTTAATCCCTTCATCGTTTCCATTTGGAACTTTCAATTCTTCTAGCAGAATATTACAGGTTTTAATGCAATAGTTTAATTATTGAGTCTCTTTCTATATAGCAGAATTCAGCAACATTAACAAATCCGAGACTCGGAATGGCTCTTGGTTCTTGCATGTTATAAGAACAAAAGATTTAATTATCGGCAGTTTTCGGGTTTTCACCAATTGCAAGAAAAGAACGAAACTACCAATTCCAGATTTGCTCACTTTCTGCATGGATTCATGTAGAACCATTTTCTATTAGTTTGCATCCATTTCAGCACTTCATCAATCGGGATCATGTTCTCGGATTTGCTGTATTTAGCTAATAGTAAGTATTCCCTCTGTCCCATAATTATTGTCTGGTTTGAAATTTCACTTTTAATACAATTTGAACTAGAAATGAAAAGTCAAACTGAACAGTAATTATGGGACCAAGAGAGTACATGTTTTGTTGGGATATTAATTAACATATTGCCAAATTTTAGCATCAATCCAGTGCAACAACACTACCTATTTTTTTTTTTCTCTTTCTTTTCTTTTTTCTTTTCCCTCCTAACAGAACGATTCTTGAACTAGATATGATCACCGCCTAGCAACATTTTATCAAAAGATGTCATCAGCAAACATTTTTTTTTTCAAAATAACAAAATTTAAAAATACTATATGAGTTTTAGAAATGTTCCTTTTTTTTTTTTTCAAAATATAAGTTCTGTTTGTATTATTTTTATTTCAAGAAAGAGCATGTAGCCATTTAATTAATAAGTGAGATCACAATACATAAAAATGAGCCACATCTTTTTAAGTTCCGAACCAACAACCCTCTTCTCCAGAAATAAATTCGGTCCCACGTTCTGTTGCTTACCCCCTCCCACCACCCTCTCCCCCAGTTTGAAGAAAAGGGGTAAGAAAAGAACAAGATAAGGAAAGATGAGTATTAACAAAAATCTCATGCTGGCGCTACTTTTTCAAGCAAAGACATAGAACTGCATTTTCATGCTCATTAACTATGTATCAACTGCATTTCTAATTTTCCCCTTTCGGTTGTGTTCTTTTAATTTTCGTGAATGCTAACTAGCACACATTTCGTACTTCAGTTCAATCTCTATTAGATGGAGCAAATTTGTAGGTATTACCCAAAATAGATTTTGATTTATATCTTGTTCCCTTTAAGGAGAAAGGCCGAAATGGAGATCAAACTAGTAATATGCCGCATTTTCATATTTACAAAAAATCGAATTTGTGATCTCTTACCAGACTTTTCAGTACCATTATCTCATAACTAACGTTTGTTTACTGAATTTCCGTTTCGAAAGCTAGCTGGATCAGAGACAAATGTCTCGATCCAACCTTACGAAATACTTAAAAGGTAAGGCTACCAAATTAGAGGTTTTTTCCTCCCGGGGGGGAAAGAGAGGTAGATGATGAGATCATGGGAAAGAAAAAGTCAACCTGCAAAAACCATAAATGGAGGAGATAAGTTGGGAAGAAGACATGGGAATTGAATATAAGTTGGTTGGATGTCAGCGTTTTGGATTGACCGCAATCAAGTTGGGAACACACACACACACACAGTCACACAGTGGGAGTGATAGTCGTCGTAGATTCTCTCAAAATGACAAAATGTTGGAGTTAATAGCGCAATTGCATATTTGGCCCCATAACCCAATTTATTTCCATGTGATATATGGAGAGTGTGTATCAGTCCAGTGGAGTAGATATTTTCGACATTAGTTTTGTCTTGATGAAAATTAAAATTATCCCCAAAAATAATAACATCGCCGCAAATGTTAGTATATATGTATATAAATGGCAAGATCATTGTCCCCTTCATTATTTGCCGGAATTCTATAATACTCTATTCGTTCATATCTACAATGAAGGAGAAGATTCAAACTAAAGTGGAGTATCAATTGAGGCTTTACAGATTACACATAGGGTTTCATTACTCGTTAACACACCCCCTGACACCAGTTTTATGACGAGCTTCTGTCACTTTTCCTAAATAGTACAAATTAGAAAGGTCGAAGAAGTGGGTTTTTCCTCCCCTTTTCTTTTCATTTGCATATTCCAAAATAATACTATTGAAGTATGACTACAATGGGGATATTGGATAGCATATCCATTAAAGTTTGATTTTTTAAAAAACAAAAAATCAAAAAAGAAAAATTTATTAGAGTATGTAGTTGTGAGGTAAAAGTGTCAACCCTGCGGTGTGTGCAACAGAAACCTGATTCTTCCTCGTCAACTCATGGTAATCGGCACGTCAAAGTTAATTATACCGAACGGACATATTCGATTTGAATTTAAACTAGTGGAGACAATAAAAATAATGATATTAGTGGTCGTCAATATATGAATGTGTTGAACAAGCTTGTACATATACGATTTAATTAAAGTTATCCGTAATTATAAATTGGGAGAAGTATACCAAATACAGTCTTATATTTTTTTACAAAAAAAATAAAAAATTCGCCTAACCTCTTTAAACAAAAAAAGTTTGAATAGAGTATGTTTTAGGTACATGATCTAGAAGTCAACTCCATTGACTCTCAACAAAAGTTCAGATGGTTATTCATCTTCTAGAAGCATAATTTAATTACTGTATCCAGAAACTTTCAGCTGCAATACTTGTCAAAGGACTCAGAATTCTGGCATTAGACTTTATGGTGGTGCTTCCAATTGACTTTCACTTCAACACCAAAAAGTCAATTAATTCCCTTTATTACTGCGAATCAGGCCTTGCCCTTCTCCCTCTATTCTTTCTTACAAACGGATAAGTTGCATGTCGATCAAACCAACCGATTGATGCGTTGAAATTTACATTCGTTGACTTCTTGATCATAAGCTTTGTCATACAAATTCATTTCAATATTCCATTTCTTTCTATGGCGCTTTATAATTTGTTTACAACACGTACAACCTCTTCTTCTGTCCAAAAAAAAAAAAAAAAGTACAATGTACATTAATTCAAGTACAATACATAAATTGCATAAATTAATCATCATCATCATAATCGTACTTTTTTTTTATAAATGGGCGCTGCATGAAGGGAAATAGGGCTAGAATAACAACTTTTAATTTTGATATTATTTTTTCACATTTATTTACTGTAAGTTGTATTTGCACGGTTGAAACATAAAAATAATATATAGCAATACATGATATATTCAATTGGCGATAAAATTTTTGTGTAAACGCAAGATATAAAGCATGATGATATATTCGGTCCAGCCCAGAACATCCAGTGTCTATCCCATCAATGGCCTCCTTTAACAAACGCGGAACTAACACCTTGCCGGATTCATCCCGGCTCTAGCATAACCCTTCTTCTTCTTCTTCTTTTTTTCTGTTTCGGCGGGGTTGGGAGGGGGATTTCGATTTCATAACTACTCCCCATGCCTCCAAAAAAGTAATTAATATTAAATTTTGAGTTTTATAACGCACTTAATATAAATTTAAAAATTTAATATAGACTATTTCTTAAAAAAAAACAAAAATAATACAAAGAAAATGAAAAGAATACAATAAACTACACAAGTTTCCCTTGTTACACCCAACTAGTTACTAGGACAACTAATCCAGCATAACCCTCCACAAGTTGGAGGGATAAGAGTATATGTTCTATTCTCTTGCGGTCGTTAATACATACCTTATTCGTACATAAATAATTATCCAATTTAAATTTAGTTTAAAATTAAACTTCAAAGTAAATAATCATGGACGCAGGTAGAGTATAAAAGATCAAATTTTGAAATGGTTATTGATATATATATATATATATATATATATATATATATATATCTAGGGCATCAAATTATACTTTTCTAAATTCACCTAACAGTTTAAATTCGTCACTTCCATAATAATGATAATAAAATGTTAAGCCTAATTAAAAACGGGGGAATCATAGGAATAGGATATTTGATCGTCGAAATACAATAATTTGGATAGAATTACAAAGTAACGACAACGTTTGGTGCAAGTCATTATTTCAACTCGAAACAAGTTTAAATATGTGGTCAACGTATTAAAATGTGGCCCTTCTGGGATTTAATTTGGATTTTAAAGCCCAACCCTAAACCCTTACTCTCTAAAAGTTAAAACCCACTTTTTGGGTCGATCGGCCTTAATTTAGGGTTGTCCCTGAGGTTCATTCCTTTTTTGTTTTACATTCCATTTGGAGGTCTGTGAATTTGACAGTAATTTGTTTTTAATTTGCATTTGTAATGAACCGAAAGATATGAAATAATACAATTGCAGCTTTATTTTTTCTTTTTAATTCCTCCTCTCTGGCTCATATTCTCCCAGCTCTTATATATATAAAACAAAAATTTAAAACTAAATTTTGTTGAAGGCTATGTCTATATATATATATATATATATATATATATATATATATATATATATATATATATAGGCCGGATGAAGGAATTAATATGACAAAAACCGTTCTTTCAATTAATCATTTTTTATGTTATCCATTTTGGCTGGAAACTTGGCATCTTAGATAAGACCTTTTGCTATTTTCAGAGTTATTACGTGAATTGATATAAGTCAGAAATCGTTGTAGAATCAGCAACCTAGTAGGCATCACCATATAAAGAATGAATTCGTTATCCTCAAGGTTTTTTCTTTCGCATGCATGTACATGCAAGTAACGTAATTAAAATACTGAAAATAATTTTTGAATTTTATAGTCTTTTTGTTTCATTTTAATAGTTTATTTTGTCACGGAAAATGAATCTTTAATTTAGAACAAGAAAGAATGAGCATTCTTAAGTTTCAGAAGAATCGTCGCCACTCAAATACTTCTATGCATGGATAAAATATTCCATCCGGCACCTGATTGTACCTACACATGATATTAGGCCAAAAACTCATCTATCAGTCAGGGTTCATTCAAGGGGACCAAAATTTGAGTTCTTTTTGTCCAACAAAATTATGAAGTCGAATAAAATATAATGCATACGATGCTTTTCCCGTTGTCTAGAGCTTACATCCCTTATTACTAGAGAACTTATAAAATTTCCGTTTAGTGTTTAGTGCATCTGCCGACGATCCTTGATTCCACAATTTTGTTTGACTAATTAAATTGATGGCAAAAGACGAAATCCCAAATGAATCCCCTTGACTTTCTTGTATATATATATATATATATATATATATATATATATATATATACACACACACACACAAATATATACGGTCATTGAATTATTTTATTAGGATTTACTAGGAATGATTAATTAGTATGCATGAGAAATCAAGAATATTTTAAAAAAAATAAGAGTCATGTTCACTTTTCCATCTATCCCAAAATAATTGTTCAATTCAAGATTTTACTTTTATACAATTTGTATTAAAAAACAATCTAATACTAACAATTATTTCGGGAGAGAATGAATATATTATTTTAGTTTGATAAACACGACTTCTTTTTTTTTTTTTTGGTTTAGACTTTAGAGTAAGTAGTAATTAGTGAGACTGACTAGGTGAGCAAAATAATGATATGATACAGTATATATCTTTTCTTCTTCTTTTTTTCTTTTTTAAATTCAGAGACTAAACTAAAATAAAATTGACCTTTATTTCTTAGGGGGGTCACATAAGGTTGTGAGCATTTTCGATTAAAAAAGTAGTGATGGACTATTGGACTTCACTGGAAAATTTCTTTCCTCGATAACACAGCTCACTTAAGTTTAACTTAGCCTTAGCTATGAAATTTCTGTCTCATTGGAAAACATTAAAATGTTAGTATACAGGTTCAAAATGCAAACAGCTTTTCTGCTCCAAGGATTATGGAGCCGCTGTTGTCTGGCTTACACCTGATTTTTGTGTTACTCATTTCAAGCTGCAGATTTTCAGGCATACTTCTTAACAATTCAGACTCCACCTCTTCACTTATAAATGGAGAGCATTTCTTTTTTTTTTGGATGATTTCTTTCCCTTCTTAATCTTGTGTTTGGTTTCAGATTCTTATGACCCTTTGGATCCAAAAGGCAACATTACTGTCACCTTTGACATAGTTCAATATACACCTGATGGCTATGTGGTCGGTATTCTGTTCAGCCCTTGATATTCTTTAAGGTTTCATTGTCCGAATTTAGTTTTTCGATCTTAGTTAGATATGACTCTAATTTTGGGGCGGAGGCAGTAATGTACTCGGTCCAAAAGCGAGAAATCTTAATTCTAGAGTACCTTCATTTTCCAATTGACTTCCTTGCTACTTTGATGATCATCTTCTGATGTCTGCTATGTTTTACAATCAAGTACAACTGTAATATTTTCTCGTGCTTTTTAAGCTTCCATATTTCAGATCTTCATTGCATATTGATTGCAGTGTTTTGGCTCTAGGCTAAAGTGACCATCCAAAATTATTACCAGTATCGTCATGTGGATAAACCTGGCTGGAGATTGAGCTGGACTTGGGCCAAAAATGAAGTTATTTGGTCAATGTCTGGAGCCATTGCATCTTCACAGGGGGATTGTACTTCATTCAATTTTCGTAAGCCTCATTGCTGCAAAGCGACCCCTGAGATTGTTGATTTAATGCCTGATGCAATGCTGCAAAACATGTCCCTCGGCCTGGATTGTTGCAGAAGTGGATTCCTCGCAGCCTGGGCTATCGATCCATCTAATTCATTGTCATCTTTTGAGATGACAGTTGGTAACTTGGATGGGAATAGTTCATCTGGTTATTCCAGGCCTGTCAATCTTACTCTTCTGGCTCCAGGACCTGGTTACACTTGCAGTCCAGTTGAAGATACTGATCCAACAATTTCTTCAGTTATTGGGGGTAGAAGAGAGGAACAAGTTTACAGTAAGTGTTTCTGTTTTTGTATCATCGAACAATTTTCCATCACCTTGCATATTGCAAAGGAATAGCTGCTAAAGATTACAAAGACACCTGATTTGGACAGTACACGATGGCGATTCATAGCCCATATTGAGCCGGTTCAGTGTGGTAGGACAAGGACAATGATTATTTGTCAAATGATCATCCTATATTCACCAAAATGAACATCAATGGAAAGGAAAAGTGACCTGATATCCAAAATGAAGACGTGATAGCTACATAGATAGAATGACCTTGGCTTTTTTCATCTCTCAGGAACATGGAAATCGACATGCACATACTCAAGTTTTTTAGCCAAGTCGACGAGAATCTGCTGTGTTTCCCTCTCAACTTTCTACAATCCTCAGATCACTTCATGCCCCTCCTGCAGCTGTGGATGTAAGGAAGCTGATCAGAGCAGAAAACAGTGCATTAGGTCTGTTGCTTTTTAATACTGGAAGTACCTCAACATATGAAAATTTATACATTTTTTACTTCTTTACTTATTGCCTGTATTGGCTACATGCAAATTTTTTTTGGCTTTTCTGTGTGGTTGCAGTGAGGGTACTTCCCCATCATCACCATCAGACTTGGTCAGTGATGCCGACATTGTGAGGTGCACTGATCATATGTGTCCTCTGCAGATTCACTGGCACGTCAAGCAAAATTACATTGATCATTGGAGGGTGAAATTGACCATCTCCAATTTCAATTTGGGCCGGAGTTATGCCAACTGGAATGTATTGGTTCAGCATCCTGGTTTTAGTCAGTCCATTACAACATATAGCTTCAACAGCACAATTCTCTCTACTTCCAATGTTCCAGGTAATTCAGAATAAGCTCCAAATTTGCTCCAATGAATGAGTTCTTTTTCGGTGCAAAACCACTCTTTTTGCCAACTTTCTAACTTGCTAAAACATTGTCTGTGAAGATGAGGTTGCTCTATTCTGGGGAATCAGTTACTACAATGACCAACTATGGAAAGCAGATGAAAACAGAATCGGATCAGCAACAACTGACATTCTTCTGCGTAAGGATAAGAACTCGTTTACCTTGAGAAATGGATGGGCATTTCCTAGAAGAATATACTTCAATGGCGAGAGTTGTGATATGCCTCTTCCTGATACTTTCCCTTCTTTACCAAATGGAGTTTCCAGGACCCAAAAAGACCCGAATATTGTTGTCTTAATCTTGTTCTACTTGACTTACAAAATACTAAGTTGAGTTGTTCTGATCATCTAATATCCAGGAGTCCAGTTTGATCATCAATTGAATTACTTTTTATTTTTTCCTTCATAACGTAAAAGTGCAGATTGAAAACGACCAATATAATGTACTCCTTCTGTCCTATAATTATTGTCCAGTTTTAGATTTCACTTTTAGTACAATTTGAATTAGAAATGAAAACTCAAACTGGACAATAATTATGAGACGGAGGGAGTAGCATATTAAAAGATCATTCGTTTTTAAAGACGCCTACATCTGATCGAACCATTTTGTCTATCACCTGAGTCTCTAGTAGCAGTCTAAAACTGAAAATCAAACTGGAGAGAATTGTAACAACGATACTTTGATTCTAATTCAACTTCAAAAAAGATAGTAAAAAATAAAAAGCGCATCAATGACAAAAATTTGGAAATGTCCCCAAACGATACTAATATCTACAGCTTTTCAACTAATTCTGCACTAGACCTTCATCTGGCAGCACCAACAAGATACTAACAACCTTAACTTTAAGGAAATAAAAAGTTGCAATGAATCAAAGAACCATTCTGATTATGTGTAGTCTTCTAACCAATATCAACTTCTCTGTCCGATTCATGGAGTACCGTGTTCTATTAGTGAAATGGTGTCATGTTGTTTTTTAAACCTTAACCTAAAATGCACGAACTCTAGTGCTAAAGAACTGTAATTTCTCTAATAGGACACACTCCACCACAGAGAATCTCGTTTGCAATCAACCGCGTCGCTGCTTTTTCTGAGCACGAGTATGTTCTTCTGGTTCTGCTGGTGTCTCAATTTTCTTCCTTATAGACATGACTACCAATTTCCATCTTCTTTTCGCTTTCCCAGAAGAAGGGACATGATCCTGAGCAGAAAAACCTTTACAGAATGCCCCACCAGTGGCGTTTATAACATCAGGCGATTCCACCCTGGGATTGGCCATATCACTCGAGAGTCCGAATGTAATAAATAGATCGCGAATTTCTTGACTGGTTAAAAAGCAATTGTCATCATTATCATCCATAGAAGATGCAAGCCCAGCAGAAGAAGCACATTCAAGTTCATTTCCCGAAGGATCAACATTACTGGGTGCCTGAGAAGGGAAAACAAAAGGGGAAGGCTTATTATCATAGGGCCTGACATCCTTCCAGTTCTGGAAGGCAGATACCACCAATTTGTTGGCATCACCCTGAGAAATGAAGTAAAAGAAAATGATCTGTTAAAAGCAAGCTATACCAATAGAGAAACGATTAGCTGGTGTAAGGTTGCTCAAATTTTAAATGTAAAAGTCGAGAAAGAATAACTAGAGAAGAGAAAAAGGGGTAAACGGAAACAACCTTTTCATCTTCAGGAAGGCTGTCGACAGGAACAAATTGGTGATCTGCATTGATTAGACCTCGTATACATCCAACTTCGTCAAACACCACAGTCATCTTTCTTTCCCAGCTACAAGGAGAGTTGTAAGTATAACACTGATTCTCTGGGATCTTGCAAGTCTTAGCATGGTTAACAATAACAGTTAACTTCTCAGAACCGATACCAAGCATCTGCATTCACGAATCAAACATAATTCATCCTTCCAGCCAGAAGAGTAAGATGAATCGGAAAAATGGATCAGAGTATTGAAAACCAAAAAAAACAAGGAACAGGAAACCTCAGTTTGATTGTATTACTTTGTGGAATTTTTCAGGTTCTGTATTGTGGCATATCAGAAATTTCTTCACTGAGTTAATCTTCTTCTCGTCCAGAAGCTTGTGTAGCTTTCCCTGTCTGCAGATTCCCTTAGCCGCCATACCTCATCAGAAAGCAATGGAGGGTAATGCTTGTTGTACACTGGAGAGTGAAAACAACACAACATAATGGTAAATGATCATCGTTCCTAATACATACGCCTGATAGCTTACACTCTTTCAATCTAGTAGTGGAGCTTGTATATGTGAGTGAAGGATTACTTACACGTACTACGATGGTCACGAACAAGGAATGGTTCTGATATTGCATCTTTCACGGTTGTGCGCCCCACCTTCATGTTTCTTGCAAGCAGCTTGATCCTGCAGTCCTGTGTCCATTTTGACTTATTTCTGAATTTTATGTTATCCAGAAAAGCAATCCCTTCATCCAGTTTCAGTTTGTTTCTGGAAAGAATAGGCTGCCTCTTTTGACTGTCTTCACCCTCCGCAAGGACCGATATCTCCACTTCAGATGAAGCTTCTGGTCCAGTATCGATGGTTTTACCATTGGCATCAACCAGAGCTACTTGAATGCTGCTATTTCCTTCTCCTTCTCCTTGGATGTATTGTCCAGTGAAAAGTGGTTCACGCACTTTTCCAAAGAACTTCAGCGCTAGATGTTGTGGCTCCGGGCCGGTACCGTGGGTTCCATTCTCAGACACCCTGTGAAAATGGCTTGACGATTCAGAATTTCAAACTGATTGGAAGTGATGAGGAAAAAACCAGCAAAAATAATGATATTTCTCACTGTTTTGCTCCTGGATTAAGTTTTTCTGTGATCAAATCTAGTTGCTCTTTTACCTGCATCTGCATACATAGCCCCCCCATAGCAGCCAATTATGAGCAAAGCCATCAAAACTCATGAATCATTGTAACTGCATGATTAATTCCTCAGCATCTATTCTAGCCGGGTTTATCATGACTATAAATCCTAGCATTCTACAAACGACGCAGGTAAATAAAATATCCTGAAGAATGAAAAAGGTTACAAGTCAAATCAGTCGGAAAATAATATGAAATGGCCAGAACACTACTATTTAATCCCACAAAACCAAGCGTCATCAATGCGATGAACCAAATAATAGTATCTAAAAATAGGGCTTACAAATCACTTGTTATAGACGGAAGCACCAAAATTCTAGTAAGCTTGAAGTTTGAACCACACAAAAATCAAATCATATGTCAACAAACAAGTGCAAAATCCAACTAATTAATTAAGGAACCCCCTCGATGTCTTAATTGGCTACACATTCGAGCTAGGCCAAATGAACCATTAAGTACAAGAGATTCCATTCCCCACCACTGCTGACTATTTTCATGGGGCACAAAAGAGGTTTAGCCTACTCGTATTCGAGAGTTTGATGTTCATACTACAGTATAATGAGCAATATAATACTCGCTCCGTCCCAAAATGAAAATCCAATGGACAATCGTTTCGGGACAAAGTAGCTAGTCATGGGAATCTACTCACAACTTTCCGGGACAAATTCTCCATCATCGGCTCCCAAGTGCTACGAACAGACTCCGCAACATGCTTCCCAATTTGAGGCATAATCACCCGCTCCAACCTGAGTATAAATCATCTCATCTTAGTTCTGGATGAATATAATAAGAGTAAAAAAAGCTTAATTAGTAGCACCATTTTGAGACATGATAACTAAATATAATTAATAAAGACTTGGAACAACAAAGAAGCGTTGACTTACAACTCCTGCAAAGCAAATACAGAATTTGGATCACTCGGCATTTGTACTGATGACTCCGCAAACCAGAGATTGGAGTAAGCCGTTAACTCAGAATTAATCATGCTTTTCTTAATAAAATAAAAATAAATTGGAGTCGTGTCTTGTGTGAATTTCTTCTTCTGGAGAAGAAGATAATTAAAACTTGAAATAACGACGCTATATTTATAGGCCCGCCAACACGGTGTAAGCACGAAAATTTCGCTATAAGTCCTTAAAATTTGTCACAATGAAACAATGAACACCTGCTTTAATTGCTTCAATTTATCTTACAAACCCACGTCCAAATTAGGACAAAATCTAATATACAGCAGCTGTACTCACCTTTTAAGTGCAATTAAACAATAGGGATTAATATTTGATTTTTTTGGCCCCATGAATTTCTCTCTCTCTCTCTCTCACTCCGTAAAAATATTACCTTTCCCGTTTTTGTATATAGAATGCAGCTTACGTGGACAACGGTTAAACTGAAGGTTTACTCACAAATTAGGGCCATCAGTTATAATTAGGACAAATTTTAAGGGCCCATTTTAAACTTTAAAGCCGCGTATTGAATTTTCGTCGGAAAATGAATCACCAAAGAGCAAGTGATTCCTTTTGTAGTTTGGTATTGCAACCTTAGCCGTGCGATTAGTTCTACTAAAATTTCAATCTGACGGCTTCTATGACTCTCACAAGTCACAACATAGTTCTGTGTTGTAGTATGTTGCTACTGTCATTGTGAACCATGAATGAAATCAATGCCAATATTACCTCCCAAAAAAATTCGAAACAATTATTAGTTTCGTTAAAATTATTGTATTTCATTGCTTTAATCATCAAGCGGCTTACACTCATATCCCAATACCGTGGTGATTTTTTCACTATTTTTTATCATTACTGAAATTTTATTATAGTTTCATACAACTTTCTAATTTTCTTTTTATTGTAATAAAATAAAAATCAATTTAGACCCGAAACAAAAAGGAAACACAAAGGCACTGCAAAAAAATTTACATATTTGGGCCTGTGTGATGGCATTTTTGGAATAAAGAGTTTAAAGTCGAAAGAAGAAAAATGCCAATGGACAAACCTCGACATACTTTGCCCCCAAAAAAAAAAAAAAACAAAAACTCGATATACAGTAGTAGTTTTCAACAAATGTATGTTTTAATGCTACCTCTAATTTTTTTTTTTAATATACAAAAATTTATACTGAATTTGATTCAAAGTTGTTTATTAAAAATAGGAGTACAGAACGTACTCAGTTACAAATTAAATATAGCCCGACCACAGTTTATATAAATGAAGAAAATATTTGACATTGGTAATCTTTCTCCAATATAGGAGTGTTAGTCGAGCTTAAGCGAATTAAAATGTAACTAAATTATTAAAACAGGTCTTCGTAAAGCTATACTTATTTACATCTCTTATAAATATTAAAAAAAGTTTATTAAAGTACTTAAGTTTTTTTATTATTATTTTGTTTTTTTTTTTGTAAAGGACACCAACAATGTTTTTTTTTGAAGGTACCTGTATTCAATTAAAAGTATTCATCATATGATTACATCGACACGAATTATAAGCCATAATATGAAGGTTATTGACATCGCCCCTTTGAATTTTTCATTACGTTTGTCTACTTTTTTTTCTTTTTTTTTTTTTTGAAAAAATATTCTCTATTACCGCATAACAAGTTTTAGGTACAACCATAAAACTCCCAATCTGCTGCAACAAAAAAAAAAAAAAAAGAAAAGGTTTTTGGTGCAAAACCACTTTGTTTGATAGTTTCTGTTGCCACTTGCTAAAACATTGTCTGCGAAGATGAGGTTGCTCTTTTATGGGGTAACATTTACTACCATGACCAACCATGGCACGCATTCTTTTTTCCAGATGAAAACATAATCGGATCAGCAACAACTGCTATTCTTCTGCGCAAGAAATATGCTTCAATGGTGAGAGTTGCAATGTACCTCTTCCAGATACTTTCCCTGCTTTACCAAATGGTGTTTCCAAGGACCAGAAATGGCCCCTATTTCACTGTCTTAATTTTGTTCTACTTGACTTACAGAACCACTAAGTTAAGTTGTGATACTCTAATCCTGGATTTCAGCTTTGATAATCGATTTAACTTGCACAAAGTTTATCAACCTGTCGATAATTCAACTTCAATTTTGTACAATCAAACGAACAAATAAAAAAATTTGTTGCAACGCCACTATGTGATATCATATATATATAGCAACTATTTCTGCACAAGATCTTCATCTGGCAGCACTGACAAGATTCTAATGAATCCAAAGAATCAACCTGAACTTGAATGAAACAATCTGCAATGACTTAAAAAGGAACTAAGCAGTAACTAGTTCTCTGTCCTATATGTACTAACTGTTTTGCTAATGAAACAGTCTCATTTCACTAACAGGGCACTTGTAGATACTCTCTCTCTCAAAATGATTGTCCAGTTTGAATTTTCAATTTTAGTACAATTCGTACTAAAAGTAAATACCCAAACTGGACAATCATTTCAGGATAGAGGGGGTATTAAATTGGACAGAGGCTATTGATTAACCACGTCTTCATTTTTCTGAGGTTGACTATCTTCTCCTGGTGCCACAATAATTCTCTTCCTCATAAGTACGAACATTAGGGACATGATCACCACTTTCCATCTTCCTTTTGCATTCCTGGAAGCAGGAATATGTTCAGCTGAAAGCCCTTCATTGACAGCACCACATGTTCCGTTTAGGACCTCAGATGGTGCTATCGTGTGAAGGACACCGTTATCTACCCAAAAATAGGGACAGTCATTGAACGAATTAGATCGGAAATACAAAAGGGAAGTGTTAGGCTGTGGAGAAGAAGTGGGAACTAGTCCCTCCACCGTTTGATCATAAGGGTCTGAATAATAACCAGTTGGAATTCCAGCGGTGGCAGAGCTCGAAGGATGGGCATCATTGGGTACCTGAGAAGGGAAAACAGAAGGGGAGGCCTCATCATCATAGGGCTTAACATCCTTCCAGTTTTGGAATGCAGATATCACCATTTCCTTGGCCTCAACCTAATCATTGAAGCAAAAGAGTTGATTTGTTTAAAATAAGTTAAACATTGGAAGAGAGACTAATATATAAGATCTTTGGGCTTAACCATTAACCAATATACTGGTTTTTAGGTAGGATGCTTAGATTTGATAAAATATAGAGGCGGAGCTAGAAAGAGTAACCTGAGAATAAAAGAAAGGGCAATAGAGAAACAACCTTTTCCTCTTCAGGAAGACTGTCGACAGGAACAAATTGGTGATCTGCATTGATTAGGCCTCGTATACATCCAACATCGTCAAATACCACAGCCATCTTTCTTTCCCAGCTACGGGAATAGGCATAAGTATACTGATTCTCTGGGATCTTGCATTTTTTGGCATGATCAACCATAACCATTAACTTCTCCTCGCTGATACCAAGCATCTGCGATAATTCAACGCAAACATTACTACTTCATCATCCCTCCCAGGAGAGTCAGGTGACCTGGAAAAGATGATCAAAGAGTCCCCGAAAAAAACAAAAGAAGAAAAAAAAAATCAGAGGAAAAGGAACCATATCAGTATGAATGAATTACTTGCAGGAGTCTTTGAGGTTCTGTATGGTAGCATATCAGAAAGTCTTTCACTGATTTAATTCTCTCCTTTTCCAGAAGCTCACGTAGCTTTTTGTTGTTGAGGATTCCCTTTAATTGCCCTACCTCACCAGAAAGCAATGGTATGTCGGGCTTTTTCTTGTCTGAACAACAAAAAACCGTAACTGTAATTAATCAGCTTTTTCTTAATATTCTTAACAAGCAGGTGAGATTTTCTTAATGCCTGCTCATTCTCTTCAATCCAGCTAGATGGAGTTGCTCAAGGCAAATGAAGGATTACTTACACAAAACACGGTGGTCACGAACAAGAAATGATTCTGATATCGCGTGTTTCACTGCCAGCCGGCCCTCTTGAATGTTGTTTCCGATGGTTCTTGCTAGTAGCTTCATCCTGCAATCCTTTGTCCAATCTGACTGGTGTTTGAATTTCACGTTTTTCAAAACAGCAACTCCATCTTTAAGTTTCAGCTGTTTGTTTTTCGAAAGACTAGGAAGCCTAATCATCTCTTTGTTTTGACTGCCTTCACCATGATCCGAGATGACCGATATCTCCACTTCTGAAGAAGCTTCTGGTCCAGATTCAATGATCTTTTCATCAGCACCAACTAAAGCAACTTTAAGAAAGCAGTTTTCTCCCTCTCCTTCTCCTTTGATATCTTGTCCAGTGTAGATTGTTTCACAAACTTTGCCTATGAACTTGAGTGCCAGATTCTGCAGCTCAGGGGTGAGAGTTTCATTCCCTGACACCCTGACAAAAAGGTATACCTACTATTATCATGAGAGTGACTAGAATTGATATATGTGATTGAAGAGGTAAAACCAGCTGCAAATTAACCAGTGTTGTTTCTCACCGTTTTAGTACTTCTGCAATGATTCTCTCTGTAAGCTCCTCTTTTACCTGCTTATTGGCCAATGAAAAGCAGGAAATAGAATTAAGCATTCCTATCAATACCATGAAGCTGTAGTCAATATCAGTATGTCAGGTACACACTGATTGATTGCTTTCCATTTCCTCAAATAATGAAAGTTAAAGGTTCTAAGCTCGACTCCCTACGGTCCTAATTATAAGTCACAAATTAGAACAAGAAGGAATACTTCGGAAGCACGCATTACATTATTAGTATGGAAATAACACTTTGTTGAGCTATTAAAATGGGACGGAGGGAGTAAAATGTGAAGGTCTGTTGTCAATCGTTATCCAAATCTAGCGGCCGGCCTCTCAAAGCCTGAACTACACAAACCCAAACATCTTTTGGGGAGCATAAGAACAACTTAAAAAACATCATATAGAACAGAACCAATATAGTATATGAGAATGAGACTGAATAAAATACGCATATTCAAGTTTGACAAGTACTAATAAACGAAATCTCACAATTTTCCGGAACGAATTCTCCATAATCGGCACTAAAGTACTCAGAAAGAACTCCAGCATAAGCTTGAAATTTGGAGCCGTTGCCGGTAACGGTAAGAATTCCGACCTGAATATAATCCAACAAAAAAAAAAAAGAAAAAGAAAAAAGCCAAACCCATCTCAGTTCTTGGATGAAATTCACTGAATGTTGAGACGTTGATTATTAGATTTAATAAAGACTTCAACAAACAAAGAAGAGTTGACTTGGGGGTTTACTTACATTTTCTGGAAAACAGATACAAGGTTTGGATCATTCAGCAATTCTGCCACTCCAAGGTTGGAAGAATCCATTTTACTCAAATTATTTGTTTCTTTCCTCTTCCCAGTTGCCAATTGCCAAACGGTTTTTACTAGTTTTTGTTTTTCTTTGGAGTTGTAGGTAGAAGTAGAACACATATTTATAGCGCCAAAAGTGTCGACCGAAGTGATCATGTCCATCAACTTTGACTAAAAATCGAAATTGGGTACATTTTCTTTATTCAGTTCGTCTACTAACCCATTAAAACCAGGAGCAACGATTTATAGTACGAAATTAGATCTCAAAAAACCAAATACCCTCCGTTATAAGCTGTTCCAGTCTTCGACACAAATTTTGCTGATTTTATTTAACGTTGAGTTTGCCTTCAGTACAATTCTATTATTTGTCTTGAAACAGTTCAAGTTCAAACCAAGTTACTGTAATTTTTCTTTTTTTAAAAGAGAAAAAAAAAAGAAGAAAAGTTTTCATTCATGACCCATTTTGGTTTAAATTTATTCGTTTTTTTTTTATATATATATAAAAAAACAAAACTGGAGGTCCTGGACAAATGGCTATTCTTCTTCTTCTCTCTTTATATTAAAATTTCCTTAAAGTTTTTTTTAATCTATTTATTATTCTTTACTTTCGAATTTTCCATTCTTTTACTTGACAAGTTATAATTTGGAAAAAAATTTAAGGGTGCGTAAAATAAATTTACGATCTCTTTGAGCCGAAAATACGCGTGTACAAACCGTGTGTGGAAATTTTGGGCACAGGCACGTAATTGGGATTTGGGAGGACATGCAATTTTTATATTCGGAAATAAAACTACCGCCAAACTGCTCACAAAGAGCAACATTATCTTTGTGGTTTCATGTAGTGAATCCCTCCAAACCGCTGAATTATTTTCTAAAACTCTCAACATTTTCTGCTGACAGGTTATCAAATGTTCACAACATTTTTTGTGTAGTGGCCGCCGCTGCTACGGTGCTACCCATTAATGAAATTGGCGTCGTAAAATTTGTACATCAACCATCGTTGGTAGATGCTCCTTATGTATTTATTGTGATTAAAGAGTTTAAAATAATATAATTGAAGGGAGAAAAAAAAAAAAAAAGCACACCGTACACATGACAACTTCAAAATACTCACAAATGACCGAACGACCTGGTTTTTCCGTTATATTATGTGAAATATAGTAAAAAACAAAATGTTTTATAATAAGGACCGGATTATTATTTTACAATTTATAAAGTGAATTATTTTTGTCATTTTACGGGACAAAAAGAGTATTTAATTAATTTTTTTACTTTTCTTCAAGGAAAACAACAAAAATACTAATTTGCACAAGAATAAACTTTATTATCAAAGCCAACCCTTTTAGTTCATAGTGTCTTTATGAAACATATTACACCGTTTATATTCTTCATTTCATTTCGTTTTTCTACCTCATAACAGTCACATTCAAATACGTAATTTGTTTTCTTGTGATCATTTTAATTTATTTATTGAAAATATAGTTGTAGTATTAAGTTTCAATTGTAATTGAAACTATATATAGTGAATCATAATAATAGCAAAATTGTCAGCTGAAAGTCGTGACTCGTGCGCGGTATCTGAAATCGTAACCAAATTAACCTCGTACGACAGCGCGACACCCCAAAGCCTCTGTCGTTTTGGACGCCGAACTCTGAAATTTTCTTTCTTCCTCGACAGTTTGTGAGTTGACATTGACAACGTGTGAGTGTCTTCCATTCATAGGGTCGTTTCATAACAAATCAGATAAACAGCACAGAACTTAGTCCGAGTTGTAGTAGACAACTGAAGCTGAAACAACCCCCCCCCCCCAATCAAAAAAACACAATAATTGCAAAATCGATTCCAAAAACCTCCCAGGTTTAGAGATTGCATATGCTAAAAGGGTTTCCAAAAGTTTCAAGAAATTAGTAATACCAGAAAGAAGGAACAGAGAAAGGTCATGGCTCCTCCTCCGCCCGGCCCAGATGGTGAAACCCAAAAACAAGTCAAAGCGGAGTCTACGGAAATGGCTTCCCAACGCAGACCCATCTCCAATATCCTTTTCATCATCGGTTTGTTTTCCGGAAGATTCCCATTTCTCAGTTTAGCTTCTCAGTTTTATACAAGAACAATCAAAATTGATTGATTGATTGATTGACTCTTTCATTTTGTTTTTGTTTTTTCGAAATGATCAGCTATGCAGACTGAAGCTCTCCCATTGGTAGACAAATTCCAGCTGATTGAAGCCCCCAGTTCTGATTCTGTGTACTTCTCTTCTGCGTTATTTCTCTTTTAATGCCTTTTTTTTTTTTTTGTCTCGCCCCTATCCATTTGACTGATTCTATTTATATTTGTTGTCTTCTGCTCTTCATTCTTATTCATTTTCTAATTGAGGTGATAGGAAAAGAAGTTTCTTCTTTCTCATAACTTGCTGTGGATATGCATATATGGGGTCCTAGGTAGAGAAAATTATTGATTGCAGTCCTACTCCTAAGAAAATTAAATTTGCAAGATGAGAATGTATTGTGATTTTCCTTTAACTATGGAGGAGTATTAGGTAACTATCAAGATTTAAGCTTTATGGTGACATTTGTGTTATTTTAGATCAAATTCCATTATTGGAAGATCTTGGTTGTACTGAAGTATAATTTGTTTGTTGAAGTTTGTTTTGGAGTATTTTGGTTCCTTGGAAGTTCTGTGTCAAGTTCTTGTGTAGTGGATGATGGTTGGTCTTGTGACTCTATTGCTGAAGGCAACCAACCTTCTTCTGTGGATTTGCAGGTTTCCAGAAGGGGTCCCTTGGGTGCGCTACAGTGGCAAGTATAAAGATTTAACTATAAGTATTGTCAGTCCCGGAAAAGATGCAGCTCTGGGTGGGTAATATTCTCATGATCTCATCTGTTGAATAAAAGTGTTTGCGGCCTCAGAACATATTGGTTGATGCACCTATCTCATCCAATCTTGCATGCTTTTTGGCGTAGTGTCATTTTCTTTCCTTTAATTCTGCAATATTCTGTGTGGCGCTAAAACTGAAGCATTTTTAATTGGTAGTGATTGATAGTTTTCTGGTGGTTTGTCCCAAGAGAGAAGAGCTGTGGCTGGGTTGCATTTTTTGCCTGGTTTAATATGCTAGCATTCTTTTCTGTTGGGTACCCAGTTTCCTTCGATGATGTTGCATAAATATGTGGCTAATGAAAACTTCTAAGTCTTTTCTGAATCTTAGAAACACCTCCTAACTGATAAAAGTTTGTTAATCCTTGCAAATCAACTGTATCTTTGGTAGGGGTTGACAGCGTTGGCACTGTTTCTGCTGCACTTGTCACTTATGCCTCCATTCAAGCTTTGAAACCTGACCTTATCATAAATGCCGGCACATCAGGTGGATTTAAGGTATGATTTTTGACTTGTACTGAGTCTAATTTTATCCTTCCCATTGATATCATAATATTCAGATTGAGATGCAACAGATCATGTACTCAGTAGATAATGTCTTGTGAATTTCTCCACAGGCAAAAGGTGCTTGCATAGGTGATGTGTTTGTCGCATCAGATGTAGCTTTCCATGATCGAAGAATACCAATTCCTGTAAGTTTTCTTAATATTCTCCAAGGAAATTTGTGGGAATATCAAAGGATTTTATTATCTTATTGCCAAGCGACTTTTGAAGGTTCATCATAAGTTTGATATCTGATATTTCCTTTTTTTTTCTGTTTCTGTGCACCACTGGGTAGAATGAAAATGAACATACAGTATAACACAGTCTCTCCCTGTTGTGTAATTTCTTTGCTAACATGTGGAGCACCCTAATGTTATGACTTTACCTCATTGGACATGTTACATCATGATAAATGCACTAAAGAAATATCATCATGTCCTGTTTTTCTCCTTCTCTTTTAAAAGTTTTTGAAAAATTCATTGCGTAGATAATAACAAGATGCTAAGTACCTTGCAGCTTATTTATTCTGGTTTCATGTATAGTGAAGAATATGAGATATGCCAAGGCTGAAGTTGGTGTATATAGTTTCATGGATATGTTTCTTCTATGTGCGCTCTACATTGAAATAGCCCCAGCTTTACTGCAGACAATGCAGTCTATATATGTACTTCTTGAGCTAGTAATAGGAATACCGGCTGGATTGTAGATGCTTAAGAATCTCTGAACTGTGAATATCTTTTGCAGTTCTGCAAAATTAATCATCGAAATAAATTATAAACTTTAGTTTTGATCTGCTTGTTGTTGGCCTACAGGTATTTGATCTTTATGGAGTTGGCTTGAAGCAGGCTTGCAACACTCCAAACCTTTTGAAGGAACTCAATCTCAAAGTACTTTCCCTTTATCCATATGTGCACTTTTTTTTTTAAATAAATAAAAAAAATCTGATTGAGGTTTCTTTACCAGCTTTTGTTCATTGCCTAGTATACATCATAATGCCCGTAGGTTGAATTGAAACATTGATTTTCATTAGGCATGTTAGATTCATCTTGTGTAATATATATGGATTCAAACTACAGTTGTTCCTAGAAAAAGATTTTGATGTCTCCACTTAAAAACTACGCATAAGCATTTGAACGGTTATGTTACAAAATTCTAGTATGGTTTAGTTATCCTCGAGCTGTTTATCTTAGCTATTGGTCCCTACTTGTATACATCACAAAGGATAATCTCTTTATGCATGACAAACACATTGTGGTGAAATCTAATGTTTTAGAAACATGAGATGCAATGACAGGAACTCCAAACTCTTAAACCTAGTAAGTGATAATGGTAATTCTTTTGTCTAATAGGTTGGCAAGTTGTCTACCGGTGATTCACTGGATATGTCTCCTCATGATGAAGCAGCAATCATTGCAAATGATGCAACAGTTAAAGACATGGAGGTAACTATTCCATGAATTAGATGTTGATCCTGCTAGTGCTAAAAGTACCCCATCTTCTTTAATCTTTACAGTTTGTAGTCTATTCAAATCTCAAATGACAATTATTTCATTCAACGGATTTTCTAGAACTGTTTATGTGTTTCTTCTACCTGTTTGTTCTGTATCTGTTTTCAAGAATCCCTGAGAAGTAACAGTGTACACCAGTATTAGTATCCTAGTATTTGTTTTTATGTTGAAATTCACTCTTTTACGTCTAATCTAAACTCTGATTAAAAGATTCTTAGAAATAAGATTCCATTTCAAATTAATTATTATTATTTTTTATTTGCAACTATAGTGATTTTGCCTTTGCAAGCCATTTAGTATTAGGAGCCGCGAACAGTTGTCTTTCTCACTCCTCAGGTCGAAGATATGTCTTTGTTTCCGGAGAGTGACCCCATTATTTCTCTCTGCTTCTTACACGTCCTGTGTTTCAGGGAGCAGCTGTTGCTTATGTAGCCGATCTTTTAAAAGTCCCTGTAATTTTTGTGAAAGCTGTGACTGATATTGTTGATGGAGACAAACCAACAGCTGAAGAGTTTTTGCAAAATCTGGCAGCAGTAACTGCAGCACTTGATCTAGCAGTCACTCAGATTGTTGATTACATAAATGGGAAGAGCGTTTCAGAACTGTGAATCATCTTAACAATGTCTCTGGTCGATTTTCCACTGAACCAACTATTCATGAGGAGCAGTCTTAGTTCTTCCTCATACATGTCAAATCACAAGTGAAGCAATCAATTATTTGGCTTTGCTGTTCTGCTGGAAATGTATTTCAAGCAATCTGATCTCTAAATATTTTACATTCAGGATTTGTTTTCTCGTAATTTAGATTGATTCTGTTTTGTTAATTCCCAAATTCTCCTGTTAAAAAGCATAGGCTTACTAATAAGTTTAAAAATCAGCAAACATCTGTGCTTACAAATGGGTGCTTGGGAATACTTTCTATATGCAGATAGTTGGGGTCTTCTTGGCATTCACCTGTTCATCACCTGAACTCTAACAACAGTTATTTATAGGCTAATTCATGAAAGGCTTGCCCTTCAACTAATCAACTTTGTATGTTGTAATTCACGACAAATTGTTTCACCTGTCTAACTTTTAAGTATGGAAATAGATCACACAGAAGAAGAGGATTGCCTGCATTCCATTGTATATATAGAAGTTCAAAAATTTTTTATGGATGTGAAAAGAATATCCAGATAATCTATTTTCTTAATCATAAGAAAGGGGAGACTTGGAGAGAAGATGGAGGGAGCAAAGACAAAGACAATGAGTTCTGGGAAAGCTGCAAATATTCTTGCTCTAGGGAAGGCATTTCCTCACCAGCTAGTCATGCAAGAGTTTCTAGTGGATGGCTATTTCAGAAACACCAATTGTGATGATCCTGACCTCAAGGAAAAGCTCACCCGACTCTGTAATTGATCTCTTCTTTCTCTGTCTTACTTTGAATTTCAACTCTTAACTAGATTAAGGGATTTTTGTTGTTTGGTTTTAATCTTAAAATGGCACAAAAACACAGGTAAAACAACAACAGTGAAAACAAGGTATGTGGTTATGTCGGAAGAGATCCTGAACAAGTACCCCGAGCTCGCTGTCGAAGGCCTGCCGACAGTAAAGCAACGCCTGGACATATGCAACACGGCAGTAACGGAGATGGCGATCGAGGCCTCAAAATCATGCATCGAGAAATGGGGCAGACCTGTTTCGGACATCACACATCTAGTCTACGTTTCCTCCAGCGAAGTTCGCCTCCCTGGTGGTGATCTATACTTATCCAAAGGACTTGGCCTGAAGCCCGAAACAAACAGGGTCATGCTCTACTTTTCGGGCTGTTCAGGTGGTGTGGCTGGGCTCCGTGTAGCCAAAGACATCGCTGAGAACAATCCAGGGAGCCGGGTGCTTCTCGCGACATCTGAAACGACCATCATTGGATTCAGGCCACCAAGCCCTGAACGCCCGTATGATTTAGTTGGGGTCGCGCTGTTTGGGGATGGCGCCGGAGCCATGATCATCGGGACAGGGCCTGTTTCGTCACCAGTCAGGGAAAACCCGCTTTTCGAATTGCATACAGCGATCCAGCATTTCCTGCCTGATACAGAGAAGATCATCGATGGAAGGCTTACGGAAGAGGGAATCAGCTTCAAGCTAGGCAGAGAACTGCCACAGATAATTGAGGACAACATCGAAGGTTTCTGTAAGAAACTGATGGGTGATGCTGGATATAATGAGGAAGATTACAATAAGATGTTCTGGGCGGTCCATCCAGGAGGGCCGGCGATACTAAACAGGGTGGAGAAAAGGCTGGATTTGTTGCCGGAGAAATTGAATGCCAGCCGGAGAGCTTTGGCAGATTATGGAAATGCAAGTAGTAATACCATAGTTTATGTGCTGGAGTATTTATTAGAAGAGAAGAAGAAGAAGAAGAAGGAGATGAAAGAAAGGAGCAAAGATGAAGAAGAATGGGGATTGGTGCTTGCATTTGGCCCTGGAATTACCTTCGAAGGCATTCTCGCCAGAATTGTCGCTGTTTGAAACACTCCATTTCCGTTCCGTGTTTACTTCCCAAAATAAGGCCATAACCACGTACTTTTTGAGTGAAATATATAGATATATAGTACAGTATTTTCAGTGTCAATTAATTAATTCTGTCGAAGAGCTTCCAATTAGGGACACAAATAGCCATAAGCCGTCCACTAGAAACACTTATACTCAATTCCTCACTCAAGATAACTTGCAACAATGTGTAACTCTATTATTGGCGCTATTTTCGTTGACAAATGTCTAATTAATGAACTTATAACTGAACATGGATGATAGACACCTACCAGAACCAGGGTTTCAATCCAATACGGAAACTTCTTCCACAAATGCAAACCTAGAAAATGAACCCTTCTATAGAATTTACCAACTAATAAGTTGATATATGATTCCTCTGGCTTTTGCCGCTGAAAACAAACAATGAGAACAAATAAATTAACTGGAAACAATTTCTCCACCCCGGGGAAAAAAGTTGATTAATATTTATTACTAGTATTTACTACTCAATCAATTGTAAAATTATTCATCATGCAGAATATTCACCATATAAATTGCCATGAAGTAGATGTTTGAGAAGTAGACATAATTGACATACGCTAGTTGCGTAACACGCGGTCAAAATATCTTTCCTTAACAAGATTTAGGCTTTGTTTGATTGCATTGAATTGGAACCAAGAATTGGAATTGGAGCTCCATAATTCCAATTCTTGTGTTTGGTTGCTAAAAATAGAGGTCCAAGAATTGTAATTATAATTCAAGATAGGGCTCAATTCTTTATTTTCAATTCTTTTGTGGGAGCAAATAATTAGAATCCAAATTCAAGACACTTAAAAAAAAAAACATGCGGGTCATAGTCGGGTCGTTTTCGGGTTATAACCTAAACGGGTCGTCCTATCAATTTTTATTTTTTAGCCTTTTTCTTTATGTATTTTTTATAATTTTATTTTTTTCAGCTTTTTTCTTTTTCTTTTTTTTGCTTTCAACGCTTCCTGGCGTTTTTCTTTTCTTTTTTTTCTTTTTTTTCGGGATGTTTGTCTCATTATTATTATTATTATTATTATTATTATTTCATATATATCATATTAATAATTATCACCAAAATCAATCTAAAATTAACATTGTATTTTTTTTACAAAAAAATCAAAAGTATAGCTGTAACCAAAAAAAAGTAATAACTAAATATTTTAGTTTTGGTTAATATTTTTATTATATTATGACATAGCAAACAACATAACGTTTTCATTTTTTTAATAGAAATTTTTCCATATATACACCTATATTATAATACATATATATATATTTTTTAACTATTCATTGCATCTTTTCACAAAAAATTATGTAAGTGGAGTTTTAAGTATCTATTATTTCATATATAATTATATACTAAAAATAAACACATTTAAGCATATATTATATACTAATGTTAATCTTTATATAAATGAACTTCAATATTCATAAACTGAATTTACAATGTTATATAATAAAAATTTTTTTAATTTTTGATATAAATCAAAACATAAAAAATTAAAAATTTTGAGAGGAAAACAAAGATTTCTTGTTTGGTCTTTGTAAAAACTGTTGACATTACTTTGATTCGATGTAAAAGATATCTATGAAAAGAGAACACAAAAATCACAAAAACACATTCAATTTAACACAACAACTACTACAAAATATATATATATATATATAGGAAATTCTATGATTCAGTCGTACTGAATTTTTCAGTTTAAGTATAACCAATAAAAATCTAATGTGTATAAAATAATTATGAGGTGAGATGTATATTAGCAAATCCTAATCAAGAAATTTTATTTTTTTCACCTAAAGTAAAAATAAAAATAAAAATAAAAACAAAAAAACAACAACTAACATATCTCTCGTTTTACGTCTCAATATCACTTACCGTTTCTTCTCACTCCCTCTTTGGCTCTTTCTGCTTCAATTTGATGAATTCCGTTTGAATCGATTTTAATTTTTTCTGTCACCATAAATTTTCTGTAAAACGATTTTGTTGATCTTAATCGAATTGAAACCATGAGTTGGACCAACGATCCAGATTCCTTTGACGAAAAACATCTAGAATTTAATCTATTTTTGAAAAGTAGTGTTGTTCCTGGTTCAAAGAAATAAAAATCGGCCAAAATTCAACCCATTATCAACCCTTTCGCTAAGAAATAAGAAAACAAATGATCAACAAACACTTTAGCTTACATTACATTTGAGAAATTCCCACCAACCAAAAATCTACATATTCATCGATGAATTTTTCTTTCTGTAAAAATAATTTTTTCCCACATTAAACAATAATCTAAAACCAGATTCTTTTGGATTTTTCCTTCAATAAAAATAAGTTTTCCCCACATCAAATAATAATCTAAAACCAAATTTTTTTAATATAGCAACCCGGATTCAGACCTTTTGATTTTTGCTTGTTTGATACCTCCACAAGGCCTCTATCGACAATAATATGTTCATGATCCGCCCGCCGAAATATATTTCTCAAACCGCATATTTCATATTGACTAGTGAACGTTTTCCAGTCTTTAGGTTCTATTTGTTAGAGTTTTGCAAAGAGCAGAAGTTCTTGACATAATCCTTCCTAGATGAGCCACCAACAGAGTTCTAATATAATTCTAATTTTGCAATTTTATTGACTGTATTGCTTAGACACGTGGTGAGATGTTCTTCTAGTGCACTGAAATCTTTTCCCCTCTGTAGCATATGTTTTGTTTGACAAACAATAGAAGTACCAGAGATGTTGATGATATTGGTTGAACTCTTGTTTTTGAGGGGGTAAAATTTATGGTAAAAAAACTTTTTCTTCCCTGGTAATAAACGTTAATAGGTGGTTAGTTGTTGCAAGAAATTATATGCTGTTAATTGGTGTATTTTGTTTTGAGAATACCTCCTCTTAAATCTAATGACTAATATTATTTTGGATCATCCTATGGTTATTATTAATGATTGAACCGTTCAGTCGACTGAACTGTAGCCATTGCCTATATATACACACACAATGAATTCTCATTGAGATGCGGAAATACACATTAAGTCCTTGAACCCAAGATCAAACATGATAGGACTACAAAACTTTTCCTGTTAAGTTCTCGATTTTCAAATTCTAAAGAACTAATTGAAAACCTCCGCCTTTCTTTAAGCGGCCAACATATAGTGTTTTTTTTTTTCCCCTAAGAGTAATTTTTTTAAAAAAGAAAGACAATAAAAAAAGCCCAACCCACCTTACCGAGATAATTGACAAAAAATTAGAGAAATTAGGGGAAGAAGACGAAACAAGGAAGGGAATCAGATGTTTCATTCATCATTAAATCGATATCCTAATTTTCTACAGAAGAAAGTATTTATAGCAGTAATTAACCACCATATTCTGAAGATCAATATTGAACTCAAAAAGAAAAAAATCAATCTTTCCACAAGTATTTGACCCCAAGATCACGGCAGTCTTGGCCTACTGATATGTGATCCATACCTGATCAATATGATTACTTTGAATCAAAATTGGGCCAACAAAATGTTGGTTTTCGTTGATTGAATTTGTAGCCCACAGCTCATCCCCAAACTCTTCGAATACTCTTGGGAGAATTCTTATTAAAGACGTTTTATAAATGTTTATATTTTTAAAAGGGGCGTTAAAGTTTCGAAATTCTTATTAAGAGTGTATTACTAATTTCACTAATTTATTACTATTTTATTGACCACTTTAGCCTTACAAATTAATACTCCCTCTGTGCTAAAATTATTGTCCAGTTTGAGATTTCACGTTTAGTACAATTTGAACTAAAAATGAAAACCCAAACTGGACAATAATTATAGGACGGAGAGAATATATTTTTTTCCCGTAAACATGAATTAATAGTCATTTGAAAGTCACCATTACCCCCTTTTGAAGAACAACGTATCCATTATCTTTTTTTTTTTACGAACAACGTATGATTCATCGAGATTCTTCTATCAGTTCAAGAGTTTACTCTTTTATTCTTTGTGTACCCAATAGACAAAATTAATTCAGATGAATTCTCTAACATTCAAGATCGAATATTGGAAGGAAAAAAGAAAGATTGCGAAGAGAAATGATCATCAGGTCAGCGTCGGGCATATGAGAGTTAAACTCTAATTATAGGCAGCATTGATCAGGTTTCGGATGAATGATTCTCACGGTTTTGTTCTTAGAAGATGGAATTGGGTTTTAGTATTATTTTGGCCTTTCTCTTTCTATCTTTCATATTCAATTATCTGCAATACAGATCCCTGTGAAATATTATAAGATTCCATGGTTTCCCACGGGAAGGAAATGATCCTTCTTTGTAAGTTTTTATAAACTTTTGAAGGCAATTAATTTCAGTTTAAATTTATAGAATAAAAAAAACTTAAGAAGGGATAAATTAGTCATTAGCATGGTAATATATGAATGAAATGAATGTTACGCCTTTAGTAAGAATTTTGAAACTTTAGCGCCCCTTTCAAGAATTAATATTTATGGAACGTCCTTAATGAGAATTTTCCCAATATTCTTTTCTCTTTTCCCCCGAAAGAAAATTGAGCTATATAAAACAAACATCTGTAGTGACCCCTCATAATCTATTAGAAATCATCCAACAACAAAGATAATCTATTCCATAAAACACAATTTATACAAGACACAATTTTAATAAGCCTAATAAAGTAAAAAAAAAAAAGTGATGTAAACTTGATTAACGAAATAATATAATACATCCCGAACGATAAACTAGATGCAAATGTGCTTATAAATGAGCTCAATCAATCATCCATCACTCCTAACCCGAATTATCATCAATTCTGTAAATCCGAAATATTCAATCAATCATCCATCACTCCTAACCCGAATTATCATCAATTCTGTAAATCCGAAATATTTATCAATTCTATAAAGGCAAAATATACGTACTTTTGTGATGGTGGGGAGTAAAGGTAAGAGAATCTCTCAACAATTAATAGCTAGACATACGACATAT